AAACATGTAACAGCTTTTAATATGTAAAGTAAAACATTATTTTTAAAAAAATGGGCAAAATTCGTCTCAAACTTTCAAATGGAAGTCAGATTTGTTTTTTTTTATATTATTGAAATAAGATTAAATTCGTGAAAAACAAATCATTTGTTTAAAAGAAAATATTAAATAAATTAAGAACTAAAATAAAAGTTTCACGAGTATATGAAATCAAACAAAAATATTTAATACTATTTACAAGACGAACAGTTTATGGTCTGGAAATTTTAATGAAGTGAATTTAAAATAAATTGATGTACTTTTGTACAAGTAAATTAATAGGTAGTAAATAGTGTAAAGGATTTTCAAGAACACTACGATAAACATATAAAATTATTTATTTAATAACGTTCCCTTAGCGATGACAGATATTATAAAAAAATATATTAATACAAAGTGAACCAGATTTCTGATTCAAACCTGACTCCATGTTTAGAAGTCGATACGACACACATCATCAGAGAAGTCAGGGAAAATGTACTTGCTGAGGTCTAACACCTTTGATTCCAGTAAATATCTGTCAATTAAAGCTTTGAAGTCAGATCTTAGAGTCTTTGTTCTTGACACGATCCAGGAGAGTTCTGAAAAATAATATACGTATATTATTTTTGTTAATAAATAATGTTGGACATTACGATGTACGATGATTGTCAATTATTTGTAGTTCAATAGAAAGTACATGTGTTTCACTCATTATTACTTTTAGAAAAGGAATAACGGAACCTAAGACTCACCTTGTTTAGTCTTGGACTCTTCATTATAGTTGCAGTGGTAGAGCACAGCGTAGTTTGCGTTGTCGGTGGACATGACATTCAAAATGCTATCGGTATTCTGGCCGTTCTCTGAAGAAAAGATGATTTTTATAGAAACATAACGTTCAAGATAAAATATTTTAAGGACTCTGTGTCTATCATTAAGAAACTTACTTCCATATGGCAGTGTATAGATGAGTTTTCCTGTGTTACCAGCATCTGGAGCGAGTCTTCCGTATCCATTAAGTTCATATTTCTTATTGTGTCTCAATCCAATACTCTCTATCTTAAAGCGGTCACCCATCGGGGTGTATTTTGTGTAACTGCACTCGGTACCCTTTTCTTTTCTGTTGTCATACCTGGCTACTTCATACCATAATCCATTTGAGAACTGGAATCGTAATATATATAACTTTAACAAAATATAGTACTAAAAAAGTGTCGGGAACAATTTGGTTGTTTAATCCCTATGTTTCCGTTTCGATCGATGTACTGTTTTACTCAATTCTAAAGCATACACAAGCTAAAAAAAATGTATTACATACAAAAAGCGTTCATGAAACGGATATTAACGAATATCGATTGAAATATAAAAAAAATAATTTCTGTTAAACCAAAGCATAATATCTAAAATTTAACTTCCCAATCGACTACCTTTACCTTGCAGTAAACTGACTTAAACGATTAACTTTGAAATATTGTACAATATCATCAAATTGACATAAATAACCATACTATTATTTGATAAACTCACAGAGGCGTAGTCAAAATTGTCGGTCGGGCGTACAACTGGACATCTCGCGTCAATGTGCTCCCCAGCAAAAGCTTGAGCGACCAAAGCTAACAGAACCAAGGCGAACATCGTGCTTGCCTGAATGAATATTCGTGACTATGGATTTTTGGCCTACTGTGAACCATTTTATACTGCAGACTCTCAAAGGTCACTAAACGAGAATACGTCACAATTATGTTGAAGAATTATAGCGAATAATAGCCCAAAATTAAAATATCTGTTTTTATTATAAGTATGTATATAATCTAGAGAACGTCCTGTTGTGAATTTACATAAACAGGGTAATAGTTATTTCTATCAGAGCTTTGATTCATTCTTAAAGTAAGCCCCAGAGGAAAAATTAGAAGAAAAAGGGCAAGAGTATTAACTATTATATATATATATATATATATATATATATATATATATATATATATATATATATATATATATATATATATTTATACATCTATACAGCGATCCCGATTTCTTATGTTTGCAGATGACATCAAAAAATTTTTAAGGATAAAATCTCTAGCTGATTGCCTCTTAGTTCAACGTAACCTAGATACTTTTGCAAAATATTGCGATAGTGATAGAATTAAAATTAATACATTAAAGTGCGCTCACATAACCTTTTCTCGTAAAATAAATAATTATAATTATGCATTCAACATTAATAATATTGAAATTCCCAAAATCAATTCTATAGGCGATCTTGGAGTTGAGTTAGACTCAAAATTTTTAATGAATGAGCAGATACAAATCGCAACTAAAGCTTATAGACAATTGGGATATATAAAACGTGTATGTCAGTCTTTCTCTAGTATTTAATATATTAAAATGCACAATTTGGTCACCGCAGTACAAAATTTATAAAGACAGAGTTGAAAGCATTCAAATAAAATTTATGGAGTTTCTTAGCTATAAAGACCATAAAATATTTGAAAGCTATACTGAGGCTTGCCGTCATTACCACATGGATTCGTTAGAGACGCGTCGTAAGTACTATGATATGACGATGCTTTATTCACTTCTGTCAAACGAAATAGACCGAGACGAACTGTTATCTTTGGTACGATTCCGAGTACCAAATCGACGAATAATGATAAATCAGATATATATACATATCTATTGAGCATTCAAAAATGAAGTTTTATTTTATAGTTTTATACTTTCACATTAGATATGTATGAGAGCATATACATATGTATATCCCTTTCTGATTTGCACTATAATTTGTAAGGTTACTTTTGAGGTTGAGGTTGAGGTTTGACAATAATTTTGATAATATTTTTAAGTAAAAATACATATATCTTTGGATTTATATTCCACTTACAAACAGCCGGGGTTCATCACAATAACAGAATGTCACATTACAATCAGTTGGGGAGTAGGGATAAAGTTGTATGTTTTCGTCTAGATGACAAGGGCCAATATAGTAGTTCTATTGTCTAAATTTTTTTATTAAATTGCATACCATATGACTGATTGTTAGTATCATAATGAAATGTTGTCCATTACTGGTGATAGAAGTTAAAGTTGACTAATAGAAGTTGATTTATTTCCAAAAATAGTTCCTCTTGAAAGATTAGCTAATGTCAAAGATTTAATACGTATGTTTAACAAACTTTGAAGTTAATTTACATAAATAACCAAAAAACCATATACATGTATAGCCGTTCACATCTGTATTCAGTATAAATAAATTAAGATTTCCAAGTCTATAGAGTAAAAAATCGGGTGGCAGACCCTGGCTAATGCTGGGAAATTGTCAGGAAGAAAAAAAAGAGTAAAAAATCGGGTGAGCCCATATCTCTACTTAAAACAAAACGTCAGCTTATATTTTATAAAATAATAATAATAAACTTTATTGAGAAAAAAACACAATGCTTACACAGTAATACATCAAGGTTGAGGTGCATTATGTTTCAACAAATTTTAAATTTCCATTGTCTTTGGACCCCACACTAGGAGACCTCTATCGTGGGGTCCGAACACAAGATTTCACAGGTTGATAAACTAGGCCAGGACTAAAAACGACAATTCACCAATCTGGTAGTCTATATAACGTATGTGTTTGGTGTTATGTCTTAGTTATATATGTAGTATAATTGTACGTCTTTAACGAATACTTGTGTTATTATGATAAGAATGTAATTATAATACTTAGTTAAAAAATAAAATATAGTAATAAAAATAAAAATAGGTAAATATATATATATATATATATATATATATATATATATATATATATATGCATAATGAAAGAAGTAATAGATAAAATTAAATGATTACATTTAGTAGGTTTTCAGTGTCGTCATAAGAGAGAGTCTTGAGCCAGGATGTTATTTTAATTTTGGCCTCTTTTATTGTTAGATGTTTTAAGTCGCAGTGTTTTAGAGTTTTGTTACATAGGTGAGCTGAATGAGCTGAATTGAATCAAAGGCAGCGAATCCGTTTATCTCTTATTTATGATTACTTTATTTTCAATTCATTTAGTCATAGTAATAAATAAAGGAATTAAATAAATATTAAAATTTGTCACATCTATTAAAACACTAGTCACATCTTATTATATATGTACATATGTATGTAAATTGACACCAATTAAAAATATATTTAATTGGTGGATTCAAATCTCAGATTAAGATGTTTTATTTCATAGCTTACTAAGACGAAAACTTCTATATTATAGTATTTTTTCTTTTAATATATCTTAATTAATGATAAGATTATCATAGTAATAACAGAACTTAACTAAGAACGTATGTTCCACATTGAGTTATATCTAGCTTTTGAATCCATTTTTAGTTGATATTCTTATGGGAGAAAAAGGGGTTGCACTACGCTGTGAATTAATTTCGACTTGAAGAACAAAAACAAATTATTATCTCAATATTTATGCGACATTCCAATCGAACTCATCTTTTATTCTATTAAACAAATTAAAAAAAAAAAAACAATTAGCATCGATAGTTCACGTTATTTTTATAAGTCAGATGGACTTGAAACAACTGTTGATATTATTAATAATGAGATTTAAATGTATATGATAGAATTAAGATGATGACAAAGACGTAATAATTATAGCTAAATTAAAACAGAAAATTTAAAAAAATTATAATGAAAAATAAGTTTATTTTTTTGTAATATTGAAAGAAAGTATTGTCTAAAACTAAACTAAAATATTTAACTGTTTAATATTAGTAAATTTTAATATTTGTAAATTTTAATAAATAAACTAATATAGAATGAAGTACTTATGTAAAACTAAGTAAATAGGTAGTTAATCGCGTATAGGATTTTCAAAAACACTGCGATAAACATAAATTTATTTATTTAATAACGTTCTCTTATCACTGACAGATATTAATAAGAAAAATTATATTAACACAAAGTGAACCAGATGTCTGATTTTTTCAAATCTGACTTCAAGTTTAGAAGTCGATACGACACACATCATCAGAGAAGTTAGGGAAAATGTACTTGCTGAGGTCTAACACCTTTGATTCCAGTAAATATCTGTCAATTAAAGCTTTGAAGTCAGATCTCAGAGTCTTTGTTCTCGACACGATCCAGGAGAGTTCTGAAAAATAATATGTATTAATGCCTAATTTTGGACATTGAAAATGTATGATGACCACCAATTATTCGTAGTACAATAGAACGTATATGTGTTTCACTCATTATTATATTTATAAAAGGAATAACGGAACCTAAGACTCACCTTGTTTAGTCTTGGTCTCTTCGTTATAGTTGCAGTGATAGAGCACAGCGTAGTTTGCGTTATCGGTGGACATGACATTCAAAATACTGTCGGTATTCTGGCCGTTCTCTGAAGAAAAGATGATTTTCATAGAAACATAACGTTCAAGATTAAATATTTTAAGGACAACAGAAAAATTTGGCACCATAACCTCTGTGTCTACCATTAAGAAACTTACTTCCATATGGCAGTGTATAGATGAGTTTTCCCGTGTTACCAGCATCTGGAGCGAGTTTACCGTATCCATTAAGTTCATATTTCTTGTTGTGTCTCAATCCAACACTCTCTATCTTAAAGCGGTCACCCATCGGGGTGTATTTTGTGTAACTGCACTCGGTACCCTTTTCTTTTCTGTTGTCATACCTGGCTACTTCATACCATAATCCATTTGAGAACTGGAATCGTAAATATTTATATATCTTACAAAATATAGTGTTAAAAAAGTGCTGGGAACAATTTGGTTGTTTAATCCTCATGTTTCCGCTTCGATCGATGTGATTTTACAGAATTTTAAAGCATACATAAAGTAAAAAAAAAAACAATTGTGTTTCATGAAAAAAAGCGTTCATCAAACGGAAATTAATCAATTTCTTTTGAAAATAAAAATAACTTTAATTTATTTTAAACCAATATCTAAATCTTTACTTTCCAAACGACGATTTTTACCTTGCAATCAGTTTTAACTGATTTATTTTGAAATCTTGTACAATATCATCAAATTGCAATAAATCATCATACTATTTTTTGATTAACTTACAGATGCGTAGTCAAAATTGTCGGTCGGACGCACAACTGGACATCTCGCGTCAATGTGCTCCCCAGCAAAAGCTTGAGCGACCAAAGCTAACAGAACCAAGGGGAACATCGTGCTTGTTTGAATGAATATTCGTGACTATGGAGTTTCTGTACATTGAAAACCATTTTATACTTCAAACTCTCAAAGGCCACACCGCAGTGGTACGTCACAATAATCTCGTTTTTAGTTTCTCAAAAGTCGGCCATGATCGAAGTGCTAAATAAAAAAATCACATTTCTGAATGAATTAATAAAAACAAACAAGACATTTTATTCATTGATGTTATATGTGACGTCATTAATAAAACATAAATAAATAACACATTATTTGCCTATCGAAGGGAAAGACTGGATACAAAGCCCGAAAAGGGGTAACAGATACACTACAGGAAAATGAAGAAAGAGTTGAAAGTCACTAACATGAGGACATCTAATACGCATTTCTATTCTTATCATTATACATATATATATATACATATGTATATATAGATATGTATATACATGGTTATATAACCAAAGAAAAGTTAATAGGATATTATATTCGTTTATTATATTGCTGTTTCACAATTAAATATGTACATACATATTTTAACATGATAAATATATGAATAAGTTTGTGGAATCAAAATAGTTAGGGGATTAGATTGGACGTTGCTTTTTTTATTTAAGATATGAAAATCAAACTTCATAAGACCAAAATATTTTCTGTAACCAGAATAGTTTTTGGATTAAATGTATTTATCGCTCCGTTAATTTGTCTGGTCATTGTGTTGTCAAAATCTTCTCATTTTGTTAATAAATTACAAAGCTAATCTCATTCTGTATAATTTATTCACGAGGAAATAAAATTGCATTGTTAATAGAACATAACTATTAAACGAGCTTATATTTATACAGATATAATACATAAATATGCATATATTTTAATATATATTCATATTTACACAAATATCCTTTTTTTATTTTCTGAAATCGGATTAGAAAGGTAAGTCAAACAGAAGGTCAAATAAGCAATCTAGATATTAATATTTTTAACGTCCAAACAAAAATAGGGATGTTATAAGTTTAATGACGATGTCTGTGTAAGTGCCAGTGTGTGTTTCTATTTATGTCAGTTTCTTTTTTGTGGTTATTAGCTATGCATGGTTAATATTAGTTCAGTGGATTAAGAGTGTCAGTTCTTTTCCAAAATGAAGCGAGGCGTTTTGGCCAACTATTACTCGATTAAGTGCCTCACGCGGGCCAGTATATTGAATAAAAGACAATTAATACATTTTTTTAAATTTAATTGTATCTTTTATATGTCATTATCAATTTTAAAATCAATTTGTATAATTTGGTTGGAGATTTGTGACGAGTAAAATATTGATATAGTATTGTTAAAAGATTATTTAAATCTTTGGAAAACAATTTTTAGTATTAACTTTAATAATTTAATTTATTACTTTTTACACCACATGTAACATTGTCAAATTGCATAGTTTAAAAAATAATATCCACTAAATCAGACACAACAAGACTTCCCCCATATAAAATATCATATGGAATAGGTAATGCCTGCAAAATCCAAAGACCACATACATTGATATACCTATATTATATATTTGTATATTTAAAAATAAAAAAACACATTAAAGTTATTGTGCCAAGGATAGAGACCATTTTACGATGAAACCAAAACCTGCTCCTTTCACCTTAATTTTTCAAAATCAAAATTATAATTGTTTTATATTGACTTTTGTCAAGTTCATGTTTATTTATTTTTTGGCAACGTTTATCTGGTAAAATTTCAGTATAAAATTTAATTGTCTTGTAGTTACGGTTATAGTGACCCTTTTCTTATAAGAACCTCAGAAGATAAGCGTTTCGCTTAGCTTGCTTTCAAACTTTTTTTATTAAATTAAATTTTTTAGTTGTCTCCGAGTTTTCTATATTATTAAAGTATTTTAAATATAATAATCGAGTAGTAAATGCCAAGAAAAGGAATTGGAATCATAAATACAGATCAATTGATGAATTTTCATATAAATATTTAAATAAAGTTCATGAGTCCTAACATAAACCTAATATTATAACTTCTTCTTCTACCTGGCAATTTCCCAGCTATACCCAGGGTCTGCCTTACATGTTGTGAAAAGTTTTTGGCTATTTGTTTTTACGACCGGCCGCCTGCCTGACATCAACCCTCTTTTGGTAATCAACATTAATCAGTGATGTCTAAATACTCTTAGAAAGTACATATGATTCGGAAAAATCACATTGGTACTTGCCCGGGCCAGGATCGAACCCGCGCCTTCGGCGACGAGAGGCGGGCCCTTTAACCACTGAGCCACCACTGACTTTATTATAATTAGTCCTAATATTATATAATTAGTCCTAATATTATATAATTATACCTATATGGTGTGAAAAGTATAATTTTATAAGCATTTAACTTCTTATAAATGGTCCAATCAGCAAGATGGTCTAGAAACAAATTTAAAAATATCGTAGATGTCTTGCGGACATAAAATATCTATTTCTGGCTTTCATTGACATCACGATTAAAAAGATTATAAATAAATATGTTATCAAAAAATATTTACTTAACAATCCGGTAAAAGTTGCGTTTCACTTTATTTTTTAATGAAACAACTACAACAACATAAATTAGGAAAATATTAAGGAGTCTCCAGTGAATGATTGAATTTATGAACATCAATTGTTATTTATTTTATTTATTCATGATGAACTTATGCTATTTATTTAAGGCTATTGAAGCCGAAAAGTTATACCCTATTCCTTTTAGTATAATAGTATTGGTTAATAGCACATGTTTGCTGTCATCAACACACACGTGTTTTATTGTGTAAACTAATTATCTAAAAAATCTATCTCTCTATCTATTTATCCATCTATTTATCTATAAAATCACGCATACTACGGTTACTACAGCATATGTTTTACAGTAAAAAAATGGATCATTTTGAATTTGTTTTTTGAGAAAATTCTTCACTACATACTGGTGGTATATTTATTTATTAAATCATTAATTATGATCTCTCATCAACAGTATGTAGTGTCATCTATATATACATATTATTTGTGATGTATATATATATATATTATTTGCGATATTAGTAAATATAATATTATATATACTTATGTTGTGCTAAATTCAATATATGAGATGGATATCTCGTATTAGATAAATAAAAACTGCTTACCATAATATTTCAGTAAATGTTTTGTCTAGCATCAATCATATTACCAAGATATAATAAAATAAAAAAGGTATGATTCGGAAAATAAAGATATAAAAATATATAGGTAATTAAAACTGTTAATTTGTTACTGTATCCATGTGTACATGTTGTTTAATTAATGTATTTGCTATCAACACATGACCTATATGTCATATCACTATCGTAAAATGCTTTGGTGACAAAAAATTCAAGTAATCTGTCTGTTAGCAATCAAAACATGAGAATTCTTGATTAGGCTAATAGTTCCCTTATGTAACATGGTCATGTTTTACTATTCCAAGGTCGAGTTGTTGTTAACCTCAGTTGTTGTTAAAAAATAAATGAAAAGATGATATAAAAAAGTCTAAGGTTTCAAACCAAACACCAAACATAATTTCAGATAAGAACTGGAAGGAAATTATTAGAATCTTAAAATGGAAATGTATATGTCTGTAGTTCATCTGCTTTTAGAAATATTATATATAATAGCATAAATCATTCCGTCGTCTTTGGTCAGTTATCTTAAACCATGAAATTATCTTTTTATTGATATGGGATAGTGGTGCGATGATAAAAACATGGCTATAGTAATATATCGAATAATTTTTTAAAAATTTATTTCCCGGAATATAAAAACCAAGAACCGACCGGAAAGTCCCTGAGCAACGTATTTCAGTTGCTTTTAAGGCTTTGCCTTTCCTTGCTTTGCGTTGCCGGAAAGTTATGGATTCAAATAATACTATAGAAGAAATTTTCGAAACTTAATTAAATCGTAAATATAATCATAGGACTTCTTTATATCTTTGCACACTTATATTTTAACCTGAACCTCGCTTTCATATTAATATTTTTCTCATATATATTTTTTATTTGTTTCATCACTTGACAGAACTTTTAGTTTTGACTAATTAACTAATCAAACGAAGAAACTATTTAAATTGGTCCTAACCAACTAAGTCCATTTGTTTTATGACGTCTCTTTCATATTAATGTAATTGCAGATTTTTCAAGAAATTTAAAAATAACAAATACAAGTTGTCAGTTTGTAAAAAATATATATATATTATAAAACTAATACAATTTATTATAGACATTTATTGCTTTATTCGTGATAACGTCTTGATCTTTGACCGGAGTATTTTAAGTATATAACTGGTGTAGGGAATCGTCTCACCAGTAGTCAAATGCATACAACTGTCAAAATGTTTGCGCTACTGATTTTGTCTCTGCTTTCCACTGCCTTCGCTGGTGTAATCGTCGATTCAAAATGTCCTGATGTCAAATCAATGGACAACTTCAGTTTTTCCAAGGTAAATATTTCTGTTTATGGCTATTAAATTTTTATGTATGTGTACATCAGATGTTTGTATCTTTTTGCATAAAGCTTCTAAAGCTATTAATTTTATCCTTATCATTTATTTAACTATAAAACAAATCATAATTATTATTATTTTAATTAAGAAGTCATGTCATTCTCTCGGCTATTCTGTTTTCTATCTTAATATGAAAGTGTTAAAGTTATGAAAAACATATTTATGTTGGTCAGGTAATAATAATATATATTTTTTCATTAACAGTACGGAGAGAGTCAATGGTTTGAAGCTGCGAGGTACCCCAACGATAACGAGAAGGGTTCCAAATGTATTCGTAGTATATACTCTTTTAAGGGCGACTTTGCTGAGGTAAAGACTTTCTTAATAAGAGACGGCAAAGAATACGAATTAGACGGTACCATTAAACAAGCGGACAATGGTGGAAAACTTATATCTAACCTACACTATGGCGGTAAGTATTTACATAATAAAAAATATCAGTATTTCCTTAATCTGAAGTATATTCATTTATAAATATTTCTTTCAAGAAATGAAAATCGAAAACAGCGTTTACCTTTTGGACAGCGATTACGAAAACTATTCCATAGCTTACAGTTGCAAATATGATGAAGAAAAGAAATCACGTCAAGGTAACATTTGATATATACAATATTCTTATCAAAAATTTTACAAATTTTCTTTAACAATGAAATATGTTTTTTTAGATTTCGTTTGGGTCGCCTCCCGTAGCTTACCCATGAGTTCTGACATCAAAGCTAAAGTTGAAAACTTCATGAAAGCTTCTTCATTCCTTGACTATGACAAATTGATTTGGCCTGAAAGTGACTGCAGCGTTCTCCTATAAATTCCACTTATGTGTATCTAACAAAATCGTTTTGATAGTGATAATAAATATAAAATAATAAGAATATTTTCTTACTTTGTTGTTTAATTTTTATTCTTATAAATACAAAAATATGTATTAACATATTATCTTCTATCTTCTATATACAGGGTGACTGGTGAATTACTATCGATATTTGAGGACGTGATATTTGACGATCATATATGACAAAATAAAAATTAATATAACATAAATATTAATAAACTTCTAAGTAAAGTTAACCAAAAGTTATGTAATTAATTACGCATCGTGTGAACACCCTACAGATTAGGTAAACACTCACACTCACACATACGCGTGTCGCGACGTGGTGTTGTATCAGCACGCCGCCGCACGCGTCCACACTTGAACACTTGGAACGTGTCAACACTTTACTTATTTATACGGAAATTTTGTCAAAAATTAAGTGCCTATTTTTTTTACATAATTCGAATGAGAATCATGTACAGAGTATTCTCCTTAAATATTGATAGTAATTCACCAGTCACCCTGTATATAAAAATGGATTGCTGTTCCTTAGTCTCGCTAAAACTCGAGAACTGCTGAACCGATTTGGCTAATTTTAGTCTTGAAATACTCCTGGAAGTCCAGGGAAGGTTTAAAAGGTGAGAAAAATTGAAATAATTGCCAGGAAAACTCTAAAAACAGCCCTTTTCTATTTCCCATACAAACGGTTTTTTTTGACATTAGATTTGACAACTAACTAATATGTCAATCATTCTGTTTGATTGAAACAGGAAAAACCTGATTATTTATGGCCTCTAAGATGGAATAGAGTTCGACTGGTCAGCTATACCTACATACATACATATATCACTCTTGACCAAACTAACGCGGACGAAGTCGCGGGCAAAAACTAGTTTTCAATAAATCATTTTTATTCATTTCTAAAACTCAGAACATATAATGTAATAAATAATTAAAACAACATTATCTAAATGCAAAAAAACTTACTAAAACCAATATTTTTTTAAAATAAAATATAAAAACCATGTATGTTTCCCAATTATTTATTAATATTATTAGTCAGTGGTAGCCTAGTGGTTAAAAGGCCCGCTTCTCATGCACGAGGCATCCTGAGCCGGGCAACTACCAATGTGATTTTTCCGAGTCATATGTACTTTCTAAGAGTATTTAGACATCACTGATTAATGCATTCCCAAAGAGGGTTGGTGTCAGGCAGGCGGGCCGGTCGTAAAAAACAATAAGCCAAAATTATTTACAATATGTTCTGTGAGAAGAACATGTTGTGCCGACCCGAAATAAAGTGGGATCAGTGGGGCAGTGTATGTTTCCTAATTATAAAACACAAAACATCACCTAATTTATTTAAAATTGTGTCTATATGCTGCCGTCTATGGAAATATTTTTTTTATAATAATCTTGCAAATATAAAATCATTTCTATTTCTTATTTTATGTAATTTGTTGTTGTTTTACTTAACATACTTAACAAGCCTTGACCCTGTCAAATGTCTATTTGGAAATACTCGAAAAGTATATATACTTTCGCCTGGCGAAGTCGAATAAAAAGCAAAAAATGTTTGTAATAGTTACAAAAATATCTCAAAATTAATTTCCAAAAAGTATTGTTTTATAATAATAATAATAATAATAATAATAATAATAATAATAATAATAATAATAATACATTTAATTGTATGCAGACATTGTAAATACTCTAAGTGAAGTTAAATGCATGAAGTTATATGCATATCCAGAACTAGGCTTACCGTACCCTACTCACAGAAAAAACTTTTTCCTAGCCTCTCTGTTAGCCTCGGCAACATGCCTATTCCAGCCCACTAATATTCTCCTAGCACAGTTTTCACTGCCCTCTCGACTGGCCAAGACGTTTGATTTGGTTTCCTTCGACCACTTGTGTCAAAAGTTAGAAAATATTTAACTACTATTTTCAAGTTTTGGTATGGGAACCAAATCAACAATATACGATAGGCCTTACCTCTTACATATAGGTTGGAGTGCGCGGTGAGACAGGGTGGGTTGAGCTCACCTACGCTCTTTAACACAGGTTCACATACAGATGTGAACGAGCTGATCGGGGAGCTCAGCCATACTAGGGTTGGTTGTTTCATAGACGGGGTATGCGTAAACAACATCAGCTACGCAGACGACACGGTCCTGCTGAGCGTGCCTATCTGTGGCCTAAGTAAACATGTTTCTTTGTGTGAGGGGTACACCAAATCACACGGGTTAATATATAACTGTAAAAAGTTGGAGATCACGGTCTTTGAAACCAGGGGTAGAAAGCATGACAAACTGCCACCAGTAGTTCTTAACGGAACTCAGCTGATAAGAGCTTACAAATTTAAACGTCTTGACCATGTGTTGACCCCTGATCTCAAAGATGATGAAGACGTTGAACGTGAGCGGAGGGCGTTGTCGCTTAGAGCTAATATGGTAGTTCGCAGGTTTGCACGGTGTTCCCTTGAAGTCAAGATCACTCTCTTCAGAGCCTACTGTACAAACTTTTACACGTGCAGTCTGTGGGCTGGATATACGCGGAAATCGTACAGCGCTCTCCGTGTTCAATATAATAATGCGTTTAGGATGCTGGTGGCGCTGCCCCGCTTCTTTAGTGGGTCTGGGATGTTTGCAGATGCACACATAGATTATTTTTATGCAACAATGCGTAAACCTTGTGCATCTCCGGTGAGTAGAGTGCGGGCCAGCTCCAACAGTATCCTGAGCATGATAGCGAGCAGGCTAGACTGCGTGTATGTTGGTCGCTATTGTGCCATCTCTCATGGGATGTTAAGACTAACATCATAAAGTCTAACTTCTAACTTAGGTGTAAGTCTTACTGATAATTTTTATGAGTCATGGTCACTCGAAATAAAAAAAATATTATTTTTACTATTCATATCGAAATTAAAACTAATGAGATGTCAAGGGCCGTGATTATAGATTAAACTATCATCTTAATACTATTTGCATATATATTATGTACGAGTTGGTAAATAGGTTTTATCATCATTTAACCTTTAAGTCATTTCACTATCGCAAAATGACCTGGTATATAAAAAAAATCTAAGGTAATTTATCGTTACCTTTTATTAAAACAAAATTGTTTCATCATTCGGTAGAAAGTTTAGATTTGGCTAATTAACTAATCAAACGATTTAAATTGGTGCTAACCACCGAAGTCAATTTGTTTTATGACGTCACTTCCATTTTATTGTGATTTCAGTTTTTTCAACACATTTTACAATAAAATAAAAACTAGTTATCTGTTTATAAAAAAATATATATTTTTTATGAAACTAATACAATTTATTATAGACATTTATTGCTTTATTTGTGATAACGTCTTGATCTTTGACCGGAGTATTTTGAGTATATAACTGGTGTAGGGAATCGTCTCACCAGTAGTCAAATGCATACAACTGTCAAAATGTTTGCGCTACTGATTTTGTCTCTGCTTTCCACTGCCTTCGCTGGTGTAATCGTCGATTCAAAATGTCCGGAAATCAAATCAATGGACAACTTCAGTTTTTCCAAGGTAAATATTTCTGTTAATTGTTATTGAAGTTTAATTAATGTGTATATCAGATTTTTGTGTCTTTTTGCACGAAGGCACAAAAACTTCTAGTAGATATATATTAATTTCAACCCCTTCATTTATTTAACTATAAAACAAAACATAATTATTATTACTTTAGTTAAGAAGTTATGTAAATTTAGGAATAGATAATTATCTTCAATATGTCATTCTCTTGGCTATTTGGTTTTATATCTTAACAGGAATGTGCTAAAGTTATGGAAAACATGTTTATGTTGGTCAGGTAATAATTTATATTTAAATGAAACTAATAATATATATTTTTTCCTTAATAGTACGGAGAGAGTGAATGGTTTGAAGCGGCGAGGTACCCCAACGACAACGAGAAGGATTCCAAATGTCTTCGTAGCATCTACTCTTTCAAGGGCGACTATGCTGAGGTAAAGGCTTTCTTAGTAAGAGACGGCAAAGAATACGAATTAGACGGTACCATTAAACAAGCAGACAATGGTGGAAAACTTATATCTAACCTACACTATGACAGTAAGTATTTACATAATAAAAAATATCAGTATTTCCTTAATCTGAACTATATTCATTTATAAATATTTCTTTCAAGAAATGAAAATCGAAAATATCGTTTACGTTTTGGACAGCGATTTCGAAAACTATTCCATAGCCTACAGCTGCAAATATGATGAAGAAAAGAAATCACGTCAAGGTAACATTTGATATATACAATATTCTTATCAAAAATTTGTCAAATTTTCTTTAACAATGAAATATGTTTTTTTAGATTTCGTTTGGGTCAACGCTCGTAGCTTACCCATGAGTTCTGACATCAAAGCTAAAGTTGAGAACTTCATGAAAGCTTCCTCATTCCTGGACTATGACAAATTGATTTGGCCTGAAGACAACTGCAGCGTTCTCCGATAAATGCCTTCTATGGGTATCTAACAAAATCGTTTTGATACTGATAATAAATATTAAAAAATAAGAATATTTTCTTACTTTGTTGTTTTATTTTTCTTTTATAAATACAAAAATGTGGGAATAAAATATATGCATTTTCAATAATTCATTTTTATATATTTCTAAATATAACTTATAATTACTTTAAAACTCCGAACAGACAATGTAAAAAATAATTAATAACAACATTATCTTAATGGAAAAACCTCAATAAAACAATATTTTTTTTGTAAACATGTAAGTTTCCCAATTATATAACACCAAAACATCATCTAATTTATTTAAAATTTTGTCTATATGCTTCCTTCTATAGAGATATTTTTTATAAAAATCTTGCAGATATAAAGTCATTTCTTTTTTTATTTTATGTAATTTATCGTTGTAAAGAATTACTAAACATACTTAAAAAGCCTTGACCCTGTCCATATCTAATATCCATTTAGAATTACTCGAAAAGTATATGTATATTCCTTCTCCTAGCGAAGTCGAGTAAAAAACAAAAAAAAATTGTAACGATTACAAAAATTGTATTAAAAAAATACAAATTATTTAGTTGAAATATCCGTATTGCTAAATGTGTTTTAATTTTTACTTGAATAAACATATCAGGACAATATCTTTTTTTGTTTTTAAAGCAGTGCTGCCAAAATTATATAGTGTAATTTAATAGCATTAACTATTAAGATACATTATACATATGTTTTAACGCAATTGCAACTATGAAAATAATATCTCTATTAGAGAAAAGATAAAAAATTTACATGTATCATAGAATCAAGGTATCAATTTGTAGACGTCAAATAAAGAAGTTTTCATTTTGTTAATAAATTCTAAAAAAAACTAAAACTTCAAATAATATTACCATTTTTTATAACAAGAAATTATTAATGAAGCTGCAGTAGTTTATGAAAGATAAATAAATAAATCATATTAATATCTCTATATATTAAATGAATTTGTAATAGTATGTAACTAGAAACAAAAAATTAAACTACCTATATCAAATGTCAGTTTAATGAAAATTCTCTAAATTAAAAAAAAAAACTTAAAAATAATTTCCAAAGTAAAATTAATGGTATGTCAAGGCCGTGATTATAGATTAAACTTCTATCTTAATACTATTTGCATATATATGTACGATTTCTTGAATAGGTTTTATCATTAGTTAACCATTAAGTCATTTCACTATCACAAAATGACCTGGTATACAAAATAATCTAAGGTAATCGTTACCATTATTTTTTTAAAATTTCGTCTGGACAGCGCTTGATTGTCATTCCACCAGTTGAAAGATGGAAATGAAATTGAAAGTGGTAAATTCGCTACCTTTATATCAGCCCATTCACCCTTTTTTTGAAGACAACAAATTAAAACCCAGATTAAAACTGCGCCAATCTCTTGCTGTACGCATGAGTAAGGAGAAAGCCTATCGCTTCGCCCGAATGCGAGTAGGATCTCGAACGAAAGGATGGTAGATCGCTGTGTATGTGATAATTCGATGATAAAAAGGGGATGCGGGAATTAAATCGTGTTATTCCCATGAATACTCTTTAGAGTTTATCCTATAGAATGTAAAGAGAGAGAGGCTGAGAGAGAGAGAGAGAGAGAGAGAGAGAGAGAGGCTGAGAGAGAGAGAGAGAGGCTGAGAGGCTAAGAGAGGCTGGATACTTTTCGCCTATAAAATAGGCTGACTGGATTGGATTTAACCAAGCTAAGGTCACCAATATACCTTTTTACCCGTCTCTCCACCGAGTCTGAGCAAGTAGGTAACATTTGGCAACACTTGCCCCGACCTGCCAGCAGTATTTATATGAAAATTAAATTAAATAAAAAAAAAACAATGAAAATAAAAGTTTTTTTTGTATCGATTAATATTTACTATGAAATTGTAATATTGTCTTGGCTTGATCGGTCAAAGATAAAATGGTGATATTTAGTTATCACAAGGTCGAGTTCATATCTACGTAGATAGTGATATAAACAATAAATTAATAGAATAATCAAGAACTGAGATTTGGTTTCCACTTTAAGCTTGGAAAAATTTTGCTACACCGATGTGTGTCTAAATGTCCTTAAGTCCTTCAACTTTGATTTCCTTTCAGTCGATTTGTGGATAAAGCATCCTGTAGGAGCTAGTCGCTCTACATACTTAGATATGTATATGATTTAGGAAGACGAACTTTCAAAATCTCTTCAAAAAATCTTTTAGTCATTCAATACAAGATAGATCAAATTCGCTTTAACATGATACGCAGAGTGACCTCACGATTCCATAAACATATAGGGTAGTCGACAATAATTAAAATATGCCGCTTTTTTGCGATATCGCTGGCGTCGAGTGATAAAAGTAAAGAAACTTTAAGAAACGATCCAAATAAAAAATATAGAATTAGGCCTAATCACCTCGACTGAGTATTTTTTATTAACAAATACAATCATGTTAAAATAACAGTTTTTGTTTTGTCTTTACATTGATGTAATTTACAATTTAAAATATAATAAAATTTATAGTTAAGATAACGTTATGACCCTTGACCAGAGAATTTGGAGAATATAAACTGCACTGAGGGCGACTTTTAGTTCATAGTCAGATCATAACTCCGGCTAAAATGTTTGCCCTACTTCTTCTCACTCTATTTTCAACTGCTTACGCTAATGTATATTTTGATTCTAAGTGTCCAGAAGTCAAACCTGTTGAGAACTTCGACATTTCCAAGGTAATCATTTAAATCAATCATTGCTATTGATATATTCTTTAAATGACTCCTAAAACTACAGCCCAGTAACGTTTCCGAATAAAATTTAATATATTTCTTTAAAAGTATCATAACTTTTTTAAAGTTAAGTTTAATTACATGACATTATATATATTTTTTTCGAATAGCATTTTATATATTCAATTCAAAATCATCGATTCTTGTTTTTTTTTATATTTAAAAAAATTTTTATTAACTTAAAAAAAATATTTCTGTCGCACAGTTTTGCAGTATTCCAAATTTTTTTACGTATAATATAGAAACGTATGTAACCTGGGTCACGTTCTACTCTTACATATATATTATATGAATATTTCATAATATATTTTTTCATAAACTATAGTTCGGAAAAGATGAATGGCATGAAATCGCAAGATACCCTAGCGATGCTGAAAAGGGTTCCAAATGTGTAAATGGCATTTACAGTTGGATGGGAGACCATGCAATGGTTAAGAGTTTTCTAGTTAAAGATGACAAAAAATATGAACTTAACGGTATCATGAGGTTAGCAGCTGACGCTGGAAACTCTGGAAAGCTGTTCTTTTCTCAATCTTTTGGAGGTAAGTATTTGTTAAACAATATGGATGTTTTTCCTATCACCAAAAATTAATTAATTTTCTTTTCAGACACTAAAATCGAGTCTAATCTTCAGATATTGGATGTTGACTATGATAATTATGCTATTGCTTACAACTGTAAATATGATGAAGAGAAGAAATCACGCCAAGGTAAAATGAGAATTGTTATGGAACACGTTAATATTATAATATATGTTATGATCAAAGATGTTTGCAACAAACTTCAATTTCTTTTCAGACTTCGCTTGGATAATCTCTAGGAGCAACAATTTAAGTTCTGAGATCAAAGCTAAAGTTGAGAAGTTCGTGAAAGAATCTGAATTCCTTTACTACGATAAATTCATCTGGCCTGAAGCCTCATGCGTACTTAACTAAAAACCAATTCAGATCTGTATCGAACCAAATGACGTGGATTGTTGATATTTAAGATTATTGCGTGTATTCATTTAAATGAAACTAACATTCTGACATTTTCATATCATCTGCAAAAGATCGCGGTTACTGAAAAGTAATCGAAACATTGGGAGTAGATAGTTTTAAATTAATAAAACACGTAATGTATCATAGAACCTTGGTTTTATTTAAACATTGAATTTATTTTGTCCTGTATATTTTTTGGTTATTATTACCTTATTTACATTTTTAAAATAGTTACATTGGAAAAGTGAATTAAAGTACGAAGATAATTGTCAAACTTTCATATTTTAACAATAGGTTCACCTACATCAGTTAAAATAATGTATGTACGAGTACATCTGCTTAGCTTCACTAGGTGTTCTTGAAGTACCGTCATTCCTTTAATTTCTCCTCGAATAAACATATCAGAACATTATCTTTTTGTTTTTAAAACATCACTAACTAAAACTTTACAGCTTAATTTGTCACAAACTTAATAGATTAATAGCTATGTTATATGTATTGACGCACTTTTAACTATAAAAAACTATCACTATAAGCGAAAAGATGAAAAAATAGTATGTATATCGTTTAGAATTGCACTAATCGTTTTTTAAACAAAAAATATACATATTTACCTTATGAAAAAATATGGTCTATAATGGATTAAACGTATGTACATATCTATAAATATTCAATTAATATATTTTTGTACCTAAAAAATACACCACGCATAAAATAAGGGTTTAATTTGAGTAGATATCAAATAAATCAAAAGTGTAATAACGAAAGTAAAATTAATGAGATATTAAGAAAGGTTATTATAAATTAAACTATTATCTTAATGCTATGTGCATATATGCTCGAATTGGTAAATAAGTTTTATCATTAGTTGACCTGTAAGTCATATTACTATCACAAAATGCCGTGGTAGATACAAAAAAAAATTAAGGTAATCTGTCGTTAATAATCAAGACAGCGAATTTTTATACCCACTTAAATTTATTGTGTAATTGTATGTTGTCATGTCTAAATCATTTAAAGATAATGTGGTGATATTTAGTTATCACAAGGTCGTGTACATATCTATTTAGATAGTGACATAAACAAGAAATAGATAGAAAAGTAATGAAACAATCAATAACTAAGGTTTGTTTTTAAAATCGAATTTGGAAAAATTAGGCTCTACTGTTATAAAATTATCTGAATATTTTTTACTTCATCAACTACCTTAACCTTTCGGTCGATTGTTGGATAAAGCAATCTGAAGAACCCATGAGTTTGCAAGACAATTAAAAATAAAATTTCTTAAAAGTTCTTTTCAAAAATGTGTTGTAGTCATTTAAAACGTGATAGAAGAAGAAGCCCCCAATGAGTCTAATTTTTCTTCAACGGATCAACTTTGACCGAATACGGAGAGAGGGCATACGATCCCCTTAGACCCAGTTTCACCAATCAATGTTTGTTTAGTCTAATCATAGCATTTACTAATCAACCTTCAAAATTATAAATGTCTGTTAAAATATTTACGTCCCACGATGACAAATTAACAACGCATTATTAAACGTCATTTCAAATGACCGACTACCAAATTATTCGTTCTTGTTATAAGACGACCAAGTGGAAACTATAGCGTTTAACACGGCACGTTTGCCACGATGCACCACTTTATACTTTGATCGTATATATCCCTCGATACGTCACTTGTAAGCTAATGCGACCAAATTTTATACAGGTGACTGGTGAATTACTATCGATACTTGAGGACGTGATATTTGACGATCATATATGAAAAAATAAAAATTAATATAACATAAATATTAATAAACTTCTAAGTAAAGTTAACCAAAAGTTATGTAATTAATTACGCATCGTGTAAACACCCTACAGATTAGGTATACACACACACTCACACAGACGCGGCGGCGGCGTAGTGTTGTATCAGCACGCCGCCGCACGCGTCCACGCTTGGAACACTTGGAACGTGTCCACACTTTATTTATTTATACGGAAATTTGGTCAAAAATTAAGTACCTATTTTTTAACATAATTCAAATGAGAATCATGTACCGAGTATTCTCCTTAAATATTGGTAGTAATTCACCAGTCACCCTGTATATCGTTGGTTACATACATTCAGTGGTGACCTAGTGGTTAAAGGGTCCGCCTCTCGTTGCCGAGGGCGCGGGTTCAAACTTTACAAGTACCAATGTGATTTTTCGGAGTCATATGTACTTTCTGAGAGTATTTAGACACCACTGACATACGGTGAAGGAAAATATCGTGAGGAAACCTGGACTTATAGTTTCACAATTATAAGTTTGAAATCACCAACCCATCTTGAGCAAGCGTGGTGATTTATGCTCAAACCTTCTCCATGTGAGAAAGAGGCCTTTGCTCAACAGTGGGCGCTGATAGGCTAATGATGACGCATACATTTAGCACACAAAAAGCTATCTTTTCAGTTTACTACGTGAAACTTGTCAAAATCGTGTTGTCAATAAATTGTGTTATATATTATTGACATAAATTGTGTTCAAATTATAAGAAATAAAAAGAAAACTTAATTTGCAATTTCATAGAAAAGCTGGAGGCAAATCATCATACTAAATGAATTTTTAATTCACTTTATTAATAATAACAAGGAAATAGTCGAAACTGACAAAACACATGACGTTACTATGGTTACAAGAAAACAGGGCTGTGATTGGACAATTGAGTTTTGACAATGCCATTAACATTCTGTTAGCCACTAGACGGAGCTCCAGAGCAGGAATTAATATTAGTGGCTGGTTAAGACATTTAAACGGACATTTGTGCGTGGTGGGACGCTCGATACATCTAACAGAGCATCTAACGCCTTAACACGATGTTACTTATTTAACTATGATTGTTGAAACTGGGTCTTAACTTTTTTTAATTCATATTTTCCCGCTTTTGTATGCTGGTGTTGTAGGAACTAGAGGTGATAACAGAAATAAACTATGTCTTGCAAAGTGAACATGATTGTGTGATGGTGTTCGAAATAGCAAACTCTGTCCGTGGCTATGCTATTCTTCAGATAAAAAAGACAGTTTTGTTTTAGTTATAAGTTATATTTAAATGAAGATCTTATGTAGTTTTGAAATAAAACGACATTTTGGATTTTTTTATTTATACACAAATGTTATCTTTTATATAAAACAGCAACCTCCTTGATTGTCAAAATTTTATTGTAATATATGTAGTATTAGGTCCTTACATATGACATTGGCGTTGTGTTACGGAGTAACCTAAAGTGGATTTTTTTCAAACTATTTATTTAATAAAAGCATGTACCAATGCTATTTATGCACAAGAAAAGTCCGGGGAGTAAGATGGATGTTAGATATTCTAATTATGTGTGGTCTAGCGTTATTTTGAAAGAGCAGTGGCCTACAACGATTAAACAGTGCTACTTGTTGCTACTTGCAGGTCGAAACTTTCATAACGAAAACGTCAAAACCATAAAGGTTTTCTTCGCTAAACTACCACCATCATCAGCTTAGCGGTGCCCACTAATGAGCAAAAAATGGGAAGGTTAAAGAATTACTCACCACGCTTGATAAAGGCGGATTGGCGATTTCAAACTCATGATTTGAAATTGTAAGTCCAGGTTACCTGACGACGGTTTCCTTCACAGCCACCAGACACATTATTAATCATTGGAGCCGTTTTATGCCACTAGTGCCACGGCAAAATTTGTACTCTTAAATAATGCGATTTTTAAATTTTTCCATTTTTAAAATGGATCTAATATATGCAGTGTGGGCTATAAAGTACTAGGGTATGTAAAATTTAACAAGCCTGAGTTCCGCTCGTAGTATCAACCAACTCTTATGCTAAAAAAGCTTGCTATCCGACTACAAGGTCGTGAAACTCAATACATTTTGCTGTCAACACTCATAACGCTTTACTTGGCGTATTTATTATTAGGAAACCTCTGTTTACTTATTAATCTAAAAGAAAAAGCTTATAATAGAAGCCATCCTCGTCTACAGAGGTTCAAAGAGTCAATAGAACTCTTCTTTCTTAGTTATTGATACGTTGAAAAATGTGACAAATATTAATACCCAGGCTTGAGGTAAAATTTTTCTCTCAACTTTAGCCCCTATACAGTTTAAATAAAGATTGATCCAAGTTTACTAGATATTCATTAAATCTCCTACAGAAAAGGTGGAGGATGAGTAAAACCCCGCCCCTCTTAACACCTGTAATTGTTGACTTGATTCCTCTCCGGTCTTCCATTTCTGTATAACAGAAAAATATTAGCTAACCTATGAGATAAATTTATCTTTTGATAATCGATTTCAAAATTTCATTTCGATATTCTACCGCAGACTAGTACTACATCGTTCAAACCGGCTTATAAAAAAAAGTACAACTAAACCTAATCACTTTGACTGACGAATATCCTGTAAAAACAGAGTAAAATATAATTTAATAAACGATGTTAGTATTTTTTAAAAGCATAGTAACAAACATAAGTTCTATGTAAATATTCATTGCGACTAATGAATATCAGAAATTAAGAAGTGAAGTCAGTATTTTTCCTATGTTATTATAAACAAATGCAATCATGTTTACATAAAAGTATTTATTTAATCGACAAATTCGAGAATTAAATTGTTTGTTTTAACGATAGCTTCATGATCTTTGACCAGTGAATGAGAATAAAAACTAAAGACGGTGTGCAGTCATACCCAGATCAATACTCCAGTCAAAATGTACACCCTACTTCTTTTGACTCTGTTTTCAACAGCTTACGCTAATGTAGTCTTCGATTCTAAGTGTCCTGATATCAAATCTGTAGAAAACTTTGAATTTTCGAAGGTAATTTATATTAATTGTTGTTCTTGATTTTTTATTTCAATTAAAAATTGGATTTTGTACCTGCCACATTTTTAAGTAAAATATAATATCTCCATTACATCATTCCTTAAAAAAATCTTTCGTTTTTTATTTCTATAAAACTATTTACAATTATTCTTGCTAAAAGATATCTAATTTATTGTAAACTTCAAAAATTCTATGTCCATTTAAGAAATATCGAATTATTAAAGAAGATTTTCCTTCTTTTGTCACTATTTTTAAACGAGATATAATTTTAAAATTAATTAATCATTAATAATATTGGTTTTTCTTATCTATAGTTTGGAATCGGTGAGTGGTATGAAATTGCAAGGTACCCCATTGATCTTGAAAAGGACTCCAAATGTGTAAAAGATGTCTACAGTTGGATGGGAGACCATGCTATGGTGAAGAGTATCTTAGTGCAAAATGGCAAACAAGTTGAATTCAAGGGTATCATGAGATCAGTAGTAGAGGCTGGAAACTCTGGAAAACTTTCCTGTTCCATATCTAACGGAAGTAAGTAACGGTCGAATTACATGTATGGTTTTACATCACCAGAAAATTTACTTTTTTTTTCGTTTTAGGCATAAAATTCGACACCGACATTTACATTTTGGATATTGACTATGATAATTATGCTATTGCTTACAACTGCAAATATGATGAAGAGAAGAAATCACGCCAAGGTAACATGAGACTCCCTGTTCAATACACTTATATGCCTTATGTTATCTTATGATCAAAGGTGGCTCAATTAAATTGGTTTTCTTTTCAGACTTTGCTTGGATAATGTCTAGGAGCAACACTTTAAGTCCTGAGATCAAAGCTAAAGTTGAGAACTTCGTGAAAGAATCTGAATTCCTGCACTACGATAAATTCATCTGGCCTGAGACCTCATGCGTACTTAACTAAAACGTATCCCAAGTTACATTAAACCAAAATCCGTTGAATATTATTTTGTCAAACATATGTTGTTATTGTTATTACTTTATTTGCATTGTTTAATTATTATTTAGTACAAAGTCTGCTTAACTTTTTTGTATTTTCATCTCTCCATGAAGTCTATAATTAGTTAATATATTTACGTACATCTGCATATTTATACGTGTATTCGTTTAACGATCACAATAAATATATTTTTTTAAACTGGTTTAAACATATTTTTTTTGCAACTCATGATGACGCAATCGTAAGATTAAATACATTAATTAAATTAAATCTTTTTTTTGTCTCTAAATCTTACATTATTATTGAAAAATAACATATTTTATATCATAGTTAAAGCCTCGGATTGTAAGATTTATTTACAATCCACTCTAACTCTCGAGATAATTTGCATAAGTTTTAAATGTGCAAACACAACAACCATATTTTCATATTTTCGTTTATCCTTATTGTAAAATCTAAATATGTACTGACAAGTTATATACTCAGTTTTCTAATGTTTCAATTATGCTACAAATACCGTTGGGATCTTTCAAACAAAATGAAAGCTAACTAACCAATTTAAAAAACAAGTGATTATGTCAGGAAAAATTAAATTAACACTGTAATTTTGGACAACTGTCTATAAAAATCCAAAAAATTACTTCATTCATAATGATTACTAATCATATGAAAAAAAATATGCAGATAATGAAAATTTAATGTCTTTGGAAGGTTATATTCAGGTTACCAGAAAGTTGTAGATAAATAAAAGTATTATCGGCAAACCATAACCGTGTTCAATTGTTTGCTATCATCAATTGACCTCCATATCACAAACAGCTTTAGTTATAGAATGATTGGTTCAGACAAACAAGAGTAATAATTATCTATAGTTATAACTAAATGGATAAATCGAGGAGATATTATATCACTTATAATATTAAAGCAATGATACTTGTCGAAATCTTACATAATGATACATAAGATTTTATATATAAGATTAAAATAAAACTACAATTTTCGTATACTACTAGATCATAGATCATTTTCATCTCGTCTGCCCATGATCTCGGTTTCTATGGAGGAACTGAAACGTCAGGATTATAAAAGCTTAAATAATTATAAAATTCGATCAAAAAAGTTCAAAGTTGAAAAGAATGTTCCTAAAAATTACAATGCATTTAATATAAGTTGTTTACTCCTTTCCCTTCACTTCCCTGGCATTCTTACCTCAAGTTTTACTTTCCCTATAGTATAGTTTGTAAATTAAATAGCAAGTTACAATACTTTATATTTTACTAGCCGTTACCGGCCCGTTTTGTATGCGTTATTTAAAAAGATTTTCATTGTCAACTCGTGACCTTCAATCTCCTGTCGGGTGGGATATCGTAAAATTCGAACATAAATTACATACAGAAAATTAATTACATACAAAAGCATGGAAATTAAAAAAACATTTATTAACACCCATCCCCATAATTATCATAGGGGATGAATTATTATAGAATTTATTCCTAGGTAACTTCTACATTATATATAAAAGATTTCTATCAAATATGGAGCATGTAAGAGCTATACTTAAAAAACGGGAATTTTCATTTTTGACCCCCCCTACAATACCTCACGTAGGTGGAGTTTCGTAAAATATTATTTATATAATATTCCCACCTAATTTTAAGCTCTACGCTTCATGGTTCCGGAGAAGTCATGATGAGTGAACAAAACGGTGGGAATCTCATATATATATTAGTGTGTATAAGTGAGTAAAGAAGTAATTTAACAGGATCAAAAAATTAAATAATAAAGTATTGTTCAGTGAAATAGAAAAGGTATTTGTTTGTATAAAATACAGGATGGATTAATAATAATGTTTATTTATGAAAACTAATCTCTATAGTGTATAGTCGGCATTGTATCTTGTTGTACTCAGCTATGAATGTGGAGTGCTTCGTTCAAGAATGAGAATTTAATCTAGAACATTCGATTATTAAGTTTTATATATTAAAAACAGTTTAATTAATTCATCTAATCTAAGCTGATGCCTTGCAGGCCTTGTCAGAGAAGTCGGGCCATACGAATTTGCTGCTATCCAAAACCTTGGACTCAGAGACGAGCTTGTCAACCTTAGCCTTCAATTCGGGGGACAGGGACTTGGACCTCGAAAGAATCCAAGCAAAGTCTGAAAATAAGATAGTAAATTGTATAAACCTCGTAAAGAGTGCTACAAGCGAAACAAAATTATTTTTGGGTCACTGAAAGTACAGGTAGCAGTAGATTTCTATGAATTACATGATTTTCTTTATCATTTTATTTATTAGGATTCAAAATTATCTTCATTAAATGCTAATAGTACATCAAAAATCACTCTTGTAATGGACGTAACCACCTTAAAAACTGATGATAAATTTCATAACAAAGTTTTTTATAAAAGTTACCTTGACGGCTCTTCTTTTCCTCGTGATACATGCAGTGATAAACGATGGCGAAGTTGTCGTAGTCAGTGTACAAGACTTTCAAAACGCTGTCAGTTTTTTTGCCGGATGCTACAAAATACAAAAAAAAATAAATTTTATACAAATAGAGCAAACATGTTAATTGTTTTTTAATTTAAATACCTCCGTATGGCAATGTAAAGATGAGTTTTCCAGAATTTCCAGCGTCCTCAGCAAGCTTTCCTACACCCTCAATGGACATAAGTTTGCCGTTATTAAAACCAAAGTTCTTTACAGCAAAATGATCTCCTTGAGGCGTGTATTCGGTGTATCCGCAGTCAATCTTCATTTCTTTCCTGTTGGGGTACCTGGCTATTTCGTACCATACTCCCTTTCCGTACTGCAATTAAAATATTTATTTTTTTTAATTAATAATTTATTTTTTGACTTATTGTATTAAATTAAAATACAAAATGAATTTTGATTAAAAATATTTAGATAAGAGTCTTTATAATTCCAAATACTTGATTTTTCTAAACAGAAATTTTAAACATAAGTGTTATGAAACATTTCAGTTTCTTTTTCAATTCATAATATTCGAAACAAATTGATCATACTAAAATAACGAAAGAATAGAATAAAAATTTGAATTACATAGAAATAATAACAGTATATCTATATAAAATATATATTTTATTCAAAATAAAAATAGTTTGTGTATCACATAGAAAATAAAAAAGTTTTTATATTTTTATATATTTGTCGAAGAAAGAACTATTACGTTTTAAATTAATGCTCAGAATATTTGGTCACTTATTGTAAAAAAATATATTCTTTTTTGCTTAAGTAAAGAAATAAATAAGATTTAAAAATCTTACATTGGCAACGTCGAAGTTCTGAATTGGCTGGACTTCTGGGCATCTTGAGTCAACGTACACTTCAGCAAGAGCTGAACCGACGAGTGCTAGAAAAATAACAGCGAACATTTTGACTTTGTCGTTATGGATACCCGTACAACAATCGATCCCGATACCTGACAGCAATCATTTTATACCCAATACGGTCAAAGGTTACGGTTAGCTGTATTTATCTCATTATAATCATTATTTTTTTATAAATAAAAAGACTGTTTTCTAAGTGAAGATAACCCAGTGAAAGATAAGCTTTTACAAAATAAGTTTATGAATTGAAGAGAGGCATGTACTTTCATTTATTTAATCATATCCAGACACGGAACATGACTACTAATAGTTTAGTCAAAAAGTCCAACGTGTATATTATGTAATAGTTCAATTTTTTATTTAATTTACACCTTATATAAAAATCTTCAAGTAAACAAGAGAATAAATATGTATATGTACCTTACAAATCGATATCAGAATTTGACCTGGCGATATTTTAATGAGTTCGATAAAACTATCTTTTTCTTCATTAATACTGTACAATATTACTTTATATCTTGTTGCAAATTCGTTTAAATTTTCATATACGTAATTTTTTTTATTCAAATTTTTATAATTAATATTACTGTTACTTATACACAGGTGTTACTTGTATCTGGTTAGAATTATTATTACGCCAACATGACTCACGTGAAATTTTAGCGGCAAGAAGTTATAATGTTGTTTATTTTTTTTTATTATGTAATAACAAGGAGATGTACCTTGACTTTTTTTTCATCGGTTCTATTTTCAGGCCCAAAATTAGTTTTTTCTTATAAAAAATCACTCTAGATAGATCAACTATCAAATAAGAAAACATTTGCCAAGATCATCTCCGTGGATGAATGACCCGAGTCTCCCGTACACCCTTTCTATCGCTTCGCTTGTTTCACTTAAGCCATAAAAAATATTTCAAACGATATCAAGCACTTTGTCAAAAACACCTTTAAATAAAAAAATTGAAAAGATACTCGAGAAAGTAGTCATCGTTGGCGGTAGGTGATAAAAACAAGACCATCTGACAGACATTTTTATCTCATCTTTTAGTGATCCCCGTTACAACGAAGAGATCCAAAATTTTGTAAAATAAATAATAATTAAATACCGTCGTAACTTGTTATAAAAAGTGTTTATTGTCTTGGCAATATTAATGAAACCAAAATCACTATAACAGTCTTATAAAAACCAGTTACTTTAGGCATTCTTCCCGCGCGATTTGACGCAACGATGCCAATTATAATAACTATTAGAAAACATATACATAATATAAATTGTTTTCAAAAGCAAATAATAGGAACTAGTAGTGGATTGCCATACAAATTCGATATTCCTTTTTAAAAGAATAACTTTGTAGTGAAATTGTATTTCATATAAATAGAAATAAGAATTTCTTTAAAAAATTCTACTTATTTAATAATATTATACCGTTATGAATTTTTTTTGTGAACCTATAAAATTTACCAAATAATAAACCTATAAAATATACCTAAAAATAACCTATTTGGTAGGTGGTAGAGCCTAGCTGTAGCCAAGTTACTACAGCTCGAATATGGGCTGGCTCGACCGGGGAAGTACCACCCTCTCACAGAAGATCGACGTGAAGTAGCTTTCAGTGGCTGCGTTTCGTCCGATGAGTGAGAGAGCCGGTTGTCTTTTCCCTATTCCTTCCCTTTCCTGCTATTTCCCTATTCCCACCCCTCCATTCTCTTCTACAATTAAGGTTGGCAACGCATCCGCAACATCTATGTCGCGGATGTCTATGGGCGACGATCACTACTGCCCGTCTAGTAGGCCGTCTGCTCGTTTCCCACCTTTGACATAAAAAAAATATATATATATATATATAGTCTAAAATATATTTCTATATAAGAAAATAGAATTCTGAAATCCATTCCCTTGTAATTTGTAAATTTTGTAAAAAATAACGACACTACATACAACAATTAAAATGACAATTTCTATAATCTTATCATATAATCTAGAATTATCAAACTATGTATTCATTTTCAATGTAAATGATTATTATTTTAATATAGTTTTTATCATTTAATTCGTATTAAAAAGGTACATTTCCGATTTCTGATGTTGAAATTCGATGACATCATATTTTGACCGAAACCAATGACATTTGAAGGACGCAGATAGGAGATCCATATTTTTTTTAAATAAATATGAAAATGTATAAAACCACAGTGTAGACAAATATGCAATCAGATGACTAATCACCGCTATCTATCAATTTATCTGTTATCAACATTCCACTCCATTTCCCCTCTCCCTTCGCAGCCATATCAACTCGTCTGTATTTTTTTATGTTTGTTACCTAATAACTTTATTTTGAGTGAAGCTATTTAAATGATCTTATTTTTATTTTAGAACTCCTGCTTCCCATTTGGTACCAATTCACTTTGGTCTAATTATGGCATTGGCAATCATGAGATAACCATATAAGAATAAAATTAGCATTAACTACGTGGGCGATAATTAACAAGAACTGTAATAACAACAGATTTCAATTTATTTATTTTTGTGGCTAGACTTGTCATATCGTCCTGTTATTCAAAAATTTTGGAAAATCCTTAAAATGTGTAATGTAGGCGGCTTAAGGCGTCTTATGTTTGTCCTACATTGCTGGAAGATAAATTTTTGTAATCTTTTTATTAACTGACTTCAAAAGATGAGGAGGTTCTCAATTCGTCGATTTTTTATGTATGTTTATCCATTTTTAAATACTTAAGTACTGACATAAGAAAGATTTTGTTATCGGAAAGGTTGCATCCCCACGTTCAGTCATTCCCAAAAAATAAATATGCCCAGAGTTGGGATCAAAGCTTTAATTATTCCATAAACAGGTTATAATAGAAACAGAATAGGGTTAGGATAAGAATGAGGGTCAAAGATACGGATATTTTAAAGTCTTTTATTCGATATGACGAGAATGCTAAATATAAGATCCATGTTTAGAGAAGCAGGATGAGTGATTGTCCCGGTGACTTTACATTCCATTAATGCTTAAATGGTACATCTTGTACCATTATTGGTTGTCAGCATTGCTAAAATATCATCTCAATGCTTTCCAAATGACTTCGATGTTACCAAATGAAGAAAAACCTTTCTATATCTGGGAGACAGTTGGTACTATTAAGCATTTGCATGTGGGATGTAGGTCAGTCGTGAATATCGGTCAATACTTACATTGAACGATAGTGTTGCTATCTATTGAATTTATCCAGTTGTATAAGAATAATTGTAGATTAATTTATGTTTAGATTGACTGTAAGTAGTTCTAATTTAGTCTATTATTATACTAGTATGTAATAATATAATAATACTAAATAAATTTTTAGTAACTTAATGTGTAGAAGACACCGACTTGAAGAGCTGATTAGGTATTTAAAAAATGTATATATTTTGATAGGTATTAAGTTAGATCATTAGAAAGTAAATAAAAAATGTTTGTTTACTTACATAAGATGTTTAGTTGATCTTTGTGCAGTTATTAAGAATTTATTATTAGATATAGGTTTGGAAATGGGATTTAGGTGTACAATTAATTATTGCTTGTTAATTCTCGGTTAAGATGGTTTTTTTTAAGTCGTTTGTTTTACTTAAAAATAATTTTATTAAATCAATACCAGCATTATCTTTACAATGTTATCAATAAAAAAAATATGTTATATAATAATTTCGTAATACATCATATTTTTACTATATATTAATATACATATACTTTTTATATATTTATTCATATGAAATAAAAAAATGTTATTAAATTCTTTTTAATTACACTATTTATCTTTTGCTTCAAAATGAAAAAAGCTTAAATTTCTATTTCATGTATAACTTTTATGCAATCATGATGAATCCAATAACAAATTTCCAATACTTAAAATAATTGTAAACACTCTAGCGACACATTTGTATAGAATAATGAGTTTGATACAAATACTTAATCAGATGTTAAGTAGCGCAATTTTATATGTACCGATGTAATAATAGTGGCATAATTTTATATGTGTGTGCAACGCACTTGAAAAATTCTAGATACGCACGCAGATATCTAGATTTTTATGTAAATGTGCATGAGAAATCGCTGAATTTCCTTAAAGAAAATCAGAATCAAAATTATCTTGAATAAACAATGTATTGTTATGTTTTTCATTAGAATGATTTCGATAATTTTTGTACTAGTTCACATTTAATTACAATTGTATTTTTTGATTTGAAGCCTATTTTAAATATCTATGTTTTAACAAGACGTTTGAATTACTTTTCAGTAAGCATATAATTATTAAATTAAGCATAGTACAAGTATGCATCGTCATAGTACATACACCGTTTCTCGTATCTCGTTCTATAACCTACTTTAATATTATAATATACGAATATTTTTCCAAGAACAGTTATAAAATATATATAGCGAGATTTATATTAGACTAAATATACAGAGAAAGACGAGTAACTGTAACTTATAGAAGGTAGTTAAACTGAAAAAAAGTACGTTGAAAGTTGAACATTACTACTAAGAAAATGTACTCGCTTCGGCAGTACATATACTAAAATTGAAAGATACAGAGAAGATTAGCATGGCCCCTGCGCAAGGATGACACGCAAAATCGTGAAGCGTTCCACATTTTTGTTCAGCGAGTGCGTCATCTCGCGGAAAGAGACCGCTGAACGAGCGCGAGAAGATCACCCCTCCTCGGCGCCCCTGCGTCGACGAAGGCTGGGTAGAAGGCAGCGGGCCTACGCTCGCCAAATGCCTCCCCAGTGAGAGGAGCCTCCGGGCGTTGGTGGGGAACCGGCGTCCGGGCAACATAGGCTGGAGTGAGAGTGGCGTGCTTGGCGTTCCCGGCACGCTGCTCTGGAGTCGGAGGGGAAGTGTGGTGAAGCCACTGTGACCCCTGCCGAAGACGGAGTCCATGGGACTCGTGCGTAGTGAGCGGAAGTATGGCTTGCCGTTCCCGCTCACTAGCCTACGCACAGCGCAGAGAACGCCGAGGAGTTTAGTGGGTCGAAATCCCACACCCTCCCGCCGTGTTTTCCCCCGCGGCGGGAAGTCTTTGAAAGATTCTCCTCGTTAAAAAAAAAACTACTAAGAAAATAATAATTCAAATTCTATATAACCAATTTAATAAACATTTTATTATTTAAATCAAAAACAATATTTTATCTCAAAAAGCTATCTTAATGCTGATCGGTTTATCTAAGAGGATTGACTGTAGTGAATCATAATAAGTATCTTTCTTGGCATCCACTATCCCATATTTATTGTGTCAGTTTTCTGATATTTTAATGATAACATATTGTCTTGAAAATTAAATCAATTTAACTAAATATCTACACAATATTTATTTAGTTCATTAAAGTAATTCTTAAACTGTCATATTGCAGATTAAATGAAAATAAAAAAACGGTCAAACCTAATCTAATATGTTCAAGTAGGCTATTGCAGAATAAAATGTAACTATGTACTACTACTACTACTACTAAGATCCGAAAATCTTAGTTGTATTAAAATGAATACACGCAAAAATCTTAGATATAATTATATTCCAGATTTAGATTAGATATAAGAAAAAAATGGAATGATATAGGATCAAGTTTAATTTTGTTTCTAAACATTATTTAAGAAGATATAACAAAAAATAAAAACAAATATGTCACTATGTTTAATGCTGAGACGAATATCGATTGCACAAATGGTTTTAACAAGAACATGTTTAAAGCTTTTGCTGTCATAAAAATCACTTTAATGTAAAATTTTACCCTGTCTAACTATATGGTACATGTAGAGACCAACGTTTACGAAAGTATTAAATGGTAATCAAAGTTCAATTTACAATCAAAACTATTTATAATATGATAAATAAACTGTTAATGTTTAGCGGCAACATGTTAGCTTTGGTTGGTCTCATTTGTCCTTAATAATGTCTTACGCCACAGTTTTGAGTTTGTGTTCTGATTTCTTGAGTAGTAATGAAAGAACCTAAAAGATATCCTCATTAACTTCAATTAAAACAAAATAGCATTCCCACTGCGTGCATTCCCACTTTCTTAAACTTAGCAACCAATTTACTATTGTTAATAATATATTGTTATTGGATTTTCAGTCTTTACATACAAGTCTCGCACTTCAATGTGTCCTACTTTTCCGGGGACTCCCCGTATCGATCCGTACCCATTAAGATAATAAAAGATGTCGCTATTAAATATAAGTAGTTAATAAATATAAAGTAATAACCTTAATTTTTTCAATTCCCTGTCTCCATTCCTTGTGCATAGAAATTTTCCTTTAATTTCAGAAAGAAATGTTTCATTATAACGAAATTTAATTAATACTACGAATATGTCATTTTATTTCGATATTAAATACAAAATAATGTAAAAGAATTGTATAGAAAGATTATCGGATCATTATGGTGATATACAACTTGATAAGATTCTATTATAAAAATGAAATGTAAGCAGGCACCCGCATTATCATCGATTGTTTTGGATAGCAGCGTTGTGAAGGAAATAATGATCTCATCATGATGAAATTATTAATTTTTTTATTTAGTTTTATAAGTTACTTAGATTTAAGTGTATCTCAATATGTTCAGCCAGGACAGTGCGACCCGAATATACAGCTAGTGAATGATTTCAACGTAACTAATGTAAGTAAATTGTATTTTTTTATAAATATAAAGTTAACTATCACATTTTTTATCTTAAATAAATTCGTAAACATTTACTTTGTACTTAAATTATATTAGCAGGAATTAGAACCTTTTTAATTTATAATATTCATCATGGGTGAAAAATTATTCCATCGTCAATGAAAAATTTTTGTGATTTCTGAAAGAAGTGTTTTAATACTTGAAAAATAATTACAGCAATGAAGCATAAGCAATTATTCATAACCGTTTCCTTGTATTTGATATTGATTCAAAACTCATGACATAAATTTTGGACAAAAGGGAAGATTATTTAATTATTAAAAAAATATATAAACATGTTATACAAGAAAAACATTTTCTTTCTGACATACATAGTTATCATATCGAAGATTAGCAATGATGATACCGGCTGAATAAATTCCAGTACAATGTACTGAAATGTGATGTTTTTTTAAATCGTTTCCGAAAAAAATATATGGAAGTTAACTTCGAACAAACAAGAAAAACGTGAAAATGCGAACGACAATATCAAAATGTAAAATATTTTTTAACAAGCAAATAAGTTATTGTATGTGATTTGAAAAACACCAAAAGAAGTAAAAGTACGTCAATTGCTTAGAGAAGTATTTTAGTGTTAACATAAATAAATCTGATACCCTTGGAGTTTCAAACGTCATTTTAATATGGTTGTCAGATAGAATTGTTCTTAGTTTTTTGCTACAAAACAAAGAATCACATATTTTGATTAATGTCGGTAAAAAAATCTAAATACGAATAGTATCGTTTCGGTCGTAATATTGTTTATATTCCTTCCTAGTACTATCTCAGTTCAATATTCATATAACGTATTTTTTTCGTTTAAAATTTCTACCTACATAAAACTATTTGCCAGTTTTTAGGTCATATTTAAAAAATAACTTTATCTCGAATAAAAGTTTCACTTAAAAGGTATTTAGGGATAGCTATTTGCTAATAATTTCTCACAACATGGATAAGTCTATTATCCTTATTAAGTTTTATAGTACTTTAAAATCAGCTTCAAATTGTCTACTTTTCACACACAATAACATTTTTTCATATTTTTTCATAAATATCTTTCTGAAACTATGTTAAATTCATAATAAGATCTTATACTTACTCGATGTAAATTAAACAAATATTCGATTAACGACTCTTAATTTATTTCTTTAAAACTAAATACTCTCGACGTTTGAGAAGTAACCAAAACTTCGGGGTATGTAGTAATAAAATACGCATATTAATCCGAATAATAATTAGTTTTATTTATATCTTAAATTCAACTGCAGCAAAATTATTAAGAAGACTATGCTATTGTAAAAAAATAGAAAATTCCTAATCAAGGTATACCATAAGTATTATGAATTGATTTGTGGAAATATACTCGTAACATGAAACATTGTCGACACTTTAAAACACCTCTGTTTTAAGATAAGAATATTAGTTTTATAAGAATACTCGAACAATTCAGATAAAATAATTGTAAAGTCTTGTTAATTTAAATTATTTGTGATTTCGTAAAACAGATACACAGTTGTGAGTCATTTGTTTTTTTATAAAACAATATGAAAATTATAATCCCAAAGTTAATACCTACTAAGTAATTAAACTTCATTTAAGTAATTATCTACTTATTTATAACGCACTCATGGTTCATGGAAGGTAAAAAACAAGTCATGATTGATTTATTAAATGTTCTTTTAAATTAAAGAATAGGAAAGCTAATATTTTTTTTATGAATGTCCGTTGTAACTACCAAAACTAGTTCAATTTGAAATGACATAAGAAAATACATAATTTAGCCGTAAAGCCACATCCATAAATGACTCATTTGGATTAACAATACTTAGCCTTGAATAGAATTGAAGACATGCATTATTTACCACACCTTTCTGTTATCATGTAATACAATAAAATCTTATCACTTTAAGTTTTCTACTAAATTAGCTATCTTACATTATATGAGTTCAGAGAATTGCACTAGCAGTTTAAAGTTTCAAACGAACTTTTTTCTTTCGTATTCGTCACAAATCAATCATTAAAACAACGATTTAAAAAATTTATTTACAAAAATTATGCGTCGGTTAAATGCAAAAATAATAATAGTTTAATATTGAATAATTATGAACAAAATTATATATTTGTGAAAGTTAATAAACTCCGTATAAAACGAGTTTATCATTATGGATAAGATAACATTTTATGCTTATTACATGAATGAGATAAAAATGCTCACAACGAGTTGATATTACGTAAATTGAATTCTCCACCGTTTATTCAATGTTTTAAATGACCTATAAATAATTGTTTAGATATTTTTTTGTATAGAAAATCAAGTGAATCCACCTAAATACTCAAAGATTCAACCTATTTCATTCATAAAAGTCAAAGAGACATCATTACATTGGAGATTTTTTGAAAATCTTTGAAGTGAAGAAATTTTTGAGCTGTCATAGGTACTCCCAGGCCTAACGCGCCCTATCTCGACTACAAAGGTTAACGTCTGCAAACTCTCTTGTAGGATATACATATAAGATACGTTTTTAATAAGTGTAGTAACATACCATTTTTTATATATTTTTTGTTTATTACGGAGCAAAATATTTTATTGTTTTTTTTTTTTATATTTCACTAACCGAATACCTGTCCAGCGGGTGACAATACAATTGTGGATAATGCATGTGGTTCATCTGTTTATAATCATATATCATATAGATTTTTTTTTGCTTCATAAACCTCTATTTATATAAAGTATAAAATTTCTCCCGCGTCAAACATCGTATGATTTAAGTTCAAGAAACAAGTGAAACATTACATCGATTAAGATAAAAAAATATGTATATTTTTTTTATTTTATAAAACATTTTAAGACGTTTAACTGTTAAAAAGACCAAAACGAGTTTAAGAAGTTTGAATTTATTTATTTTGAAAATATATCATTTTGTGATTTTTTTACGAAGGTCTCTTTATAGCTTTGAAATAATTATTGGATATTACGCTTTTCTAATGATACACAAAATTAGCCGTATCACCATAAGTAGTACTTAATCAACAAAACAGAAAGCTGGACTAATAGATAGACTTTCCTTACAATCTTAGTAATTCAGTTTACAAATTAAAATCCAATTAACAAGTCAATTTACAAAGAATATAATCTTTTATCCAACTTAGAAACGATTACCATCATTCGATGTCCTACACACGATAATGTGTGATTATTTAGTGCTAGTTACCTTTTATTTTATTGATTAACCTTACCCTGAAAAATTATAACACTTATAGTAATATGGAAGGTCATACCAGCTCGATGATAGTAAATTATCAGTTTTAATTGACAATACTATTGTCTTTTTGATGACCTTAATTATGTTATATATATATATATATATATATATATGTATGTATATATATGTATATGTATATATATATATATATTTGTGTGTATATATATAGCTAGCTCTTTATTGTATTATGTAAATGAAATAGTTATTTATAAATAAATAAACATAAGTCTATTATGTTAATGAAACATTAGTTCTATAAATAAAACTAATCGTCTTTTTGTCTATTTTTATCCACGTTATTTATAAATGTTAATACTATTTATAAACATGTTAATACAAATCCATTTCTAGATCTCATATATATTTTTATTTCTAATATATTTTTTAACTTAGATATTGGTTATGTCAAAAAATATATATCTAGAAATAGATTTGTCTATCCCGTTTGTTTGACTATATATAAATAGATTTTATATAAATACAATAGCTAAAGAAGATTTGTATATATTTAATATTATTTTATATACCTACATATATATACACTTAGGTATTTTTTTCATATTAAAATGCCTACATTATCGAAAATTGATAAAAGAATGTTTATTTAAAATAATATTTATTGATAACTCACAAGTAACATTAACTTGTTTTGATTTAATATATGCAGTGATAATAATTTACACTATTAATAAGAAATATTTAAATCTTATATATGAAAATTAATAATGTTGAGTCAAAAGTAAAATTTATGGGACTGCAATTTAAATAATAATAATTTTAAATAAAAACACAATCAAAGTAAAGTGTCTGTTTGTGATTTAAATGTAGCGTTATATTTGAATCTTCAATTAAATATATTAAAAACTTAATAAAAATACCTTTTTTTCGTTTGTCAGCAATAAAATTCAAAAAGGGCTAAACAGTTTTGTAGTAGACTTTCGTTAGACGAAAGACGGTTTTGAAGTTATGTATACTATATAAAAACATAAATCCAAAAGGTTTTCAAAAAGACAAAAACAGTTTGAAAAGATTCGGTTGGGTTTTTAAATTTTACTACACACAATTGTATTAACAATTAGAGTACTACAATTCGTCTATTTACTTAAAATTACATGAAAAATAATAAGATTACTAAGTCGTGTGCATATTTCCATTAAATGAGATGTAAACTAATTTTACTGAAGTTATTTTATGTATATATTTTAGTTCTTTGGAACTTGGTACGTTTTAAAACGCTTCCAAAATCCAATTCAAAATGGCGACTGCGCGACATTAAACTTCCTGCCTCAAAATGGAAGTTTAACAGTGTACAACAGAGCCGTGGCAAATAATTTCCTTAATGAGATCAATGGCACAGCTACACTGCAGAATGGAACCGCGAAATTCTCCGTTTCCATCAATGGCATCAGTCAACGTAAGTATTTACATAAATAATATTAAATATTCTTTTGTAATTTGTCATATATTTAAAAGTTAAACGCTGTCAAGACTAAACAAACCGATAATTATATGTCAATTTGTGGATATTAAGTTCGGTATTGTAAGAAAAGCCTAAATATATAAAGAGAAGATATTTAAACATAACAATAATACATAGTAAAAAACTCAAAAATGTATATTGAACAGTTTTATGTTGATAAATATCGATAATTTGGAACTAAATGGTCGTTAAAAATGAAATTAAGTTCAAATAACCCGTAAGTTGTAAACTTTTTTATGTGTTAACAAAAATGTTGACATTAAAAAAACAATATCTCAATCAATGGAAATAATATGTAAATGAATGTAAAGAAATATTTAAAAAAAATCGAATGAAATTTAATAATTGAAAGTATCGCGTCCTTAATTTTTGAATCAAAACAATATTTTGACTTATATGACCTTGTTATAAGATCCGGTGTACTTAACCCCTTTTTTTAAAAAATGGCAAAATACCTTTTTTGGATTACTCAAAATCCAAAAAAGGTCTTTTATATCTTAACGTCGTAAACCGATTTTACGATAAGTGTTTATTGTTTTTTTGGTAAATAATGGTTTCCAAAAAGTCTATTTAATATAACAACTCATTGGGAAATGACTAAAACTCGCTTGATGATTATGCCTAGTCTTTTATCACATCTTCTAGGTTAACAATATTTTTATTACAGCTATGGACTTCTGGATTCTTCCATCCGCGCTGTATACAATGAACAGTTTGGGTTACTCCTGTGCTAATTTGAATAGCACACACAGAAACGGTAAGCTATATATAGAATTCATTGTTCATTATACTAAAAATATATTATAGATACAATGAACTTTATAAATAGAATATTAGTGAGGTCGTAAAAGAACTAGTTTTAAATAAAGTTGACATATATTTCTATTTCTGTTTCATTAATATTCATGTTACCTTGCAAATACAAACACTTCTGTATTATTATGTTATTATAGTATATCAAAAAAATTGTTCAAAAATAATGAAGTTAAAAAGTAACCTCTATCATAATTAAGAAAATATATAAAAAAATATCTTATTTTTTTAATAATGTCATGAAAAGAGCTTAGTTAAAACCTGTTCCTACAATAATTGTTTGTAAGTTAACTTAATTTTTCGGTATTTACTCGTTGATGCTTATGGTGCAATAAAACATTATTTTTTTAAATACAATTAATATTTTATGAAACGTCAAGAACATTAATAACCTTCAAAGCAATCGTTCCTTCATTTTATGGTTTCTATTCGTCAAAAACTAAATAATTTTTTAAAAAATTGAATAATTCTAATATAGACAACTATGAAGTGATTGTAAATTGTTTTTTACTATTTTTCCTTAGTAGATAACCGATGCTGAGGAGGTTTTTAAAAGTTAAGACTGCCTTACTTCAAAAATAGGAGCATTTTAATTATGTTTTCCATATATTTTTTTCAGTTTACATATGGCAGCTAGGGAGATCGACAGTCAGTGGAGATCTGATTGAGGCGAACCTGAATCAAACTCTCCTAAATCTATTGGGTATACGGATAGATAGCCTGACGGTGGTTGATCATTCAGAAGCCGCTTGCACAGTTCTCCCGGATATCCAACCAGGGGAACCGGTTATCCTAGAAGGTTCATGTAATGAAAACATAAGAGTCGTGCAGAATTTCAATCCCTCCGCCGTGAGTATATCCATATCCGAAATTTAACAACGCACTGTAGTTACGCTATTTTATTTTAATTATCACACAATATGTACGATCTTAATGTATATATATTATCTGAATAAAATTTCATTTGACGTTAAGTATGTACTCCACTTGCCAGTATATTGTTAAAGTTAATGCATTGGATGTTTCAAAAAGGCTAAATAAATACCTTTTTAAATTTAAACCTAAAAAATATATTTAATAAGATTCTTTTAGAAAATAAGTTCGATCATAATAATTTACTAAAATCTTTTTGCTTCTCAGTTCACTGGTGTATGGCACCAAATAGCAAGCTATGCTACAGTAAACGAAATTGGAAGCTGTCGTAAAGCCGAGTACCGGCTCGTCGGTTCAGCAGTATCAGTGACAAACAGTGAGGTAGTTAACCAGGCCCTTCGAGTTATATCTGGAAATGCTAGTGTCTCCAGCAATGATGGCAGCGCTAAACTTCAAGTCACTTTAGAAGTACTGCCTGGAAGTGAGTATATAAATTACAACGGTACCAATTATAGATATTATGAGATTTAATACATTCGAGAGTATACATTTAAATATAACTAATATTTTTCGGCTTAATAATCCAAAAAATATCTATCTGTTTCATTTAAATTATAGATATCGTTAAATTTTTTCGATTTAAATTCTCATACAATTTTTAATATCGTATAGTACATTTCAACAATAACGGGAAAAAAATGTGTATATGCATATATCGTATCATTTTAACATCAACCGTGTGACAATGACACTTAAATCTTTAATTTTTTTTTGCGAATCAAAAATTATATTTCGAAAAGTGCAAAAAAAAAGGTCGTGTAAGGTTATTGATCGCTGGCAGGCTGTTATAATAAAAGTGAAATGAAATATACGTCTTAAGGTATCTTAAAGGACGCTTTTGACGTTTTCAAAAAGCACCATTATTTTTATTTATTAATTCGTATTGCACAACATATAACAATATATTGTGCAATTGCGATTTTTTTGTGTGGCAACATATTTAACCTCTGCCCGTATAAGGCGTGAATCACATTACTATTACTCGTAAGAATAATAAATGACATATTTCTTTGATTGTACCTATTTTTTTATCGTATAAAATCTACTTTTCATATCACTACATTAAAAGCATATCGTATCATATTATGGGCTCGTGAATAGATTTGAATCAGATCCGATTCTTCTTGCGTCATCGTTTATCTTTCTTGGCAACACATATCGCGAAGGTGAATTCGATTTCAAATTTACATTAAAATAATATATGAATAATAAAAAACCAATATATCTACAAACTATATTCATCAACGTATAATTTTAATCATTATAAACATATAAATATTTATATTTTCTACAAAATTGTAAGAGTATGGTATTAATGGAATAATTCACAAGCAAAATTAAGAGAAATTGAATTTATTATACTGTACTCTTAATAAAATATGACAAATTTGATTGCTATTTACAAGGAAGCTGTCCTGTATGCATCGAATTCATCCATAAACATTTCTACTTGTAGCAACATTTTATAATAAGGCAATGGTATATGACAAAAATATAAATATAAAGAAAGTAATGATTTACATAATTTTTTTTTCAGCATTCTCAAACAGCTCTCTGTGGGTGCTGGCTACAGACTACTCGAGCTATGCCATTTCTTACACATGTGTTAATCTGGCCGATAACCGCAGACGAGGTAGTTATTTAAATGAATATTACAATATATATCAACATTTTAACGATACATAAAAATATATTATTGATGTATTTCAGTTAATTCCTGGATTTTGAGTAGATCGCGTCAGTTGTCTCAATCAGCGCAGGTTGCTGTTGACGACGTAATACGTTCAGAGGTGGAACTCAACACTCGTTTCTATGTCCAAACTAATCAGTCTGATGATGGTTGCTTCTACTTTCCGGAACCGTCAGGTCAACGCGTCATCTTCCCTGGACAGTGTGACGAAACCATTCAAGCCATAGCCAATTTCAACGCTACCAGGGTTTGTATTAAATAACATAAGTTATGAAGAATAGAAAAAAAATCTTGTATTTTACATATTTGTATTCAGTTAACACTGTTGTCTGGCCACTTTTAATGCAATTCTATCATTTTGCTATTCCATTATATGTAGTTTTAGAAACGAAATATACAGACTTTAATATCACAAACATCTTCCACAATTTGGTAATTTAAGTTTATAATTCAGAATAATTATTTCTAATACTCCATTCTTCATTCTCAAAATGACTTTCTTACAAACTTCAATGCAAAATACTATCGTCATATTATTTATTTAATCTCCTCGTTTTTCATAAAAAAATATTACTCATTGTCTGTAGCAGTTAAATAGAATATATCTTATGAAAACAATACATGTTTCGGTCTCCGACTATAAGATGTAGATTTTGTTTTGAGTGACAACACAACCTTGGTTAAATATGTACGAAAAAAATAAAAAGAACCATTTCAATTCCTTAGTAGTTATTCGAAAAAAATATTTTACTCTCAACCTCGACGGTTCAGTAACGAGAAGGAAAAAAGATATCCATTAAAAAATGTATTGCAGTAACATAATAAATGTATAAGTTTAAATATGAATAATGTTTAATCATCTCTTATTTAATGGTTCTGTGTTTTAAATTTTCGTATAGCTTATAAACATTAAATTTATTTTTAGTACATGGGTCGTTGGTACAACATTGAGTCTTACCCTGCGACTTCAATAAACGGCTCTTGCTCTAAAGCCCTGTACACGCTTGTAGACAACTATGTACAGGTCAACAACTCACAGGTTCTTAACCAGAGGCTGTACAGCATAACTGGTACCGCTGTTATAAATAGCACAGATAATTCTGGAAAACTTTTGGTTTCTTTTCCCAGCACTGGTAATAGTGAGTATGACTTTTTTTGTTCAAACTGTTTTGAAACTTCAACACAATCAAATAGGTTGTAAAATTTATCATTCATTTTTAATAATACATACAATAGAAATCATGATACCTATATACTGGAATTGATACAAATAATTTACATAGAATGATAGTTTAAATATATTTACATTATTTTTTTACATGCAAAAAGCTTTTAAATAAAATGAACTATTATATATATTTTTTAGCTCCAAACACAGCAAACTATTATGTTCTGGACACCGATTATGATTCTTACGCAGTTGTTTATAGCTGTGAAAATATAAACTCAGAGCAGAGACGTGGTAAGTAAATGATAATTGTTATAATTATTGCCTTTATTACTGTTCATTTTGCGTTCTTGAAAATACAACCATTATAGTTTTGGAATTTCGAATGGAGCTCGACCATAATTGACATAAACCTACATGCAGCGTTTGTGCACTCGTTTTATAATAAACACAGAAGCGACCGTATTATTTAAGTATTCTCAAAATATAATGAATAATTACTTACATTATAAGAATATTCTTTTATGATACATTCAAAACAATTATATTCTACCTCGATACTGTGGCATGCGTATAGTTAATTAAATATTTTTTCCCAATTGACTTAAATTGAATGTCTTTATTCAGACAATAGCAAATGATAGGTTATCTGATGATAATTATCATTTAAAATATAATTTTATTATAATACTCAAATATTATTTTACGTAATACCAAGAGTAATACCATGTTATAAGTTACTTATTGAAAAAAAAAGAATACCTTCATTCGAAAGGAATAAAAATAAATTGATTTAAATGTTACACTTATTATAAATTACGGCAATATTTAGTTAGATACCTACATTTTTTTTAAATGAAATATCTGAAATAGTACAATATTTTAGTTCTTTTTTCTTTATGAAAAATCTCTATCGACATAAATTTGTTGGAAATAATATTTTTGTTATACAAGTGAATCTTGGTTTCAGTTACTGGTTTCAAGCTTGGACGTAGCAAGCAATTAAATAGCTCCGCACTAGCTGCTATTGATAGAGCTATGGGTCCAATACCGGTTATGGACCAAAGATATTTTGTACCTCAGAGCCATTCTGAAGAGAGCTGTTTCTACAATCCTGAACCTCAACAAGGAGTGCCAGTCGTCTTCCCTGGGCGATGTGATGACAATATAAATGTCGTACAAAATTTTAACTTAACAGAGGTAATGTTTATCATGAATAATGTTTTAGTTATACAAAACTCAAATTAGTCCTACTTGAAAAATTAATTATTTAAGTACAATTGAAAATATAACACATCTCGTCTGCCCGTGATCACGGTTTCTGAAAAGTAACCGAAACGGCAGGACTATGTATTTTTTTACAAAAATAAAGCACGCGTAATATGTATATCCGAAAAATATTAGTTTCATTTATATAAAAACAGAACAAAAAAACATGGCTCTCTTCTCCCACCCCAATTAGGGTACGAAGTCCTAATTGGTTTAAAATATAAATGTTCTATGATCAGACTTGAAATTATAATTATAATATTGACGAAATTCTGACTTTACTTTTTTATTATGGTCATTCAATAAACACAGCTCTTATCTTCATGTAATAAAGTTAGTTTCATAACTTATCCATATTCATATTTAATTTTTTTTCAGTTCGTAGGAACCTGGTATGAAATTCAGTCATATCCTATAAAAGAAAAACTGGGAAGCCAATGCGTTAATCATGTCCTGACACAAGTTTCAAACACAACCTTAAGCTCCGTTAGCTCTTTCGTTATTGACCAGTTCCTAAATGTTGTCAATGCTACCATAAGTCTTGCTTCAAACAACAATTCCGCTAAAATGATTATGACACTTCGATCTGAAAATAATGGTGAACATTTATTCTATGAACCTTTAAAATCTGGATTTTTCTACATGTTCCTCTAAAAATAATATATACGATTTTGTATTGATTTCAGTAAATGAAATACCGTTTTGGATATTGGATACCGACTACAGTAATTACGCTCTAGCTTATGGATGCGTTAACATAGATGAAGACTACAGATTAGGTATTTAGGGTTTGATTTACATTTTTAATACATTAAGTTAGCACTATTTAAATTTCTATGTATAATTTCCAGTCTATAGTTGGAAGCTCGGTAGAAGCCAACAACTGTCTCAGAATTACATTCAATCAATCAATGACGCAATGTCAAATGTAAATGTATTGCAAGAAAGATATTTTGAAACTAAAAATCACACACCTGCATCGTGTTTCTTCTTGCCCGACATTCCTAAAGGAGAGCCTATCATATTGAACGGTCAATGCGATCTAAATATACCAGTGGTGCAAAATTTCAATGCTTCTGCGGTGAGTCGATTGCTCTTGAACATTAAAATAATTTTGATAATCCTTATGTACTCATGTTACGTATTCATTTCAGTACCTCGGCAACTGGCGACTAATTGAGAGCTATCCTAGCAACTTCCAAAATGGTACCTGCAACAGAGCTAACTATAATCTCGCTGCAAACAATACTATTGTGGTTTCAAATTCCCAAGTGAACAATCAATCGTTAACCGTTGTAATTGGATCCGCTTGGCTTCTCAGCAGTGGGAAACTTGAAGTCGACTTACCCGGCAGTATGTATAGGAATATCTCAATTATAAATTTTGTTTAAATTTTAAAATTAACTATGTGCTATTCTCCAGCTAACAGAACGATCGAATATTGGGTTTTGGACACCGACTACTCTTCGTATTCATTAGTTTACAGCTGTGAAAACTTAGACGCAACACGAAGAAGAGGTATTTTTTGGATTTTTTATATACTTTATGAAAATAAGTTGAATCTACAATTCTGCTCTCTCTTACAGTATGGAGTTGGAAGATGAGTCGAACCAGAGACTTAACACAGAATGCTATTCAGAATATTAATCGCGTAGTTGACAGCATAGATGTTCTCAATAATCGTTACTACGAAGTCTTGGATCACTCTGACAACGGATGCTTTTATTTGCCAACACCTAACCCAAATTCGCCAGTCATATTCCCTGGCCAGTGTGATCCTAATATAAATGTTGTAAACAATTTTAGAGCTACTGAGGTATACTCTTAATTTATGAAATATATATGTATAATTATGAATCCTTTTCGTATGTATAATTATTATTATATAATATTTTTTTAGTACATGAATCTTTGGCATAATATTGCATCATACCCATCAGTATTCCAAAATGGTACCTGCAATAACGCTAACTATAAATTACTTCCAAACGGCACTGTTGATGTTTTAAACACCCAAGTAATTAATCAAACATTAGACACTATTAATTTATCTGGTAGACTAGCGTCGAATGATGGGAGTGCGAAGCTAATTGTAACAATCCCAGCTGGAAACGGTAAATTTCTAGTAACTAATTTATCAGCTTCTCTTCATCTTTAGTAGAACCCAAAAACCAAACAATAATAATATTAATGTAAATTTCTTTACAGGATTTCTTGAATCACCTTACTGGGTACTTGATACGGATTACTCCTCTTACGCCCTTGTATACACTTGTATCAATATAGATGATGAAAGACGCCAAGGTATAGTACTAGTTTTTCAAAAATGTTTCACTTATTTCTAATAAAACGGAAATCTGTAAACTTATTTATTAAATAAATATTTACAGTGTTGTCGTGGAAATTAAGTAGAACAAAGCAATTATCAGCCAACGCATCAGCAGCAATCGATAGAATAGTCAACAATGTTCCAGTTCTTAACGAACAATATTATGTGCAGAACGATCAAACAAAAGAAGGCTGTTTTTATTACCCTGAACCTCAAGCAGGAGTAGTTGTAGAGTTCCCGGGACAATGTGAGAATGTACAGGGCATTCAAAACTTCAACATGTCTTTGGTAACTAAGAAATAATTTTTTTACATTTTTTAATAAAGAATAAATTCACAAAACTTAATATTTTGTTTTAGTTCCAAGGTGTTTGGCATGAAATAGAAGCATATCCTAAAGAACAACAGTCTGGACAATGTATCAGCCACAACTACACAGTAACTTCGGCTAGGACTTTGAATCTCTTGTCCAGAAATGTTTTTAACCAAGAACTTGGTGTAACTAACAGCACAGTAACATTTGCTTCAAATCAGGAAACCAATGGAAACTTAACAATAACCCTTAATTCTGGCGGACAAGGTGAAATATTAGTACCACTTTTTTTACTAAGCGATTCTAAAGTGATTACAACTAGGTAACTGTACACCCTACCAGTTATATTCAATTGACACGAAAGGATTAATCTTATAAACTTATGATTTCAATTTACTATTGCTCAAAAACTTAACCTTGATTCCAATTACCAAACTTGACCTTGATTCTACAATGTTATAAAAACATATATACGACCAGGTTGTATAAATGGAAAACGTAGAAAAAAACTCCGTTCCATGCAAAATGTCCCAAATATCATAATATACAATTGGTTCTTGCCAACTTTTATGTTTTTATGAAGATATTTCAACTAATAATATATATTTCTTTTCAGTGATCACAATACCATTCATCGTTTTAAGTACCGACTACCAAAATTATGCGTTAGCATACAGTTGTGTTAATTTGACGAATGATTTCCGAAAAGGTAAAATTATTTGAAATATCATAAAGGCTTTGGCAAATTAATGGCAAAACAGATATGTAATTACTTCACCTTGAAAAGATACTTAAGTAACCTTTTATAACGACAGTTTTCAGCTGGAAGCTTAGCCGTAACAAGTTTTTAAGCAATGAATCACGATTGGCTATAAACAACGCTATGGCCAACATCACTGTATTAGAAAACCGATATTATGAGAACATAAATCAAACAAATAATGCATGCTTTTATTTACCAACACCGGAGCCTGGTAAACCAGTGACTTTTGAAGGACAATGTGATGAAAGTATACCCGTTGTTAGTAACTTTGCAGCTGCCAGGGTGAGTTTTTAATAAACATATTCATAATCACATCAAACAGAGCACTTTTTCAAAAACCTCAATATGTATTTATATTATGTACGTGTTTCCATTTGAACAATTTGAATACGCAAATACCTGTATATGTTTCAACCACAACAAATAAAATTATTTTTTCATAAAACTATTTTCATTGTATTTATTAAACGTAGTTTATTGGTTTTATTTTACCAAAAGATTCGATTACTTCTTAATCATTGTTGGACACTATAAAAGGACTGTCAATTATTTTTAATATTTAGCAGAGCTTACGCGAAGATATTAATATAGCAATGAGAAAAAACAAGAGTAGCTGTAAATAAACTTATCTCATATCATCTGCCTGTAATCAAGTTATATGAATGTAATAGGATCGTCGTTTAAAAAATATAAAAGGGAAATCCGCAAAATATAGTGTTGCATAAATTACATATTGCTCGTGAAAATCTTATATATGAAAACGATCAATTATATTTGACACAAAATCTGATTTAAGTATTCTAAAAATTGTTTCAAAAAAAAACAAATATATCTTTTTAGTATTTGGGACGTTGGCTCCTCATAGAATCGTACCCAACAGTAAATCAGTTGGGTGAATGTAATGATGCCAACTACACCCTAAACAGCGATGGTACGGTAGACGTATACAACACGGAAGTCCTTAACCAAACACTTCTTACAATCAATGGAACGGCTGTCGTAGCGTCCAACGATGGCAGTGCGAAACTCAATGTATATTTCCCTACTAGTAAGTCCTAAAATCTACTTACGCTTAAAGTCCTATATTATTATTACTTATTATTGAGTTTTTCTTTTCTGTCCTCAGCAACTGAACCAGCTCCGTATTGGGTCCTAGACACAGATTATACTTCTTTCGCTTTAGTTTATAGTTGTCGTAACAGTGGAAACAACAGTCGAACAGGTAAATAAAGTACATTATGCAAACAATAACGAAATCATAGGATTATTCATAAACTTTTTATGTAAATAACTTTATATTTTTCAGTAACAACTTTCAAACTCAGCCGCAACAACACTTTAAGTCCGGCGGCGATTGCAAGAATCGATCAGAAAATAAGTCAGATTGATGTTCTGAATGAGCGCTACTTTAACAAAGTAAACAGGACTGATGAGGCTTGTTTCTATTTACCCACCCCTGGACCAGAGTCGCCAGTCTTCAGAGGTCGCTGTGATGAAAATATTACTGTAGTCCAAAATTTCAACGCTACAGCTGTAAATATTATTTTTGAATAATTGTTCTCACTACATGTTAATATCAGGTTACCGAGCTTTGAACGCTATTTAGGGATTATTAGTATTTCTTTTTATGTTTTGTTTTTGTTTTGTTTAGGCATTTTTTAAGTGATAACGTTAAGAAGACTCAAAACAATCTAAATCAACAATTAATTTCTTAGTCTAATCTCAAAACAAACACTCATTGACTTCCTGTTACTTAACAACGCCATCTGCTGTGGTTTCGTTAAAGCAATTAGTAAAAGTAATAAGCAAAAAGTAGTATTATTATTCGCCAATAGATGTCAGGAATAATCAGATTTTAAACGCCTCCTTTTTGTTATTTTTTTTTTTTCATGAAATGACATTTTCTAAAAATTATTCCTATCTAGATCGATTTATCGCCCCCGAAACCTCCAATATACTGAATTTCATGAAAATCGATGCCGAGATTCTAATTATATTTATATACATATATATACAAGAATTATTCATTTAAAGATATACGATAATGAAACTAAAACATATTATGTATGTATTATTTTATAGTACCTCGGACTTTGGTATGACTTATCACGTTACCCAGTGAGATTCCAATATGGCTCGTGTCCGACTGCTACTTACGAGGCTTCGAGTATCGGTGTGGGATGTTTTCAACACAGAAGTTGTTGACCAAAGACTTAGTACAATAAGGGGATCTGCAGTAATTGACTCTAACGACGGATCAGCAAAGTTGTTGGTTTCTTTCCCAGTAGCTGGAACTAACTGTAAATATGAGAATTCCTTATGACTTGTTGTTGTATTTTATTTTATCCATATTGTAATTAAATGAAATATATTAATATTTTTGTATAATTTGCAGTAACAACCAGTACACCATATTGGGTGTTAGCAACTGATTACAACAGTTACGCCTTAGTTTACTCTTGCGTTAATGTAGACGAAGAATCCAGAAGAGGTTTGTACTAAATACCTAAGGCAAATCTATTTAAAGTTTATAACAAGCATGTTTAATACTACTGAAATGTATATTTTAAGTGAGCAGCTGGAAGCTAAGTAGAACAAAGCAATTATCAGCCAACGCATCAGCAGCAATCGATAGAATAGTCAACAATGTTCCAGTTCTTAACGAACAATATTATCGGCCGAGCGATCAAACAAAAGAAGGCTGTTTTTACTACCCTGAACCTCAAGCAGGAGTAGTTGTAGAGTTCCCGGGACAATGTGAGAATGTACAGGGCATTCAAAACTTCAACATGTCTTTGGTAACTAAGAAATAATTTTTTTTACATTTTTTAATAAAGAATAAATTCACAAAACTTAATATTTTGTTTTAGTTCCAAGGTGTTTGGCATGAAATAGAAGCATATCCTAAAGAACAACAGTCTGGACAATGTATCAGCCACAACTACACAGTAACTTCGGCTAGGACTTTGAATCTCTTGTCCAGAAATGTTTTTAACCAAGAACTTGGTGTAACTAACAGCACAGTAACATTTGCTTCAAATCAGGAAACCAATGGAAACTTAACAATAACCCTTAATTCTGGCGGACAAGGTGAAATATTAGTACCACTTTTTTTTTACTAAGCGATTCTAAAGTGATTACAACTAGGTAACTGTACACCCTACCAGTTATATTCAATTGACACGAAAGGATTAATCTTATAAACTTATGATTTCAATTTACTATTGCTCAAAAACTTAACCTTGATTCCAATTACCAAACTTGACCTTGATTCTACAATGTTATAAAAACATATATACGACCAGGTTGTATAAATGGAAAACGTAGAAAAAAACTCCGTTCCATGCAAAATGTCCCAAATATCATAATATACAATTGGTTCTTGCCAACTTTTATGTTTTTATGAAGATATTTCAACTAATAATATATATTTCTTTTCAGTGATCACAATACCATTCATCGTTTTAAGTACCGACTACCAAAATTATGCGTTAGCATACAGTTGTGTTAATTTGACGAATGATTTCCGAAAAGGTAAAATTATTTGAAATATCATAAAGGCTTTGGCAAATTAATGGCAAAACAGATATGTAATTACTTCACCTTGAAAAGATACTTAAGTAACCTTTTATAACGACAGTTTTCAGCTGGAAGCTTAGCCGTAACAAGTTTTTAAGCAATGAATCACGATTGGCTATAAACAACGCTATGGCCAACATCACTGTATTAGAAAACCGATATTATGAGAACATAAATCAAACAAATAATGCATGCTTTTATTTACCAACACCGGAGCCTGGTAAACCAGTGACTTTTGAAGGACAATGTGATGAAAGTATACCCGTTGTTAGTAACTTTGCAGCTGCCAGGGTGAGTTTTTAATAAACATATTCATAATCACATCAAACAGAGCACTTTTTCAAAAACCTCAATATGTATTTATATTATGTACGTGTTTCCATTTGAACAATTTGAATACGCAAATACCTGTATATGTTTCAACCACAACAAATAAAATTATTTTTTCATAAAACTATTTTCATTGTATTTATTAAACGTAGTTTATTGGTTTTATTTTACCAAAAGATTCGATTACTTCTTAATCATTGTTGGACACTATAAAATGACTGTCAATTATTTTTAATATTTAGCAGAGCTTACGCGAAGATATTAATATAGCAATGAGAAAAAACAAGAGTAGCTGTAAATAAACTTATCTCATATCATCTGCCTGTAATCAAGTTATATGAATGTAATAGGATCGTCGTTTAAAAAATATAAAAGGGAAATCCGCAAAATATAGTGTTGCATAAATTACATATTGCTCGTGAAAATCTTATATATGAAAACGATCAATTATATTTGACACAAAATCTGATTTAAGTATTCTAAAAATTGTTTCAAAAAAAAACAAATATATCTTTTTAGTATTTGGGACGTTGGCTCCTCATAGAATCGTACCCAACAGTAAATCAGTTGGGTGAATGTAATGATGCCAACTACACCCTAAACAGCGATGGTACGGTAGACGTATACAACACGGAAGTCCTTAACCAAACACTTCTTACAATCAATGGAACGGCTGTCGTAGCGTCCAACGATGGCAGTGCGAAACTCAATGTATATTTCCCTACTAGTAAGTCCTAAAATCTACTTACGCTTAAAGTCCTATATTATTATTACTTATTATTGAGTTTTTCTTTTCTGTCCTCAGCAACTGAACCAGCTCCGTACTGGGTCCTAGACACAGATTATACTTCTTTCGCTTTAGTTTATAGTTGTCGTAACAGTGGAAACAACAGTCGAACAGGTAAATAAAGTACATTATGCAAACAATAACGAAATCATAGGATTATTCATAAACTTTTTATGTAAATAACTTTATATTTTTCAGTAACAACTTTCAAACTCAGCCGCAACAACACTTTAAGTCCGGCGGCGATTGCAAGAATCGATCAGAAAATAAGTCAGATTGATGTTCTGAATGAGCGCTACTTTAACAAAGTAAACAGGACTGATGAGGCTTGTTTCTATTTACCCACCCCTGGACCAGAGTCGCCAGTCTTCAGAGGTCGCTGTGATGAAAATATTACTGTAGTCCAAAATTTCAACGCTACAGCTGTAAATATTATTTTTGAATAATTGTTCTCACTACATGTTAATATCAGGTTACCGAGCTTTGAACGCTATTTAGGGATTATTAGTATTTCTTTTTATGTTTTGTTTTTGTTTTGTTTAGGCATTTTTTAAGTGATAACGTTAAGAAGACTCAAAACAATCTAAATCAACAATTAATTTCTTAGTCTAATCTCAAAACAAACACTCATTGACTTCCTGTTACTTAACAACGCCATCTGCTGTGGTTTCGTTAAAGCAATTAGTAAAAGTAATAAGCAAAAAGTAGTATTATTATTCGCCAATAGATGTCAGGAATAATCAGATTTTAAACGCCTCCTTTTTGTTATTTTTTTTTTTTCATGAAATGACATTTTCTAAAAATTATTCCTATCTAGATCGATTTATCGCCCCCGAAACCTCCAATATACTGAATTTCATGAAAATCGATGCCGAGATTCTAATTATATTTATATACATATATATACAAGAATTATTCATTTAAAGATATACGATAATGAAACTAAAACATATTATGTATGTATTATTTTATAGTACCTCGGACTTTGGTATGACATAGCGAGTTACCCAGTGAGATTCCAATATGGCACTTGCCCGACTGCTACTTACGAGGCTTCGAGTATCGGTGTGGATGTTTTCAACACAGAAGTTGTTGACCAAAGACTTAGTACAATAAGGGGATCTGCAGTAATTGACTCTAACGACGGATCAGCAAAGTTGTTGGTCTCTTTCCCAGTAGCTGGAACTAACTGTAAATATGAGAATTCCTTATGACTATTTGTAGTATTTTATTTTATCCATATTGTAATTAAATGAAATATATTAATATTTTTATATAATTTGCAGTAACAACCAGATCACCATATTGGGTGTTAGCAACTGATTACAGCAGTTACGCGTTAGTTTACTCTTGCGTTAATGTAGACGAAGAATCCAGAAGAGGTTTGTACTAAATACCTAAGGTAAATCTATTTAAAGTTTATAACAAGTATGTTTAATACTACTGAAATGTATATTTTAAGTGAGCAGCTGGAAGCTAAGCAGAAACAAGTTCTTATCAGAAGCATCAATAGCTAATATCAACAACGTGATAAACTCGGTACCAGTTCTTAATGAAATGTACTATAATACACGCGGACATTCAGATGAAAATTGCTTCTACTATCCTGACAATAATGGAGGTCCTGTAGTACAGTCTGGCCAATGCGCAAACAATCTGAATATCGTCAATAACTTCAATATAAGCTCTGTAAGTGAAGCATAATATGTATTTTCAAAGTACCACAAAATTTATTGTAACATTACGAAAGAGGAACAAAGAAAGGACATATGAAAACAAACATTTTTTGAAATTAATTTCCTGTTTTCTGTTTAGTTTGCAGGAACGTGGTTCGAAATATCCCGATTCCCATCCGAACTGCAAAATGGTGAATGCGTATATAGTAACTTTGAGGTTAATAACCAAAACATAAATATGAGGAAGAGTATGATATTCAACGAGAGAATTGTCAACGTACTTGGAAACGCTGTCGTTTCATCAGACGGACGCGGAATACTAACTGTCAATCTCACTAACGAAAATGGAGGTATGATGAAAAATTTATGAAAAAATTAAGTATATAAAATTGTATTAACCTGCTTAATCTATAATACATTTAATTTCCAGATCGTTTCGCAACAAGATTCCAAGTTTTAGATGTCGATTACAACGATTTCGCCTTACTGCATAATTGTAGGAACCTAAACTCTACACACAAACAAGGTAAATGATTAATCTTAATAAAATTATATTACCACAACTGTGTTACTTATATTATTAAATTACAGTTTACAGTTGGAAGCTGAGCAGATCTAAGTCGGGCTTGTCGCCGGCTGCTATAACCCGTATCAATCAACTCGTGTCCAACACTAGCGAACTTTTCGAAGGCTATTACGATGTTACGGATCAAACTTCTCGAGGCTGTTTCTACTACCCGGACTTCCCACAACCGCCTTCATCAATTATACTTCCAGGGCCATGCAATGAAACAATTCGGGCTAAGCCGAACTTCAATACAACAGCTGTTAGTGGAGATTAATATTTTCCTTCAGATAAGCATAAATGTTCACTTTTTCTTATATAATAAAGTCACAATTTTTTACAGTATCTCGGCAAATGGTACGAAATTGCTAGTTATCCTCAAGCATTCCAATTTGGAGAATGCGCTCGTGCTCAATACAGTGCTGGAAATAACGTGGTTAATGTTTTAAATACCCAAGTAGTTAACAGAACGTTGGACGTACAAACTGCAACCGCTGTTGTCGCTTCAAATGACAACAGTGGACTTCTGGAAGTAACTTTTGTCTTATCAAATGGTGGTTAGTAATTGGTTCAATAGTTTTTTTCATGCAAGATCGTTCATTGATATTATAGGAGAGTATAGTAATTCAAACATGGATGATTGTTAGTTCCACATACTTTACATTCTCTTTAAGCATTCTTTTTTCTACATACTAGATGACAATCATTGTTTTGTACTCGACAAATAAAACAATATTTTTTTTCACCTTAACCAACAGCAAGGAGAATATATTTCTATAGTATGATATAATTTTACAGCTTTAATGATCACTTTTATAGGTTTTCAGTTATTGTTAAAATAATAATATGTTAATTTTTTTTTTTTGGTTGTAGTAATAAACGTTGTCAACTATTACGTGCTTGAAACCGATTACACAAGTTACTCGCTCGTTTACAGCTGTCGAAATACAAGCGACGGAAATCGACAAGGTAATTTAAAATAGTCCTCATCACTTTTATTTTTACATAGATATGATCTCTCTTTGATTATGTACAAAATCTTATAAGGTTTGATTTAATAAATGAAAGTATGTTGATTAAGATTTCGCTGTACAAAAGGAATTTAAATTATTATTAACTCTTCAGTGAGCAGTTGGAAACTCAGTCGCGATAAAGTATTACCAAACAATTCCATACCAATCATCGACAACATAATTAAGGATACCCAGGGTCTCAGAGAGGAATACTATCAACCAACTAGTCAATCTGACGAAGATTGCTTCTATATTCCTGAGTTTGATAGAACAAAAGCAGCCGTGTTTAGAGGACAGTGTCAAAATATTACTGGAATGCAAGGCTTCGATGCTCAGAGAGTGAGATTCTTATTATGCGTATTAGTTCTGATGCTATAACATAAAATACAGCAAGAAAATTGAAATTAAAATTACAAAACTGTTTGTTTCAGTATTTGGGATGGTGGCATGAGATTCAAAGATACCCAACAGATAATGACGCCGGAGCTTGCATTAGCTCTAACTTTAGAGCTAATGGTAACCAGATCCAAGTCACAGACACAAATATTTTCGGTATCTCAGCTCAAGTGGCCGTTAATAATGTTACAATAAGTAACGATGGCAGAATCAGAAGGATATTAAGCAATGGAAACATTGATGGTAAATCACGTGATGTTTAGATTCCATTACATAATACATATACGATTCCATTAAATAATTATTATATGTATATTTCTTTAATATATAAACGTCTTTTTGCAGACGTCTGGGTATTAACAACTGACTATCACAACTATTCACTATTGTATTCCTGTGAAAATGTCAACGGTAGCTATAGAAGGGGTGAGTTTTTCTCTCATTACATCGAACACATTACATTATATTATGTAATTTGAAATGATAATCAATGGTTGTTATTTGTATAGTATGGAGCGCAAAACACAGCAAGGACCGTCAGCTAACACCAGAAGCTGAATCAGCCATGGCATCTATTATTAATAGCACCGACACCCTAGTACAGCAGTTCTATATCCCTGTTAGCCAAAGTGATGAGGCCTGCTTCCACTATCCAGAACAGAGCGGTGATCAGATTATTCTTCCCGGACAATGTGATCCAAATATACCTGTTGTGCAAAACTTTGATGCGGCGAAAGTAAGATTTCTTAAATCATTAATATTTTTATTATTAGAAAGCTTGTAACTAATTTGAAAAAATATTCCAGTACACCGGCACATGGTACCAAATAGAAAAATACCCTCAACGGTTCGAAAATGGTACCTGTATCGGTGCGAGATACACTTTAGACGAGCAAACAGGAGTAGTAGATGTTCTTAACTGGCAAGTAGTGAATGGTACATTGGACACTATCGAAGGCAATGCCACTTTAATTTCAACTGATGGAAGCGCGAAGTTAATTGTCAATCTACCCATACGTGGACGAAATGGTTAGTAAACTTACATTATCCTAATTCATACGTTGTGTGTGTCATATAAATTTGTTGGCTCAGGTGTAAAAAAAATTAAAATGAATATCAAATCTCATAATGATCACTGGATATACTACTCGTAACAATGAGCATCTCTTTTTTAAGAATCAGGCACGGTGTCTATGGAACTGTATGTATTGAAAACGGACTACGTTACTTATTCTCTGGCATACAGTTGTGTTAACATCAACAAATATGAACGTGCTGGTGAGTTAAAAAAATACATACAAAATATTCTATGAGGTTGTATTAATAGTATTAGTTATATGAACAATATATTTTTTCACAGTGGCCGCTTGGAAACTGAGTCGTACAAGAACAATGACAGACCAATCAAACTCAGAAATCAATGCCTACATCAACAGTCGACAAGAACTCCACCAACCCTACTTCGAAAGGGTTGAACAAAGCGACGATTGTGAAGAACCTAATTCGTCATACTTAGTCAGAAGTAGTATTATTTTAATCCTAGTTTGCAGTGTTCTACGCTTTTTATATTAGAATCAGAGTTTAAAAATACTTCCTAAAATTCACTTCTTTACAGTTTTCTAATTTAAAATCGCTATTAATGTACCTTACTTTAGAAAACACTGCAGCCAAAGACCATATCAATTATACTGTATGATATAACTTATAATTTATTACACTTAATTTAAATAAATAGAACAAAATAGATAATTTTGTCAATTATTTACTTCCTTATTATTAAGTCATTGGTTCGTAAAAAATAAAAAGTATTATAATAACACAAGTCTCTCAGTCAACATTAAGAAATTATCTAACCCTAAGCCACTTTGTGCAAAAAGCAATGACACTGTCTTAAACTTTATTCCGATCGGCTTACCCTTAAAGATTCATTTTGATATTTGATTAAAAATAAACTCAAAACTAAATTAACTCCTTTCCTAATGTGTAATAGTTAAAAAAGATCCTCTTGTTTAATTTTTAAACAGGAGTAATATAAGTATACATTTTAGAAAATTTATAAACAAAACCATTTTTTTTATCACATCAAATTTATCAAATAGCTACACAAATCCAAAAGTATAAAAAAAAACGTTTTTCATTCGATATTGAAAGATTTTCAAACTAAATTGACCCGATATTAAAAATTTAAAATTGCCAAAGTCTATACTCGATAGCAAAGGCGCAAGATACTTTATTCTTTGAAATTGTAATAATGAAAGAATCTATCAATAAATATTTTTGAAACTTAAAGATTAATTTTCAAGCTAACTATAAAAATAAATTAATTATCTAGTTAAGAAATCGATAAATAACAGGACCAACTGACAGACATTCACATCTCGTCTGCACTTGATCATGGTTGCTGAAAAGTAACCGAAATATCGAGAGTATGTGTTTTTTTACAAAAATAAAGCACGCGTAGTATATATGAAAAATATTAGTTTAATTTAAATTACCTAATAAGTGAAGTTAGCCATTGAAGGATGAATAATGCTTTGAATATACCTAATTACACTGCTATATAAAAGGTTGAATAGTTATCAAATAAAATATGTATATGGTACACTATATACAATGACAAAATTTGATAAAAGTTTTTTAATTTTGCTTACAACTCTACTAGTTTTATAAATAAAAGTACCTACTGGCTAGAAGAATGCTATTTTCACAATACAATAAACACAAATATAAAGGTCCCTCTATGTGCTGAAATAAAGCAATATAAGAAAAGCAAAATATAAAGTATAGATGGCGCTTTTTACAAAATCGATAAAATAAATATATTATGTGATTGTAAACATAGTTACGAACTTTATTATTTATGTTACAAAAACTGTGATGAATCCCCGTATTAAAATAGCAATGTCTGAATTTTACGTGAACGAAATAATTTACTTAGACCGTAGCAACTTCTTAAACATTTCTACCTAGTGTTGTCTTTGTCAATAGCTAGCTAGTTACTTAGACTACTTTTCTATAATGTATTGGATGTACAACGATTATTGTTGACAATTTCATTACTTCAATTCCATGTTTTCAATTATGCAATTAAGGTTACAATTTGCAACGCAATTTTACTCCTTCGAATTTAGTAATATGTAAAAATTTTTGGTTAATAACAATGATCAGAAAAAGAATCCACTTGCATCGAGGTCATACATGATTGCAACACACTTGTTTATATCCTACTACAAATATCTAAAGTGTATATTTCATACATAAGTATTATTTTCCTCATGGAAGTCTAAAGTAGTCTCGTAATTTGTCTTAATTTCGTTGCCAAAAAACTACACAATAATCAATTGTTTCTATTACACTTAAAATATTTTTATTTATTCATTTATTTTTGTACCAACAAAGTATACAGTAAATTAGTAATAATATATGTGTACAAGGGATATCTTATCTCTATCAAGAGATCTCTTCCAGAAATCCTGAATAAAGGGGAGACCATTTGCAATACAAATTTATAGTGTAGGTACAATATCAACAAACTACATACTTATATTATTATAAAATTGAAGTAGACTTTTTTTCTATGGGAAGTAAAACAACTGCTCATAAAAAGATGACGTCAAAGGAAATAGTGAGTTATAAAACAAATTAGTAAAAGTCAGTGATGGCCCAGTGGCTTGATCCTGGCCCGGGCAAGTACCAATGTGATTTTTCTGAGTCATATGTACTTTCTAAGAGTATTTAGACATCATCGATTAATGCTGAATGCTGATTCCCAAAGAGGGTTGATGTCAGGCAGGTGGCCGGTCGTAAAAATAAATAACCAAAACTATTCACAACATGTAAATCAGACCCTGGCTATAGCTGGGAAATTGCCAGGTAGAAGAAGAAGATTCCATTCAATGAGTGGAAATGAACTAAGAACTGATTTTACAAAATTCCTTTTACAAGTTTTGTTGCAATTGCGTCAACAATAAAAATTCAAATTTTTAAAATATAGCCCCTACATGCTCCTGTTTTGGTAAGAATTTTCTACATTTTATAAAGAAATTATTTATGAACGAATTTTATAATAACTTATCAAAAAAATAATGGTTGCAAGTGTGGGTGTTAACAATAAAAATTTTAGATTTTATGCTATATTTCCATTAGAGTCCATATTGTGTATGAACGAATTTTAGGATATCCCACAGCACAGGAGGTAGCGGGAGGGGGAGGTAACAATGAAAAATATAAATTTCAATATTTTTTGCCATACGTGAATAAGACGAGTAACGTCTAAAATATAGAATTAAATAGATTACAGTAGAAGTGTCGATCAAAGTATCACGATCAATGAACAAGGTATCGCGACACCAGAAACGATAGGAGTGAATGAAAAACCATAAATCGTCTTTATTACTGACCTGGACATTTAATATCCTAATTCCATTAGTTAAGTAAATATTAGGGAAAGATAGCAATTATTAATATTGTTGGACGAATTTACCAACCGCCAGTTTGCTGGTCTATAAAAAAAATATCTCGATTGATGTACCGCGAATGAATAACCTTTGCATATATCACTAGAAGCAACTTTGAATTGTGATATAACATTCAAAATAAAGAAATATTTGCTAAGAAATATGGTGGGATAAAATAAATAAAAATATAATGGGATTTATGTAAAAGATTTTTTGTTTTTGTAGCCAGTCTTGTTCCAAAATAATTATTTATATTTGTGTATAAATGTGTTTGACAGATGTATTAGATAATATGTTACATAAAACAATTAACCTTTACTATAAGTGTCCTCTATAAAAATTTTAAAGTATATTTTATATTGCAATATTTAGATATATTACTGTTTAGATATGTCAATTTGGAAGAGACAAAAATAATAATTAGGTACTTCTGATTTCCTCAAACATTTTGAAAATAAAGCCAAAATCATTTTTTTATCCATTTACACACTTCATAAATTTTGCAATATATAAACACTACATAATTAATTCCTTAGTAAATTTTATTTTCACTAGTAAATCTTCAATACTTATGTGATAAAATATATTTTGTTGCTACTTTTTGATAACTATTAAATTTTATATCAAACTATGATTATATATGTACTGTTATTTATTTTTGTATTCACCCCTCATTGAACTATTTCTAATTCCATATTTCACCTTCTCGATGTAATAACTAAACGTGTAATTTATTAGATAAAGATCAATGTCTCTGACACATATCAACCTGGCAACATTTTAATTGGTCTCTCATTCAGAAAATCATTCGTCAATCATTCTTGAACCTATCAATTCATTTTCCTGGCGAATTGCATGTAATGGATGTAACCGAGAAATCACATTATTTCTCTTATGAATAAGACCGGAATATAGATTTTAGTGTTTTTAATTATCAATATCCAAAAATTGTGAGCTATGGCTAAAAATGAAGATATTTCTAACCCCGTGTCCCAAGAAGACATAGAGGCTGCCGACAAACTGAAAAATGAAGCAAACGAATATTTTAAAAGTAAGTTATTCTATAAATTCATTAATCTTTATTATTTCCTCCTTAACCGATTAGTTATAGGACATTATTTTGTTGCATTGTTCAGCAACGCAATAGTATCGATCCAAGTGAATATATGCACATAAATTGACAAATAACCTTTTCAGAGCAAAACTACGACAGTGCTATTACCTTATATACAAAAGCAATAAGTAAGAACCCTGGAAATGCGGCGTGCTATGCCAATCGGAGTATAGCTAATTTGCGATTGGAAAATTTCGGATATGCGCTGACAGATGCATCAAAAGCTATAGAAATAGATAAGTCATACACTAAGGCATACTACAGGCGGGCAGCGGCGTACATGTCGCTAGGGAAATACAAATTAGCACTTAAGGATTTTGAATATGTATGTATGATTTACTACTTGAGTTAAAATCGCGTATTTTATACAAATAAAACTATGTTACTATTGTTTCTTTCAATATTTTTATGCATCATGCTATTTTTCAAACTAAATCAATTGTGTTAAGCTACTATTCTGATAATATTTTTCTAACAATAAAGGTTACCAAAGTCAGACCAAACGATCAAGATGCAAAAATGAAATTTATGGCTTGCGACAAAATATGCAAAAAGGTGGCATTCGAAAAGGCCATATCTGTGGACAAGAAGGAAGTTAACATTGCCGACACTATCAACTTAGATGCAATGAGTGAGTTATATTATTAACTTTATGAATTAACTTAAAAAAAACATATAGTAAGATTTTTACAATTTATCGTCAATATGGTTATTTTGTTTATTAATACAAATAACTTATGCAGCTATTGAAGATAAATATGAAGGTCCGAGCCTTGAAGATGGAAAAGTCACTCTCAAGTTTGTTGAAGACTTGATGAAATATTATAAAGAGCAAAAGAAACTCCACAAGAAATATGCTTATAAGGTAAAAAAGTAACTAATGGTTAATTGTTATACTACGTTATTTATGATTAATGTGTTCTTATATGTTCTCAAGCACATCTTCTCGTGTTTTCACAGATCTTGATTGATATTAAAGCTTATCTGCAAAAACAGCCTTCCCTCGTTGACATTAAGGTCCAAGATGAGGAAAAGTTTACTGTCTGTGGAGATATTCACGGTCAATTCTATGATTTGATGAATATTTTTGAACTGAACGGTGTACCGTCTGAGAAAAACCCTTACTTGTTCAACGGGGATTTCGTTGACCGAGGCTCATTCAGTGTTGAATGTATATTCACATTGTTCAGCTTCAAGCTGCTGTATCCAGATCATTTCTACATGTCTCGAGGTATTTATGATTGTTAAGTTGCATGTTACATCAATAAAAATTATGATGTTTTTTGAAGAAACGAAACCTCTTAGCATCCAATGAAATCACCATGCGGGTGCCGGGTCCATCCCATTGCAGGGAGAAGAGCTTCAACAGTGCCTGGGACTTGGAAACCAGGTGTTGGTTTAAGGAGCTCTCTAAGGCGCGTTAAACGCTCACCTCCACTGTCCAAGCTCCTCTCTCTACCTAACTAAATTTAAAAAGAAATAATATCTTAAATTTATATCTGAAAATTTTTGAACTTTTTCATGCATTGATGATCTATTTCCAGGTAATCATGAGACCCTAGATATGAACAGAGTGTATGGCTTCCGCGGTGAAGTATCTTCCAAGTACACTTCTCAGATGGCAGATCTATTCACAGAAGTATACAACTGGCTACCGCTAGCTCATTGTATTAACAACAAAGTTTTAGTCATGCATGGTGGGCTATTCTCTAAGAATGATGTCACTCTAGATGAAATAAGGCAGCTGGATCGAAATAAACAGCCTCCTGAACAAGGTAACTAATTTTGATAATTATGTATACTTAAAAAATCCATGACTAATTAATAAACTTGTTTTGTATTAATTATACTTGCTCTATACTTACTTAATAATATAATGTAGGTTTAGGTTTATTATATAACTAAGCACACACAACTAATTTGATACAGTTTGATTGAATACTATTTTAAATCTATTAATTACAATTTAAATCTTTATTCAGGTTTGATGTGTGAGTTGCTATGGTCCGACCCTCAACCAGCATTGGGTAGGGCTCCTTCCCGTAGAGGAGTTGGATGTCAGTTTGGACCGGATGTTACTGAAAACTTCCTGAAGACAAACAACTTGGACTACATAATACGCAGTCATGAGGTGAAAAACGATGGTTATGAAGTTGCCCACAATGGGAAATGCATCACCGTTTTCTCAGCACCTAATTACTGGTAAGTATTGATAGATTTTATTTAATTTTTTCTATATTATATCCTACTTTTTCTTTATAATTGTGTCTTTGCAGTGTTATGACAAATGTAGATTTTATTTATAAACTGAAGTAGTTCTTATTATTTGACTAAATGTAACTGTTATTATTCTATTATTATTAGTATCTATATTGACTGAGCCTTCCTTTAACTAAAGTATTTTTGTTAGAGCAATACAAGTGATGATATTAAAAATAGGAATTGTAATGAATTAATGAGTATATAAATATTTATTGGATATTAAAAAATTTCCAGTGACACTATGGGCAATCTTGGTGCTTTCATAACAATGAAAGGCAAGGACCTGAAACCAAACTTCACATCATATGAGGCTGTGGTAAATATATAATCGATATATTCATTGTTTTTCAGAAAAATCAACTTAATTACCTTCAATAGTATTATATTTCTTAATGAATACTATATTTTGTGAAGACTAAGTTAATTATTGCCATTGTCTCACTATAATCTTTGGAAAGAATCAATTTTATTATAGGAAATCTTAAATAATATTCAATAATTTTCAGCCTCATCCCGACGTGAAACCCATGGCCTACGCCCATTCACTCCTGAGTATGATGTGTCAATAATAAGTTTGGACCTAACGGGGTTTTGACCCCAAAAAGGAACGGGTAGTACCGGCATCATTAAAAATGTCATTGACATGTAGAACATCTTAATTGTAGGCCATAAGTGTCTTTAGAGCCCTTCACAAGTGCGTAGTTTTTACATACAGTCCAAAAGCGACATTTGATGCCGCGTTGCGAAAATGCCTTACGGCTTAGCCATTATATTGTGTAACATTTTTGTAGTTTTTTCTTTAAGGGAGACCTTATTAAGTATTTCTATTCTAAGCCAGTTGTTTTGCGACGTTTCAAATGGGTCTAAAGTAAGTCAATGATGAAATTTGAGACAATACCTTCTATATAAGACTGTTGCTTGTGCTGAACGTGTATTTAAAAAAAAAATTCAAGCGATAGTGTTTTAGGTATTCGTTGGCGGTATTCTTTACATGAAGAATTCATGCAATTTTATTTTATATCAAATTTCCTGCTAGAATTATTGTGTAACCAACAATGGAATTTTATTGTGTACATTTAACACTATATAGTGTTGCCATAATATGATTTTAAATTGATATTGCAATGGATTTTATGGAGTAAGTCTGGCTTTTTATGATGTCTCTTGTGCCACTATGTATAGATTTCATTATATATAAAATTTTTACATCACAATGTAATTTAAAGCATGCATTTAAATATAGACATTTTAAACAATACCAGTTAATTACCCTAATTAGGAACTTGTGCTTTTACTGGCAATATTAAACATTTTCAACCATTCTACAATAAATAAAAAATAGTCATAATAATAATTTAAAAGTAAAACATTTAAAAATAGTATAAAATTCCTAATTCAAACTGCTTTGTAATATAAGCGCAGTGTAAAGGAAAGATGAATCTTAGGATTTAACTTAAGATTAATAATTAATTAATTCCTACTATGTATCCAAAAAAATATAGTAATTAAAGTACAATATTATCTGCTCAAAATATTCTGTTGTATTAACAATGGTACATTATTACAGTCACAAATTACATACAAGTGGCTGGTCTAAGTCTTATAAAATTTTGAATGTCTATTTGAAGGTAATCAATTATTGTAAGAAATTTCAATGTATCAGTTAGTATTAATACATCGGGTATTCAGAATATATGAAACATCGGTCTTCGGGTATTGAGTAGCCGGACATATCATTTAGGTTGGCGTTGACTTAATAAATAATATTGTTAAATTTGTATCCATGTGTTTTATTTATTTACCCTTATATTATCTAAATCTTTATGTTTTTATTTCTAACTTTACGCGTAGGCGAAGATTTTTGCTGTTCTGCTCAGTAAATATTTTAGTAATATACACTGTAATGATGTCTAAGATTTTCGCGAGCATTCAATGAAATTAAACTAATATTTGCCCGCCTACGGGCAGAGATGTAGGCCCTTGATCACGGTTGCTATAAAGTAACAAACGTCGGGAGTGTGTAGTTTATAATTAAAAAAAATCGCGTAGTAAATCAGAAAAATATTAGTTTCATTTAAATATACACTTTGTTAGTTTTTTGTAGTCGTCTAAAGCGAAAGAATAATTTAACAAATCTTGCTACTTGCTAAAAAAAAAATTTAATTGTCGGCGATGTTGGGACCAGTTTTTAATGAACCTAAATTTAGGAGTCGTAGAAAATATCGAATTTTATCTAATCTATGTAGGTCAGGTTAAATAAGTTGTCCTAATTTCACCTTGACGTAACGCAGGCGTAATGCATCTCGTTACATGCGAATAGTTATTGATTCACTCGTAATAAATGGGACCTAGTCTATCTAGGTTAGGGATCCTGCGCTTTAAATCAGGTTTGAACTGTGTAAAATCCACCTGGACTTCGTATGCGCGGGATATTTGAATTTTTGACACAAAACATTAGGAGTCCTTGTATTGCCATGTAAAAACAGTGTTGCAATATGCAGTTGAAACCAAATCAGCATTGAGTACAGGTGTACCAACCTCTTAGCTTTTTATTGTATACACTTAGGAAAGTGCACTTTAACCAGCAATCAAACGGTCTTTCTTTAAAGGTCTTCCGCATTTTCCGTCGTCTTTGTCAACCTCGCTTTTTATAATTTGGAGGTCTTTAAGTAAAGAGTGTACATTTAATGAGATAGTATACTCATCATCTTAAAATATCTCTCCACTTACCATTAAATATTGATATTAATTCACCAGTCACCCTGTATAAATATATAAAAATACGAGTTTAGGTAGAAATGAAAGGCAATAAAATTTAATATATCGTAATAAAATATAATTCTGTGATTATAACCTACAACTGGCCGTTTTATTAAACCTAAATATTTATAACACCTTAAGGCACCAATTGTGTGATCATTTTTACGACTGTTTTTTTGTCTATTTTACATTTAGGGTAGAGTGTCTGACAATCGGTGTCCAAAGACTTGCCGGCTGAGATCGCTTCGTAGATCGATGTCCCATCTAACATACGACGAACTAACGAATTACTGAAAGTAAAATAGATAATTATAGACTATATAACTTATACATTTTGTCAAATTTCATTTTATTTACACAGCATACCTTGATAAATTAGCCAACATTCCATCGAAGTCAGTTGCATTGCCAGTCAACATGTTCTCATTTGCGAGTTGGACGTAGGAGCAAGCAAGTCGTTGCATACACGAAGATGAATCTATGTTGTAACGCGTAAGGGATTCGTCCAATCGACTTATCATATCCGATACTTGATTCAAATCTGTGTCGGCGCCTGTTTGCAAGCAATACATTAATTATTATTTTAAAAAACAAACACGAATAAGAAAATATTCATGTCTACTCACTTCTTCCGTATCCTCCATAACCATAGGAGAAAGCATGAATTAGCTTCGGTAGAATTATTACAGCTCCAAAGCCTAGAATAGATCCAATGAGAACTCCTCCTAAATCAATTTTTACAGGTGAATATATTCCTGGCGCTGAACCTCCAAAGGAACCCTGAGAAAGAAATATAATTTTAGAATGTAGGAAGAAAATTTTACACTTTAAAATCAAGCGATGCCCTCACCGTACTTCCATAAGAAGATATCCCAAATCTCTGAGTCCTATCCGGCCTATCTTCGTCTCTACTTTGCTCGACCCTTGCAGACGGTTCTGAGAGTTGATCTTCGGTCCTTTGGTAAGTTGGACTGGGAACAAACCTGCAATATTTTGCATAGAGCAATGACCTCCACATCAGATGCCTTTGTATATAATAAAGAATAAAGAACAGTGCTTACCCATCATTTCTGTAATTAGCGGTGGCGCATCCGCTAGCGATGAACAAAAAAACTGCTATCTTCAACATCTTGGTCTCTTGAATGGTACTGTCGCATACCATCCCAGTCTCAATACTTTATACAAAACGTTCCAAAGCTTGCCTCGGAACAATCGCATGGGGAAACACCATTGTCATATGGTTACACAACACTTTTACCTTACGTCACGATGGAAGATGCTATCGTATGAGGAAAATATTGCATGGCGTTATGAAAACGTCTTCTATTAGTGTTAATGGAATCGATTAAAATTTCATGGGGGGAAACGTCGCTTATTTTAAAAATAATCATCGTTGAATATTTATTACTTTTATTTTCTTGATGTTAACAAAAACTGGAGAAAAAATAGAAGGAGAGTAGTATTTTTAATACGCTTTTTTTTAACATATTAGTATGTTTATGTAAATTATTATTACTGTAAATTACGTGAAGTTTCGGTTAATAAAACAATCGTGATAGTGGGAGAACGAGTTGACTATATTTTTTTAAGATACATACTTATGAAAATCTTACAAAATTTTAATTTATTCACTATTGTCATCCAAGGCAAAGACGACGGATTACTTAGTCATAATTTGCTAAGTTTTAAACAACCAGGAGCAAGGAATTAGTTTATACCATTTAAGTTTCAAGGGATGTTGGAATTGCCTGTTAAGTTAATAGCATAGTCGTTTTTGAGAATTTATAAATTTAACATCCAACCACGATTCATTGTATCAATTTCATTTAAATTCAATTTATAAAAATTCTCTAAACCTCAACCATTACGCATTACTTTATTATTATAGTTTAAATTACATCCTCATTAGATATTAATTCAATATCAATATTCAAAGCTATGAAGCTAGCATATAATTTTTACTTGTCAATTACCGTGTCCAACAAAAGAAGTTAAAAAGTTGTACCTGACACCCGCTACAAGCTGAAACTCCTAAACTAAATACGTTCTTAAAAACTTTTACGAAAAATTACATAAAATGTCCCTCAAACTTTGTGATAACTATAAAGGTAGAAAAATATTGAAAATTTATTAAATTGAATATATTTTTCAAAAACATACATAAATGATTTATTACTCATAACGTAACAGGACGATTTATTTAAAATTTCTTGATACGGGAAAATAATACTGTGGAACAAGTGTGGTATAACATATTTTGATAATCTGGATGCTTTAAATAATATTAAGCTTATGTATTAGAACAAGCAACAATTTTTATAATTCTTATTACTGTACGTATGTACATTTAGAATTTTCATATATTTTTTTTATTTAATGTTATAACTTCATGCACACTCGAATTGTTTTTACGGTAACTGACAATTCAAAAACCACTCAAGCTCAATAGTGAGATTTATATATTTTGTAAGATTTGAGTAAAAACCAAGACATAATTGTGTATTTTTATTGAAAATAGAATATATATTTATTTAATTGTCGTCAAATATTTAAAGTTTTGACTATAAATATATTAGTTATTAGTCAATCCATTAGTATTTTAAATTTGGTGAAAAAATCCAACAAAAACAGAAATACTTTACGCTATAATTGACGTAATTTATTTAAAATGAGACATCATGTTGATCTTGTCGCGTGAAATGTTTTAAATTGGTCTGCGTAGTGCTTTGTATGTACTAGACATGATTACATAGAATACAAGGAGCCTACATACATTACATACATACATTTTAAATTAAATTCTTTATGGGATTTCTATTTTATTGTTAGCACTAATAATTTCTTGTTTAACGGGATTTTTTTCAACGTAATCTAATGTGAATTCATTAATACATAATTGAGAAAGAGAAAAAAAATAAATACTTACTTTAAATTTATGATTGAATAATATTTATATATAGGTACCTAAGTGGAAAATATCTTTGTATCATTAAAGGTCTACAGGTCATATTTAAGGTGAATATTCATATACAAATTTCATTTAGATTTTTGCCTTCAAAAAAATCACAAATAAGTTGCAATCCTTTTAATACCTTCTAAGCGTTAAGAAGTCTATATTTTCAATAGCCTACTAGAGTCTAAGTTGTTATAATTTCTGTGACAATACGCGGAAACTTTTCCTTTCAGTTTCCTACATATTTCTGTTGATGCGTCGTAAAAAGGCGCCAAACGTGTCCACAGTATGGTTTGACAAGTACACGATAGAAAAAAATATCGTTTGGAAATAATAAGATTCATTAAAAAATTTATTTTAATTTTAAAATCAAGTTTATTTCAAAATAAATTATGATTTTTAAATCAGAAATATTATTGGTATATGTGATTGTCTCGTCAGTTTGTGTATTTTACGTTACCTGTGGAGATATAAAGCAAGATCCACGACAAGCAAAAACATTTACATTTGATTTAGAAGATGAGAATGTAGAGGTTTGTATAATATTTTATTTATAAAGTACACTGTAACGATTTTTTATGGTCTCTTTTAAGACAGAGTATAGTTCAAGAAATATGTAAGATATATATAATTTTTTTATTAAACTACGGCTTCATTCACACTGGAATCTTTTATCGCTAAACGCGTAAAAAAGTCACTTTTAATATTTATACAGCCACTAAAGTCATGTCCGTTTTAGGCCTACTTCTGTTCAAAAGATGTCGGTTTCTTTATTTAGGAAAAAAAGATACATAAAGATATTTTTATATCGACTCATAGTAGTTAATTGTAAGATTAATAATATAATAAATAGTAAATATATAGGTTATATATTAGTAAGATAACTCGATTCTTATTACTCGTAGTCATGTTGAAACCGAATAATAAATATCGCTAACAAAAACAATTTGTGTATAATTTGATGAAATATTTTAAATACACATATATACATACATACTCGGGTACATACTTTCATGATTTCTTTTGAAAATTGTGTTTAGATGAATTTGTAGCTCTATATCAATATTTCATAACGATCGACCGAATTAATATTAAAAATTAAGTAAATGATACCCTATTTAATATTTGATAGAGTTCATAATTTTACTTCTCCATAAGTCCATAAAACGCAACTTTTATAAAAGCCATTAATATAATTTTATGAAATTTAAGTAGTCTTTTGAACGTAACAGTGGCGGGGCAAGACCTAAATTTGATGTGGGCAAGACAGATTTCGCGAGGCCCTATTCTATTGCAACTTGAAGCTCTTACTACCTGCTAGTTTTAAAAACTTAAACGTAGATACGTTTTTTACCCTTAAAGCTTTGATTTCCTTCAAAAGATATTATAAAGCGTATTTTATATACAAGTAACTACTGCATTACGTACTTATTACCAATTAAATATTTCTTACTTTATGTAAAATAGACGGGTACAGGTACCGGTGTAATTACAAATCACAAAGAAAACAAAAACAATTAAAAAACGTCACTGTTCGGGGGCAATCAATATACTTAAACACTATCTATTTATTCGCTAAATATTATTAAAATATTGAACACACTATTCTTATTAAAATAGGTTTAATTAATTCTGATTCCCAAAGAGGGTTGATGTCAGGCAGACGACCGGTCGTAAAAACAAATAGCCAAAACTAATCACAACATGTAAGGCAGACACTGGTTATAGCTGGGAAATTGCCAGGAAGAAGAAGAAGAAGAACAAGATATTTATTTTTTATTCTCGCTTTATAATTTTTTGAGGCGCGAGGCGATTTGTACCGCGAGGCCGTAGGCGGTTGTCCACGTCGCCCACGCCTTACGCCGCCACTGGAACGTAATACCTACCCCTTTGATATGTTTGAATGTCAATATTATATAACACCTATTCACATGTTTTCTACACTATATGTTCGTTTTTACTGGAATTGTTTATTCTTGTGGCAATATCAACGTTTTTATTTACTGATCCATATACTTGTTTAATTTCGTTTAGGTATGTTTGGATAAAATTTAATATAGAAACTTTTAAACAAATAACTTATTATGGATAAATACGAATTATATACATTTTACTGACTAATAGACCCTTATTCCCAGTCAAAATTAAAGGATCGTCCAAAACACTCGAATCACTTTTTAACCTATTTTTCTTTCAGGTTGCCCTTGACTTTTCTGTTCCATTTGTTAAGATACCCTTTAAGAAGACCCTCAACGCACTATCCGGCTTCGGATTTCACGAAATGGTACATTATTATTCTATAATATCTAAATTATACAGTAAAAACTATTAATATAACTACTTTTTTTTTTAGAATTTCCCCAAAATTAACATCAATCCTATAGCAATTGCTCTCGGTGGATTGATTGTAGTTTTCACGACACTTTTTATACCTATTCTAAATAAAACGTTTGGATGGCATAATTTGGATCGAAATTCGAGAGGTGAGTACTAAGTATATTAGCACTATTTAAAATTTTGAAATACTATATTGTTTATTTTTAAGTCTAAGTTTTAAATACAACACAAGCTATTATTTAAAAAAAAACTTTCAAGAACATGGGGAACAGCAAATCTTTTTGGTTCTCCTTTTCGGTTTTATCGACGCGCAGGATCTCTTGCATCTTATCTTTGGCGGCTCAACTATACCTGCATCTGCTGGAGTATACTGCGTTTCTACGTGGATATAATTCTTTCTTTTTCTTGGAGCTAAATCAAAACATCCAAAGGGGGGCGTGTATTCAATATCCCATGTAGCATTACTGGATAGTGAACTAAGAGATTCCTCTTGGCAAACACATTCTGGTTCTTTAAAAGCTGGACAGCTGTCGATAACTTTATCTATAGCTGACAGATCGTTACAATAAACGTCCATATAAGCACATTTGCAAATATCTTCCACTGCTTCAGCTAAGGCTTTCCGGATCTCGGCGTCTCGCTGTCTTTTCAACTTGACCATTTTCCTTGCTTCAACTTTGGCTTGCTCTTCGGGGCTCCGTTTTTTTATAATCTTAAAAACCATAGGATCGCAGTCCACGTAGGGGTCTTCGTTTGGGCCAATTTCAGTCAGATCTTTCAAGGGATTCACCTAAAATAATTTTAAAAAAACATTTTCACCTTACTAACCAGCAGCGTTAAAAGACAACCTTTGCCACCTACATTGGAACCTAACGTAATGTATATGACAAGTTTATTTGAATAGTCCTTACCTGTATTGTAAAAACGTCGCCTTTCCTTTGTACTTTAAGTGTAGGCTTTGGTTCTAACGGTTCATCTGGTTCAGAGTCCCCTCCCCCCATATCAGCTCCCGCAGTTTGGCCTTTCTTCTTCTTTTTTTTACTCTTATCCTTGTCTTGGCCACCTCTCGCACATTTAAATGTCATTATTTTGGCAACACTCTTACCAATAATTCCCGGTTGCCAGCCACGACGAGGCTAAAAATAAAGTTTTTTTTATTGCAACACATTTTACATCTAAAAAAAAATAATTATGTACCTTCATTCCTGGCACGTCAGTAGCAGTCCACAACCAGCCCATCCCCGCAGGAACTGGATAGCCGGGCTTTAAAAAGGGATTGCATGTTTTGTGTCCAATTACCACACCTATTACGAATAAAAAACATTTTTATAAATATATATTTTCTGATAAGACCGTTAAATAATAGTATTAAAAAACACCTGGATGTATATCGCCGAACGTGTAGTTATATTTAGAAGCATTCTTTTTTTTCTTCTTTTTTTCGCTTTCTTCGTCTTCTCCCATTTTAAACTGTGTTCAATTCTAAACAGAAACATCGTAAAATTATTTGCTTTTCTGAATTAGAAACAATTACTAAACAATATATTGTACATATATTGGCTTATGATATGAAAATGAAACAAAAAATGTTGTATAAGTTTTATTAGATCTTATTATGTACTCTAATGGGTTACAAAATAAAATATCCATTGGTTTCAAACTATTTCTTGTCTTCTTTAAATTTCTCTTGAATGGCCAGTTTGTGAGAACCACAGCAACCGCGACCCATTAGAGATAATAATCTTTGTTCTTTATCACAGCATCTTCTTTCAGTGTCCACGTTAAACTTATTTACACATCTATAATCGTGATCCTTCTCATATCTCATATAGTCTTTAATTGCCTTTTTAATCCTTTCATATTCTTTTGAACAACAAACTTTTCCTGCGTCACTGTAACTGGGAGGCTGAGCGGGTAATGCTGCAGTCTTGTACATTCTTGCGAAGCCATCAGGAACAGAGCAGGGTCTACCTATTACAGGACAGGGCCCAAGTTTTATAGGCGGAAGTCCATAAGGAAGGGGTTCAGTTTCATATTCGTCATCTTCAGCTAATTTTTTCTCCAAGTCTTCTTCTTGCATCATTGTAACTGGACAGTTATTTTTGTGCTTATAAGAAGGACAGTAGGGTCGGTGAGTTTTTCTGGCTGCTATGTTAGCCATTTCCATTATGCAATCACAATCGAAAGTTTTACATGGTGGAGAGGGCTTAGGAGGATTACATTTACAATCTCTTTCATCTGGAAGTTCAAAGCAGTTATAGACTGAAAAATTTTTCTTTGGTTCCTTTATTTCCACGTTACATACTACTGGCTGATTTCCAGGAGTTCGGCTAGCTGCAACGTTTTCTGATTTTGATTTGGCATCTTCTATTAACTTCCTTTCCTGAGTCGATGGACAACCAGGCTTCTGACAACAACAACCACTCATATTTTGTAATGGTATAGTGCTTTGACCAGCAGGAGAACAAAAATTCGTTACAGCACTTTCAGCGATGTATTCTTTTCCATAAAGAGATTCCTTAAAACCAGGAACTTTGGTCACGTTGAACACGTATGCAACTGTCGTTTTGCTTGTCTTGGGTGTTAAACCAGTTCCAAACATTTTATTTTTATTATCTTCACAAGTCTCACCTTGGTTTACTATACCACCACAACCAGAACATTCGGTTTTCTTTCCTTCTTCTTGCTTATTTGACATTTCAGGACATAATTCCCGATGCCATCGATCATCTTTACAGTCACAAGTACCGCATATTTTTCTTGTAGTGTCACCTTTCATTTCAGTTACTTTGCCTTCTGCTTCCTTTTTGTATGTGTCTAAATTTCTAATATAAGTTTTAACTTTATGTGCCAATGGACAATTTGCGTTACCGCACGGACCTGTTATGTCACCTATTCTTATTTTGTCAATTGGATATTTCTTTTTCGGTGGTCCTTGGTCATCGCCATCATGCTTACAAGTATAATTGACATCCTTTTGTCCTACTCCACAACTTTGCAACTCAGTGCAAATCTCAATCTTTTGTTGTGCATTATCAACAACAGTCGGATCTTCTAATGTTGTAGTTTCATATAGACTGCCAACCATACAAAAGTTGGGATCATCACCTTCAATTCTTTTACATTGGAACATACTTGGCGCTTTATTTGTTCTAAAAACAAATGTGTCGGGATCTTTCATTGGTTGTTGAAATTCAGTAATAATACTATCTCCTAAAGCACTTAATCTAAGAATAAATGAGATATCACCGACTTGCTTACAACAACATTCTGCAAATAACGGAGTTACTTGTTTAATGCTTAGAGGTTCATGTATTTTACAAGCTTCAGCAGTTTCTTTTAGCATATGAAAGAATTGAGTTTCCCAATGCATTGTACCAATTCCAACAAATATTTCAACCTCATTTTCATCATCATTCCAAACTTCGATTTCAAGAGGAAACTTACTAAGTATCATAAGTAATGTATCTGGATAGGAAGGGAATAAATAAGATTTTCCTACTCTGATTGTTCGTGTCCATTTACGTCGCCCACTTTCATCACATTCAATAATATCATCTTGGTTTTCCTCCTTAACAGCCAACTGGCCTTCCTTTATAATGAATTGTATTTTTGGACCAAATTTTATTTTGACAATTAGATTTTTATTAGCTCCACTCTTTTCATCCTCCTCAGATGCGAAGATTGTTACTTTGTCAATGAATATCTCTACCAGGTACATTTGCTCCATGACCTGCGAGACCAATAGCTTTTATAAATAACACATTCGTCGTTCTTCTTCTGAAAATGTACGTTAAAATATTTTCACTAGAATAAAATTTCACAAACAACGACGGAACTGTCTTTACCGTGATCTGTTGATGACCAGAATTTTACTTTGTGTAAAAATGATTTAAATAATATTTTTTTAATAAATAACAACTACGATACTTACGGCTGTTTCTTTGGCCCTGTCCTATAATAGCATTTCTATGGACACTGAAAATTTTATTTTGTAACCCGAAAATTTTTGAAGTCCTCTATACAACTGACATTTTTTTCATTCAAATATATTCAAAATGCGAATTTCGCAACCATCCTCTTCGGAACAAACATTTTTGTTAGTAAAAAGTTTGAATTACATTTTAATATTTTTTAGTATCAGATGAAAGTTTGATTCATTTAGCGAACGATATCTCTGAAAAACTAGTAGCGAATAGTCGAAGATGTCCAGAGAGAATAGCATGTTGGATAAATCAAAACACCCAGAGGCCAGAGGATTTAAAAACCTTGAAAGAAATCATGAGGTAAGAATATTATTAACATAATATATAATATTGTTTAATGACAAGAAATTTTAATTAAGATCCATTTTAGTCAGTTATGCTTGGTTAAAAATAGGCCATATAATAAATTACGATAAGAACCAAATGATATAATGAAACATTAGCCAGATAAACCTCAGTTGAATACAAATAAAAAGTAATCAAATAGCAATTTAGTGTAAAAACTTTACATAATAACCTTTTTGAACGTTGAATTGTTTTTTTTTTCAGTAACACACTTGTATCAGCATTCGTAAACGCTACAACTGTCGAAGAAGCTGCTCTAAATGGATTGAAGGGTCAAAATTGTGAAGCTTATATACCTTGTCCAATAGAAGAAAACAGTATTCCCAAAATATTAAGCAGTATAGAAATTTTAACTAATAGAAATGTTTATTAATGAAATAATATAATAAAAACTTGATGCGTTTACCTTAAATGCTCAAAATTAAACGAATATTAAACGCCCAGAGTTCAAAAATACTTTTGGATTATTTTAAACTTATATACATGCGAAATTAAACCACAGTTTATAATGTAATAAATATTTATTTCAACATATCAATAATATTGGTTAGTTCCAGTTTAATCGCGCAATCCATCGGAGTGAATCCAAGTATGTCTTTAGTTTCTTTGTCCACTCCTTGCGATAATAGATATCGGACCACCGCGGGATTATTACAGAGAACGGCCTGAAATAATGCAATAAATTTGCATAGTTATATTTGTAGGCATTCATTGGTAATAATATTCACAACTAAGTAGTGCTTTAAGATTACCTTATGCAAGGGTGTCTGGCCGATCTCGTCTGGTAAATTTAGTTCTGAACCCGCGGCTCTTAAGCTCTCCAGTTTATGAACTACACCACTCCTGGCTGCTAGTGATAGCATTTCAGCAACTGGCTTTGTGTCCACGCTGGCGAGGTGCGCCCCACATTGCCGGAGAAGAGATATAATTGTATGGTCATCCTTATGTATAGCTGTTAAAAGAGGTGTTTCGCCACATCTGAAGAATTCAAAAAATATTTTACAATCAATTGAATACAGTTTATAAAACTGTTGTCACGTCGACATACATAGATTGTGTAATAAATTTTAATTCTCACATTCTTAGAACAACTTAGTATTTTTTTTAATAATTTATGTTTATAATTTATATCAATAAAATATTCTGTTACTTTACTATAAATAGATTGAAAGTTAAGTTGTTATCAATCATCTTGCCTTGTTTTTAAATGGACATTAGCTCCGCTCTTCAATAAATACTCAACAATAGGCATGTTTCCTCTCAGAATGGCTTCATATAAAACAGTCTTGCCTTCTGAGTTTTGTGCGTTTACGTCGGCACCCATATCTGAAAATCATTGCACAATTATGTTCCGAGTCTCAATTAAAAATAGATATTATTGAGGTATATATTTTGGTATAACTAAAATACACATTAAGTTCTATTTTACTTAAAACCATTTATATGACCTAACATAACAACATGGTTTGATTTTATGTTATTATAGTGTCACTTCAAAGAATATAAAGAGGTTCAATAAAAAAATTGCAATAAATAAACTTTATTACCCAACATCTTCTTAACCGCTCTGAGATCATCGTGTTCTATAGCGTATAACAAAAGAGCACTGAACACTTTTTCTGTCACCTCTATTAATTTCTTTGGTGACTGTATATTCAAACTGGATGCTAGAGCATCTATGAGAGTATTGTCCTGAAATATATAATATGTATTATTATATTTGATTTATAAAGAATATGATTTTTTAGAAAATGAAGAATATAACCATTAAATTTACAGAAACCTTTAACCGTGAATTTAAAGCGTAAGGTAATGTTGAATTTTATGCCTCCTGACTCTAAAAACTTTGTCTTTTCTACGGTTTTTATTCTGATTTTACAGGTCAAAGCTAAACATGGTAATTTGTAGGAAAAAAGGATGATATTAAATTTAAAATTAATTTAATACTGTACAACTAGATAAGATATAAATGACTATTATTTGTTTTGCTTAGTAATGACCGTATAAATTTCTTTATCTTCATTATTAATAGTATACTTTACAATCTCAACGAGTAATGTTTCATGATGCAAGAATATTTTATCATATTACAATATTCGCCTTTGACCTCAATCACAATATAAATAATACTTGGTCATCTGGAATATTTCGTATACCTCGATAGCAATAGATGACGTATTTGTTAATTCTCCTCTTATGTTCGTCACCATCATCTGAAAAATACATTAACTTTATTATTAAGAGAAAACCACTCAAGAGAAAGTCTTAACGAAAAATAAGAAGCAGTAATTCTATGCAATTAATGTCGTTTTATTATTTTCGTTAAAGTCAGTATCTTAGGCATCGCTAACAAAAAAGAAATTGTAACAAAAAGAAATGTATGTCAATGAATGTATCGAAAGCAACATACTATCAGAATTTTACATACTACCTTTCAAATACATCATGTAAAATAAGTTATTGCATGTAAATGAATAAAACTTTAGTTGCTTACACTAGTCATTGAATTCAGTTTATTAAATTCTTAAGATATCATTACTTACGTCAACTTTTTCTTGGTAAGTAAGTTCTGTTTTGGACAGCACGTAAGATAGTTTAGTGAGAGCAGCTTCTGGCGTCATGTCGTAACCTGACACCACTCCGCATTCTGATATTAACTGAAAATTAAAATATTCTAACTATAGTTATCTGTATACAGCTAAAAATCCACTTACGTTGGATGGACTAATGAACTAGTTGGAAGGACTCATTTAATAAGACCTGTTTTGATTTTATTATAAACTAATTGTTGCCCGCATCTTCGTCCGCGTTAATTTCGTCATTAGTAATATATGTATGTATAGCTGACCGGGTGAACTCTAACCAGGTATTGGTATTTATTAAATTTTCCCTGTTTCAATCGAACAGAATTATTGACATATTAGTTAGTTATGTCAAAAAAAAAATTGTATGGGAAATATAAAAGGGCTGTTTTTAGGGTTTTCATGGAAATGATGAAATTTTTTTCAGCTTTTAAACCTTCCCTGAACCTCCACAAACATTTCAAGACTAAGATAAGATAAATCCGTTCAGCCGTTCTTGAGTTTTAGTGAGACTAACGAACAGCAATTCATTTTTATATATATAGATTATTATTAACTTTATGGAACCATCCACAAGAATTATTATTGATTTTTTAAATTTCACTATATAAATAACTACGTCTATACTCACTCTACCAGTTTCATACATCGGAGTAATGACACTGCCTCTTGTGCATTGAGTTATATTAACAACTATCATTCCTCTCTTCACTGCTGCAGATATTTCCGAAAATAGATCCTCTCTATTAGATGGTATGTTCCCAGCACCGTAACTTTCTAATACCACACCTGTAATGCAAAAAAAACATGATTTTACAACTGTTTCAACAAATATGGATGAAAATAAATTTGACATACCTTCAATTGGCGGCTGAAAGAAAGTTCTAACCACAGACGCGCTTATACTAGGGAATATTCTAAGAAGACCAACATTTTTGGACATTTTTGCGTGTAAGTGACATCTCTCTATGACGGTAGGCTTGAAAATCGCTTTCTTGTTTACTTCAAAGTCAATACCAACTTCGACGAGTGGCACGCAATTCGGGGAGTTAAATGCGTATAAATTGTTGACTGATATTTTTCTTGTTCTGGAAGTGGAAAAAACACTTTACATATCTGATTACATATGTTTATGCATTAAATATTTGTTCTTTCAAAAAAGTTGTAATTTTCAATATGTTGTAATAAATATATTCAAAATCTACCGGTATAGGACTGCACTTCTTATAGGCGAATATTTAAAGCTAATTGACTAATGATTCCCTTTTTATATGCTAAAATAAAATAAAATTATTGCTCACAAAAAGATCTTTCAAATAAATTTATTCAAAATATATAATACAAGAAATATTTCCTTTTTTTTAATACATAAATAAATCTTATATTGATATTTATTAATACAATAATATCTGTAATTCGCAAATAGCTCGTGTATACATATCATGCATCACGACTTGTAGATATTCCATATTAACACTGCACTATGTAAATATATTACGACAATTTATCGGAAAAACCCCGAAGACCGCGCCTCCAACATGTGATAACATGACCTCAAGGTAACCGTTGTACAATGCAAATTAATCATCACTTTTATCTACTATCAAATAATTATAAAAAGATACGTCGAAGTAAATAAAAATGTGATAATTTTTACGAGTATCTTAAAAATTTACAACCTAGATAAATAGGACATAAGTTCTATCTCATTTTGTGCGTTGACTGTTTTAGTCAGACGATCAAATTCTAATAGTTTCATCAAACCACTCCATCTCTAATGCTGCAAAAGTCTGTTTGGAAACTCACTTCCAGCCACCCAGACATCACCTATCGTAGGAGAAGCTAAGGAACAATTTTGAAGCACCTTTGGAAAACCTCAAAGTAACCAGGATACTATTACTAGGATAATCTCAGAGAGATGTTCTGATGAGAACTGCTAGTCTTGATTATACTTCCCAACTTACATTATATTACTAAATATGAGAACAAACCTATTTCCTCTATAAAGTTTATTTCCAAAGAACACAGTGACTTCTGGTATGTTCAGTCCACCGGCTATGAGCAAAGATGACACCAAGTTATCTGACCCGTCACTCCTCGGTTCAAATATTGGAATCTATTGACAAAACATAACTTTAAAGTGGTCCGCGTTATATATAATAATAAATGTATATTTTTCTATTACCTGTGAGCCAGTGAGTACAATGCCCTTACCAATATTTTCGAACATAAACGATAAGGCAGAAGCTGTGTATGACAGTGTGTCAGTACCGTGAAGAACTACGAAACCATCATACTCTTCATAGTGTTTCTAAAAAAATAATTATAATACATAATCGACTTAACAGGTTTATGGGAAATTGTTCCTATTGATAATAAATCGAAAGTTCAAATTCATTTAGATTTATCATTAATATGTAGTTTCTCACTTCTAAGAAAAATATATAAATAGTTTTAGAATAATTAAGAGTTTGTATCTTTAGAACAATATATTTTTCTCACAATTTTACCATTATGTCTTCAGCTATTCTAATCCATTCCTGCTCAGTCATGTTCGAAGAATCCAGTAAATTTTCGTACTCTATTATTTTATAAGAAATTCTCATATCCAATTCTTTAGCCTCTGTAAATTAAACAAACTAGTAACATAATATTTTAAATTTTATCCAATTAAATATTTATTTGATTGTAAATAAATTAACCTGGCAACACAAGAAAGGAAGTGTCAAAATTTGGTTCGCTTAGTCTTTGACGCCAAGACATGATATCATGAAGTTGTGGGTACCCTCGAATGAGATTTTCAAAAGCACCTTTTTGTGGCACCAGAACTGAAAAAAAAATTAAAACGCCAAATAATCAAAGAAATTCTAGTAAAACTCGAGTTTAGTTAGAATAATTTAACCACAATGATTAATTGTTCCTTAAATCTAACTCTATTCATATAATTTATATTCTAATTTTATTTAAAATGTTTTGTATATTTGAAACTTTCAAATATTATTTTTTATATCTTTCTACCTCCATGACTTAAACATTATATTTGTATGTTAAAAATCCCGAGTAATCACCATCTTTAAAACAAATTTTCATATCAATTTCTGATAGTCAATGTATAAAATATAACAGAAAATAAATATATTACCATAAATAAATAATAAATCATTACAACAATCGTATTTTCCTTATCTTTATTACATTATTAATTTAATCAATAAGTGCTTTACTTTATTGCATACTTTTACTTGAGATATTTCCATTAAGAATCTTAGTTCTCTCGCCTCCATATAATTTACTTATATATTTTAACTTTCCAATATAACTGACGATATAGTACAAAAGAAAAATTCTTCGCACATGACCCGCCCACGTACATATTGACGAATAGTTAAATAAAAATTACAAGGGTCAATATCTATTGACCTCCCGATTAGATCAACACTTGAAATACGTAACCTTTAAACTTTATGAATTTAAAAATTATATTAATTTGACCAATACATGAATATTCTAATTTTGCATTAATATATAATAATGAATATATCAGCAATATAGTGTTGAGATACGTCGTTTGTGGTATTACTTCAACTAGTACTTAAATTTTATGTGATGAAAATTTAATATAGTGGTAGTTAAGTTGCAAATTTAATTTCTAGCTTAAAATAACAATCTACCGCATTATCCTAATTTATCGGCGTTTAATTCTACAGGTGGCACTTGAAATAGAGATGATGCATATTAAAATCTGGATCCTAAGATAATTTTATGTCGTTATGGCTCCATCAAGAACAATCTCATCATATTCAATTTCATGCATTTAATTTAACCATTTGCCAGTTAGGAGTAAAATTTGAAACAAGGTCTCATGTAGATAGTATTTCTTGTTTTAACCGTAACCCTATAAAAGGATACAGTTTTAAACATCAAATATCTGAACAAGCCAACTCTCATGAATTAGTACCTAAATGACACGTGCTCGTAATTTAAAAATAAACAGCGGAATATCTTATGTCAAACATTATCTAGAAGACCTTGGCGATATACAAATTAAAAAGGCCATAAAAGGCAAAAATAATTTCTTAATCACCTCCATCTTTATTTTTCACCATCCCAATAGTACCGCCGGTATATAAAACTAAAACACGTCTCTCATTTCTCCCCAAACTCTTCACTGAATTCGACGTGTTTAATATCGACAATTCAACGAAACTCCTAGCCTTTTTCACTTTCGCCTCGATTTTCTGACTAACGTTATTCATATTTATATTGTTTTCACCGTTTTGATTTTCACCGTAATATAAGTTATCATTTTGCATATTTAAATGTGAATCATGAATGCTCTTAACACAATATATCTCTCGGAAGCCTAGATACAAACTGAATTAACTCCGTCGCTCTACGTTTGAGTTTTGCTCTACTTTCCAATAATACATCAGATTTAACCGGTTCATACTAAATGACATTTTCTCACAAAGATCGCGACTTTATAACTTGACCCTGCTTTATATTTTCAAGTACTTGATGATTAATATATATAGTAAAGATATTATGTTATCAATATAAAAATTAGACCAACTTATTATCGTCGCGTCACACAAGTTTAATATAATTTCACGAAATTTTGGTAAATGTATTTAGTGTGCGGAATATATGACAATGTTAAAAACTTTCGATGAAAGGTAAAAGCGTCATTGATATTATAAAATATTATTTTTATATTAAGTATTTTTTCCCAATTAATAAAAAGATATTTGATTGCCCAAGGAAAGTCATAACTCTGATATATTTAATTTTATCACACCTACTTATTAAATATGTACGTTTATTATGTGATAGGAATTAAACCACAGTTTATAATGTAATAAATATTTATTTCAACATATCAATAATATTGGTTAGTTCCAGTTTAATCGCGCAATCCATCGGAGTGAATCCAAGTATATCTTTAGTTTCTTTGTCCACTCCCTGCGATAACAGATATCGGACCACCGCGGGATTATTACAGAGAACGGCCTGAAATCATTTAAAAATTGCAAAAATTTTGATGTAATCAATAATTTCCATTATTATGTAGGAATTTACCAACTTTATGCAAGAGATTCTGGCCTATCTCATCTAGCGAATTGAGATCTAAACCCGCTGCTCTCAATGTCTCAAGTTTTTTGAGATCTCCACATCTTGCTGCTAATGAAGACATATCTATCAAAATCTTCCTATCTTCGCTATTAAGACGTGCTCCGTACTTTTGTAAGAGATATATCACAGAAATGTTATCTTTATGAATTGCTGCTAAAAGAGGACTCTCTCCACATCTAGAAGAATAAATTAATGTTAAACCAAAAACTCGTAATATGAGACGTATAAAACATAAAAATATAGAAATTTCTACAGAAAAATATCTTCGTATATGTTCCTAAGTCCTTTCTGTAGACCAAAGCGTCAGATATGAAAACTCATTTAAGTCGTTAACATAAAACAAAGAAATATATATATACCTATATATATTAGCACATTAGAATACAATGTTACCTCGTCCAAATATTAACTTTAGCGCCATTTTCAAGCAAATACTCTATAATACGCATATTTCCTTTAAGAACAGCTTCATGTAATACAGTGCTGCCATCTGAGTTTTTGGTGTTAATATTTGCTCCCATGTCTGAAATATTCAAAATAATATATATGTATATGTATAGCTACACACATAAATATAATTGGAATGCTCATTTGTAATATTGAAATAACGGTTTTTTATTACATTCATATTTGCGGTACACACATACACCAAATAACATTTTTAACAATTTTTCTCTGTCTGTCTGTTTGTTCCAGCTAATCTCCGAAATGGCTGAATCGTTTTTAACGACACTTGTAATGGGAGGTAGCTAATGTAATAAGGAGTAACTTAGGCTACTTTTTATGCCAATCCCGATATTATTTATCTATTATCTCTTTCATTAACCTGTTTTTATTTCACTTAGGATTGAATAAGTTAATAGCAATAAGACCTTCTTATAAACATTATGGTTATTATTTGTGTCAAAAAGTATCAATAAATAAATAAAATAAACTTACCTAGCATCATCTTGACAGAGCCAATATCGTTGTTTCCTATCGCGTACAACAAAAGTGCATTAAACACTTTTTCTGTCACCTCAGCTAATTTATTTTGTGATTCTATGTTTAGCGTTAACGCCAACGCTTCTAAGAGTGTGTCATCCTGAAATTAAATACATGATTTACTTTTGATTTTATCGACATATACCTACCAAAATATGATTATTATCATAATGATATTGAAGTAATATATGTTTTTTTTATAATTTTAAAAGCTGCAATTAATTAGCCGACGGCCTACCAGATGGAAAGTAGTCACCGTTGCCCATGGACATCTGCAACTTATGCGTCGCCGACCTTGATTGTGGATAAGGAAAAGGAAAGGATGGGAAAAGGATTTTTTGTGGGAATATGGAAAGGGCAACCGACTCTCCCATTCATCGGAGAAACCGCAGCCATTAATCTGTGAGAGGGTTTTACTTCCCCAGTCGAGCTAGCCTACATTCGAGCTATTAACTAGACCTCAGCTAGTTTCTACCATCCTTTGAAAGTACTAACAATCGTACCTAAATTCTTGTAAATCTAATTTTCATATTTACCTACAGGTTAAGTCTCAATCTAATCTACTTAAAAAGCTTTTATAGGTTTAATTGTCTAATTGGTCCTCATATCTTACCTCGATAGATATTGAAGATGTTTTTGTCAATTCGCCTCTTAAATTTCTCACCATCATCTGATAATAAAAGTTTATATCAGTAAGTAAATAGCAAAAACATTCATAGGAAGTAACTATTATAAAAAATGACTTCTTGTTAAACCTTGCTATATTAAAAATAACAATAGTCAACACATAATTGGTAGTAAAACTATTCGATAAAAATGCTTTGATATTCAGATAAGCGAAAGATAAAGAAATAATATGTACATGAGCATTACAATTGATTATGACTGTGTAAGAGGTTTTTTGAAAGAGTCTAAATACTACACAAAAGACAAATATTTAAAAGAGCATTAATCCTTCACGATCTTAACAGTCGTATTGTTATATCATATGTACTTATACATTTCTGAAAAGAATTTATATATATGATAATTGACCGCTTCTGTGCTAAGATATAATTACTTACATCAACTTTTTGTTGATAAGTAAGTTCTGTTTTAGACAGCACGTAAGATAGTTTGGCGAGAGCAGCCTCTGGTGTCATATCGTAACCTGACACGACTCCACATTCTGATAAAAACTGTAATTCAGTATCAAATTACCTTTATAAACAATAATTATATCTATTAGAACAAAAATGTTAATATTCCTGAATAAAGGAACAGTTTTAGAATAAAATTTACAAAAAAAATGTTGGTTCATGTTATTCCAATATTTCTTTTTTGTTAAGCGTGTTTAGTTATTGAAATTTATATACTGTACGAATATATAGTTTAATATTAATATTGAAATCATAGTGTTTTGGACAATAGTTATATATCGAGGAATAAAATATGAGTTGTGAGAAAAGAATTCAAAATATTACAATAGTTAGTTAGTTTTTCGTGTGGAAATATATGTATGTATCCAATTAAACCTTTCCCGTTTCGTACATGGCCGCAACAACACCTCCTTTGAAGCATTGGGTGATGTTAACTACAATCATTCCTCTTTTAACAGCCGCTGATATCTCCGAAAACAGATCTTCACGATTAGATGGGATGTTTCCAGCTCCGTAGCTTTCCAATACTACGCCTATATTAAATGAGATCAATAACGAATAATTGAAAAGAAATTTTGTTTCTGTATTTGGACTATCAATATACAAATATAGAAGAAAGTAAATTATCAGAAAATCGAGTAAATGAATAGAATTACTAGAGGAATTTTATTTTTTTTACCTTCAATCGGTGGCTGAAAGAATGCTCTAATCAAAGATGTGCTTATACTAGGAAATATTCTAAGAAGGCCAACATTTTTGGACATTTTAGCGTGTAAGCGACATTTCTCTATTTTGGTAGGTTTAAATATTGCATTCTTGTTTACTTCAAAGTCAATACCAACTTCCACTAAAGGCACACAATTCGGAGAGCAAAAGGCGTTGAGATTGTTAGCTGATATCTTTCTAGTTCTAGAAAAAAAATTACTTGAAATAAATTCAATAAATACAAAAAAAATCTGAGATTTGTTTGAGAGCTATGGTTTTAAAATCACTTTTTAACTTTTAACAGCTATCTGGAACAATGGAAGGCAAGATGCATAAGTCTGTCTATCATCACATACTTTGTCACAGGTATATAAATTATAAATAATATTTAATGATATATAAATTATAAATAATATTTAATATTTAATGGTATATAAATGATGAATAATATTTACTAGCTGCTGTGTTATCTACAAGAATACATTTAAGGCAAAATAATTAAGGTCATACTCCGTTATACATACAAGGATAAATAATTTATTATGAATTAAAATCATTATGGGAAAAATATTGCCTGTTACTCTCAAAAATTTATTTTCAAAAGAATGATTATTAAAATTATTAAATGAACACGAATAGGGCTTTTATTAATATTCAAGTATCTATACGGTATCAAAGGTCGTAACAAAACCTGCGGTTTAAAATATAAGTCAAAATCGAAGCACCCACTTCAGGGTAACTACACTATTCTTTTCTCGATACTAATCTACTAAGAATTCCTTGGTTATGGAATTGTAAGAAAAATAATTTTAACGGACTATTTATCATGAAAGATCTCTCCGTTTAAACTAACAGCCAAATCGTAAGTAGAAGTAAGTCACAATAAATGACAGATAGTGGGTTTGTGGAAACTCCAGGGATAGATTGAGGGTTAGATCGATACTGACCATTTACTTTACTTCTGGGAAAGAAACCAACTAACCTAAGGTAGATTTCGATTTTTTTAATTTAAAAATTAAGCAAGAATGACATAGTAGATGTTGGCAATGTGTTAACTTATGCAGCTTTTAAGAATTGCGAGCAAAAGATTTACTTCCTTAAGCTTATTCAATTACAACTGTAAATGGTAACAAACACGACGAACCCAAGTACTAAAATATTTTAGGCGAATGTTTTTAGACGGTTGACATGGGTGACTTTAATACCAAAGTTTTCCAATAACAATCACTTATTAAACACATTATAGAACTATATTTTTACACAGTCTGGTAAGTCGTGCATAGTTGTGTATGTTTGTCAGTCCCCGAGTCCCTAATATAGTCCATAGTCCCCAATACAGTCCATAGTCTCTGATAGCAGAATTAGCATGCCGAAGTAAACATAGGCCGGTCATTTCTCCAAACGTTAAAACAATCATTGGAGCTTAAAGTTTAGATAAACGTAGAATAAAACCCCCAGCAGAATGAGGGACCGATAATATTTGAATGGTAGTGACTAGATGCGGTCGACCTAAGAATAGGACATTTGATGAACTTTTCGTGAAGTCCTACGTTCATTAGGAGAGGGTTCCCGATTGATATGTATACAAAATAATATTCTCAATTATTTGTTAGTATTTTTTCTGCCATGTCAATTCAGTGGTATAATAAATATACGGAATCCAATATAGACAATAACTAGCTGTGCCCCGCGGTGTTACCCGCTGATTTCCAGGATTGCCGGGATGTAAAGTAGCCTATGTGTTATTTCTGGATATCAGCTTCCTGTATACAAAATCGGTTAATCGAAATCGGTTCAGCCGTTTGAAAGTGAAGAAGTAACAAACATACACACACACGCACAAACTTTCGCAAGTATAATATTAGTAGGATAAGTAGAGTAGATTAAACAAACCTATTTCCTCTATAAAGTTTGTTTCCAAAGAACACAGTGACTTCTGGTATGTTCAGTCCACCGGCTATGAGCAACGAAGACACCAAGTTATCTGACCCGTCACTCCTCGGTTCAAATATTGGAATCTATTGACAAAACATAACTTTAAAGTGGTCCGCGTTATATATAATAATAAATGCATAGTGTTCTATTACCTGTGAGCCAGTGAGTACAATGCCCTTACCAATATTTTCGAACATAAACGATAAGGCAGATGCTGTGTATGATAGTGTGTCAGTACCGTGAAGAACTACGAAACCATCATATTGGTCGTAACATTTCTGAGATGATAATAAAAATTAATTTATTCAAACAATTTTTTCTACTTGTCTTATTGAATTAATATTACCATGATATCTTCAGCTATTTGAATCCAGTCATCAACCGCCATGTTTGAAGAATCTAGTAGAATTTCATATTCTATCATCTTATAAATTATTCTTCCACCTACGTCTTTGGATTCTGTAAGCTTTTGACATTTATTAAACAAAAATTGATAAACAGTAAATAATTTGATTACGATATTTGCAACACTAATTAATATTTAATGACCTGGTAACACCAGTAAAGAAGTGTCAAAATTGGCTTCACTTTGTCGTTGTTTAAAATAAGAGCTGTCATGAAGTTGAGGACACCTTCGAATGAGATTTTGAAAAACTCCTTTCTGTGGTGCGAGAGCTGCAAAGATTTGCAAACGTTTATTATGATTTTAGCAAAGGATGAGTTAAATTGATAATTAGTTAGTGATTTCCTTTGTAAAAATAAGATAAAGTTAAAAAATTAAGACAGAATATCTCAAAGATTTTAATAATTGTTTCACTGTGTGTGGCTTATACAATTTCATCAATTCCCAAAATTAAAAAGCGAATTCACTGCTACTTTTATTAAAATTCACATAATTAATTAATATAAAAGTATGAAAATTATATCTACGGTACAATAAATAAATGTTTACTTATCGGTACTTCAAATATCCGATTATACAGATGCATATAAATTTCTCTTATCAATTGCATTTAATAGATATTGGCAAACTTAATCAATATACTAAGAACGTATAGTTACCACCATCTTTGTTTGCCACCATTCCAATGGTACCACCAGTGTATAAAACTAAAACACGTCTCTCATTTCGACTTGAACACTTCGTCGTATTAAATTTCGATACTTCCAGATTTGACTTCTTTAATTTCGACTTAATTTTTTTGTGTACATTCTTCATAGAAGATCCAATTAGATCACAATTAAGATAAAAGAAAGATCGGTCGCTTTGATTCTGCATTTTTAATAATTGATAATAAAAAATACAGCAACAGTCTCGCGGCAATCTGGAAACAAAATGAATCCACGACTGCACATAATGAAGTTCAATATATACTGAATTGAAACTGATAAATATTTAATTACATTTTATACATTACATACATATGTTGGAAGAAAATTAAAAATAATTATTTCATTCAGAAATTTATTAGAATAGGATAATGAATATCGGTTTAAAAGAACCGTTTGTAATGTCCAGAATGGGCAAGAAGCTACAAATTCCTATGGATTTCTATGGCCAAAGAATCTTCGTTACTCATGATTTTCTTTTAGCAACTATTGTATAAATTCTAACAAATATGTTACATGATCTGAGAGTTACACTTTACCTACAACTAATACTACATATACATAAACATTAAAGAGATAAGAGAAGCACGTGTACCCTGTCTTTAGAATGCCAGAAACACGGAACAATGAGGGATAAATCATTTTCAAAATCCATGCGCATTATTTGTAAAATTATAAAAAAATTACATCATAATTATTAAAAATATATAATAAAAGAAATAAAAAATAAAATACATTGTTTACTTTCATGTTGTCAACGTCAATAAATAAAGCAAGGATATACATAGATGACAGAATATAATCAGGAGACACATATATGTATATATGTATGTATATCCTATGCATTGAAAGAAGCCTTTGAAAGAATCCTCTAGACAGTAGGCAAAGAATCTTCGGTATCTAAATCATTATGTGAGAAATTGTTCATAGTCCGACATTAATCATTTATCAACCAAACTGACAAGATGTGTGACCGCCGGGTGGTGATCAAGAAGGCTGACATGAGGAGAACAATGCAGCAGGAAGCTGTCGACTGTGCAAAGCAGGCTCTTGAAAAATTCAATATTGAGAATGATATAGCAGCATTCATCAAGGAGGAGTTTGATAAGAAGTACAACCCGAAATGGCACTGCATTGTCGGCCGGAACTTCGGGTCGTATGTAACGCACGAGAGGGACTGCTTCATCTACTTTTACGTGGGACCGGTGGCCTTCTTGCTATTCAAGGACGGCTAACAACAGTTTAATGTATTTATACTGAAAAATTTTAGTTAAATCCTAGACTCATTACCTAGCATAGTGTCATATGTTACTTGTTAGTGCTTATCTAAAATTAATGTTTTAAGTACTTTGTTGACACATTGCATGAGATATTTTCCATAAGTACTTACTTATATTATTAATAAACTTTGTTACAAACTGTGGTTTTGTTTCATTTGGAACTGTCATAGTTGAGAACTTAAATGATTACCAATTATATTTTATGTGGGCTATATAAAGAGATTTGTTTGTGTAAAATTTGTTATACTTTATACATTTATCTTTGAATTGCACTTGCAGCTGCACATTAATTGTTATCTTGTGTCTCAAATGTGTAAAATATAAAACGGTGTAGAAAATGCTTATAATTTGTTTACATCACGTTCTATGATAGAAACGTGTCGTTTTTAAAAGATGTTTTTAAAAATAAATATCTCTTAATTACCATTTTTTACTAGAGATTTTCTGAATAATGAGATCTAAGACTTTCGCGAGTATTCATTTAAATTAAACTAATATTTTTCGGATTATAGGTACCACGTTTGGGTTACTTTTCAGCAACCGTGATCACGGGCAAACGAGATGTGAATGTCTGTCAGTTGGATTTGTTATTTTGAGTATAATCCGAAAAATATTAGTATTATTTAAACCTTAATAAAACGACTTCTTTAACAACTAAGTAAACTATTTCCTAGAAAAACCTATTAAATCTATTGCCATATAGTATTATTTTCTCGATGTAATTATAGTGATTACAGAACAAACATTACAAAGTCCATTTTCTGATAACAATAATTATGACTCATTTTTTTAATCAAAAGGAATCTGTAAGTAACAAATAACTAAATCAATTTTATTATTCGATATTACAACGATAAATAGAATATCTAATAAGTTTAGAATTAGCTCTCGTTCTAGGAGTTTTAATTTAACCCTGACGATCTTTTTCACACCTAATTCTGTATTATTTCTAAGGCAAACTAATTCTTTATTTCTTCCTACAGAGTACATGTACGCAGAATGCATTTAGCGTAATCTAAGTTACCACACAAGGTCAGCGGGGTCACGGACATGGCATTTTAATTGCTGGCAACTCATCTCGTCTGCCCGTGACCACGATGCCTGAAAAGTAGCCGAAACGTCGGGAATATGTAATTTTTTACAAAAATAAAGCAAGCGTAATATATCCAAAAAATATTCATCATCATCACTCAGCCTATAGCAGTCCACTGCTGGACATAGGCCTCTCCCAACACGCGCCATAACATTCGGTCCTCTGCCTTCCGCATCCAGTGAGACCCAGCGACCTTTTTGAGGTCATCGGTCCACCTAGCTGGGCGGCGTCCTACTCTACGTTTGCCGAGACGCGGTCTCCACTCAAGGACACGCTTGCTCCACCGTGCGTCGGTCCTTATTTAAATGAATAAAATTCTCGAAAGTCTCAGGATCGAACCCGCGCTCTCGTGCACTAGAGGCGGGCCTTTGATCTCTAGGCCACCACTGACTTAATAATACAAAAAAACAATCTATACATGTTGGGTACATTTAAAATCTTTCACGTCAATTATTATACATTTGAATTATAGGAACTTAAAACAATTACAATATATTTATTAATTATACATACATATATATTATTTGTATCATTATTTGATCTTGACTTAATTAGAAAAAAACAAAAATTCAAATAACCCTCGTTCCAATATGTTTTGAATCACGCTATCGAAGCGTTTTATTTCTAAAATATATTTAATATAATAATGTAGTGTCAGCGGGGGGTCTAGTTGTTCAGGGGAAGCCAGAGGCCCCAATCTGGTCTGAATGGGTGCAATCGCTCAGATGAAACTCCTCGGGAGTTTAGCATATACTCAGTTAATACTGCCGTCCCGACTACGGTCTCCTAGCAGACCGTCTCACTCACTCTGGCGAACAGCATCAGCTCAGAACACTGAACACATCCATCGACTCCTCTTTATCCTTACATTTTAATGTCGTCTTCGCGAACGAAGATTCTTGGCTTGTCATACCGGATGGTTTGTCCACTGTTTGTCCACATATGACTACACCGCACGCTTATTTTTAATATCTAAGATGTGTATATTCTTCAACCCTTTATTTATGATAAGCTAGTTACAATCAAGGTTATATACACCCTCCCCTTGTTAAGTAATGATACTTTTAATTTATGTTAACAATAAGCTAACTTTTTATGGGGTTTATATATTAAATATTTCTAATAGAAAACTTCCTTAAGATTCTACATCAATTATGAGTAACTCAGTGAAGTAATAGGAGCTACGGCATTTCGGTTGCGTCGGTATTGTTATATAGGCTATTAAAAATCACCCCAACCGATCACTAATGATAATTGGTAAATTATTAGTCTAAACTAATTCTCTTTGAATATTATGTTAAGGTGGGATCGATCTAAACGAGCTTGGAGTCAATTCTGGAATCATTGGTTGGCTGTTTTTGGAATAACTTGTATTTGAAAAAAGTCTTTTAGTCAAATGTAACTAAAGACTAGTCTAGCTGACGTGAGTGATTGAAGGCAAGTGGAATCCTGGCGTGGTTAAAAATTACCAGATGAGATTGGACTCTTTTGATGATATAAAGCGTGGTTAGGAAGTTGTGAAAGAACACTACACGAAGAAGTGTTTGTAAGCTCGAAATTAAACTGTACTTAAATCAGATCTGTATTTAATGTAATTTACTTCCTGTTACATGAAGAAAAGATGTTATGCAACATAATTTAAAAGTTGTCTAAAATCTGGTGACGAAAGTTTGAAGACATCCAAGACACTCCGTCATGAAACTACATTTTAAATTTTATTAGTTACTTATCATAAAACAAAAATTTACTAAAAAACGTTTAGCTTTCATTGTTTTATTTTGGTGATAAAAATGTTTATATTATAGTTTTTTGAATTTAAGTGGATAATGGAATCGCATTTTATTTAAAATAATATATATTATACTTTAAAATATTTTTACATTCACAATCAATGATATATTTAGAGTGGCCCAACATATCTTCCAAACATTTACATATTTTATATAGTTAAACAAAAATCTTTTCAATTTATTAGTTTCAAAATCCTCAGTTTATCTTCAATTCTTTTTCTTGCCGCTTCAGAAATTGGTCTTTGGGGTAAGGCCGGAGGGCCGAACTTCATTCCCGTTACAATCTCCATACCAGCCTTTAAAGCGGGGACCCAGGGACCTAAAAAGATTTACATTATAATAAAAATAAAATAAAATCTTTTAGGAAGAATAAATGGATAATTTATTCATTTATTCAAACTTGTTCTATAAAACCTTTATTACCTTCAGCTGTAAAAGCCTCAACAGCTTTGTTCAACTGGTCCTGTAGAACTTTTGCACGTTCAAGGTCAGCTGAAGCCACCGCATCCATTATATCTTGAGCTTGCCGCGGGAACAGATTGTATGTGGTGCCGATACTGGACTTTATACCTAGAAGTACCGCTGGAGCCAGCAGCTTCATTTGGAAATAACACATAATAAAAATTCTTATTTTGTAGAGCAATCTCGAAAGGAGTTTATTTCATAATAAGATCTAAGATTTTCGGCAGTTTTATTCATTTAAATGAAATTAATATTTTTCGGATATACTACGCGGTTCATTTCAGCTACTTTTCAGCGTGATCACGGTTGCTGAAAAGTAGCCGAAACGTCGGGAGTAAGTATGTAGTTTTTTACATAAATAAATCGCGTAGTGTATCCGAAAAATATTAATTTTATTTAAATGAGTTTATTTTATATGAAAATTTTACGTAACGTGATTTATAGAAGTTTTAAGATCAGTTAGAAGAAAAAAGTCAAATATGAACCGACAAATATTGCAGTTACTTTGTTTTTAAGATCGACTTGTCTAAATACTCGTATTTAATACTTACTGTATCCGCTCCTAAGAATATTTCCTGATCATTCTTCAAGGCTCGTAAAGTTTGGGATCCTTCGGACAAATCGTTGCTGGTGAATTTGAGACCTTTGAAATTGGGGATGCGTTTTGTCGCTTCTGTCACAAAAGCTGGCATGTTGACTGAAAATTATACGAATAATATTTAAACAGGATATAGAAAGTTCGCGGCTGTAAAGTAGAAATTGTAAAGATCATAACATTATAAGAAATTGTGTATTTTTTATGTTAAAATTCCTCTTTTATCTGGGAAATTATTCATATGGATAAAGTTTAAAAAAGACACTTCTGGAAATATGGTATTAAAAAAAATGTCAATACCTAATTCTTATAATAATAAGTAATCAGTACATTTAGAACCAAATCTAAAACAGAAGTCTTTGAGTTGATTGACTCATGAAGTATAAGCTTTTCGAAAAAACTATAATTTATGTAAATCTATACTAATATTATAAAGCTGAAGAGTTTGTTTGTTTGTTTGTTTGTTTGTTTGAAAGCGCTAATCTCCGAAACAACTGGTTCGAATTGAATAATTCTTTTTGTGTTGGATAGTCCAGTTAACGAGGAAGGCTGTGGGATATATAACATCACGCTACGACCAATAGGAGCAAAGATATAGTAGTAAATGTGTAAAAAACGGGAGAAATTATTTCGTCTTTGAAGCCTTCCGTTGCGTGCGCCGTGAAAACGGTTCAAGATACACAAAAAATATGTTTTAAAGAATAATAGCTCATTTAATGATCTAAAAAACAGTCCAGGACAGTACATGTCTATCTTTTAAGATTAACTCACAAAAACCGTTTTTATGGTACCTAATTTGGTCGAAATAATTTTATAAAATCTTTATTCAAATAAACAAATAAGTATGTTGTTGGTTAAGAGTACTTCATTGTGAATTAAAAAAACATAGGTTTTATCCTGAAAACTCTACGGAAACTCGACCATTCCGAAAACACCGCAAGAACGGGAACTATGTGGGAAGAACCAAAAATCTGCCGGAAGTCACTATTCTACGCGGACGGAGTCGCGGCAAAAGCTAGTAGAATTATAATTTTATATTTATAGGCATTAAAAATTGTGCTAAAAACAAATATAAAGATTAAAATTCAATTGCCCTTGATAATTCCATACAAAGAATATAGAAATAAAAAGTATACTTAAATATATACTTACTGGCAACATTACTCATAAATGGTATATGGTAGTACAAAACCGGTAAGTTAGGGGCGGCCTGCGCTACCAATTCGACATACGAAACCAACTCAGATACCGATTGAGGCTTAAAATAGAGCTCCGGTAGTGTAAGCAACGAATCTACTCCGATTTTCGAGCAATATTTGGCCTGAGAAATACATATACATATAAGAAACGCAACACTATATTGACCACACAATATAAAACAAAAGAAAAACAATAATAGGTGTCTTTTTTAACTGAAAACCATAATACGAGGCATGTAAGAATTAAATGACACAAAAAAAGAAAAAAATGTCAAACTCATGAATACCACAGAAAATGTCAAAAACATTACGAATAAACATTTAATTTTTTTTTTTTTAATAACTTACCAATTCAATGACATCTACAAAAGGCGCCCCACCAACTTGTACCATGATGTGCAAACCATGTTTCTTCCCAGCCTTCACCCACTCATCGGCTATTTTCTTTCTTTCGGATACAGAAAGAGACATATTTTCTCCTGTAGTACCTCCAACTGAAAACCAGATGTAAAGAAAATTGTTAAAGCATCAAGTCATAAAATGAATACCTATATTGAATAAAATCTAAGTCTAAACACTTTCATAAATCTTGTCAAATATATCTCTTGCGTAATGCACATATATATTTATTTTGTGTAACTTAAATATTTCACAACTTAACCATTTGAACAGCATTCTGTTTAAATTTAAGAACATTTTTTTATACTCTTAACTAATTACATTGTTGCGAAAATTATTTTCCCAAAATTGTAATAAAATTATAACGATAATGAATATAAATATACCCAGGACTCCCTTTATTCCATTCTGAGCCAGATAATTGGCGTAGCCAGGAATGGCGGCATAATTTACACTGTAATCATCATTGAGAGCGGTGAAAACTGGCGGCACCAAGCCTTTAGCGTTGAAAACGACCTAAAAATATGAAAAGTAAAACATTATTTAACCATTTGATTTCTTGAAACACCATGTATATGTGATATAGATGGTGTTTCAAATAGTTAAATCAATTACTTTACCGAATAAAATACTGTAAATGAAAGTACATATTAAAACTTACCATATTGGAAACACAAGCGTATGTTTTCAACTGTTATGTAAGAATAAAATTTTTATTGATATTGATGTCTACATAAATATTTTGATTATTATTATCTACGTAATCAGCCACCTTTTTAACCCAACACAATTATTTGGTCACGTAATTATAGCACTTATGTCTATTATAATTTAGTCTGAAATTCAAAAATAAAATAATGTGTATATTATTTACTAATATTATCAATTTTTAAACAACATGATCACATTGTTAAACTCACCATCTTTTGTTTGATGGGAAAATTTTTGAACCTTTTTCCTCTAGATTTAATTGTATATTTTTAATTCTTAAACATAATGCACAATCATTAACCAATATTTTAATATTTTATAACCAATATTTATTTTAGTGTATGTGACACTTATATTAACAGTAAGACTACCAGTAATAACTTGAAATTTTCATAGTATTCATAATTATCTTTATTCTTTAAACTAGTATGTACACAATGGATTTTATGAACATATGTGACGATATTGTGGATAATATTTATCTCTGGCAACCCGCTAATATGTCATTCTGTTCATTATCTACAACTGTTTTTAGTAAAAAAGATTTTGCTATTTTTTAGATTTAGGCGTTTGTGAATTGTGAGTGAAAATAATTTTTAACACGATAAAAATTTCAATCTATCTGAATTAATGATTCATTTATACGTGACTACTAAGATATTCGTTTCATGTAATTTTTTGTCTTTTAAAAATTAACGTACTACATCGGCAAAAGATGCTTAATTAATAGCAAAGTTTGTCATAAAAGATATAACAAATAGTTTACGTCTTAGTAAATATAAAATATTCCAAAAGAATGTGAAAGAACTCTTAATTAATGTTACAGTATGTAACTGATTTTATCGCTAGCGATATAAAGTTATATAAGAGCAACTGACGAGAATTGAATTGACTTATATAGATATTGACTCTTCGATAAAATTTAAATCTCTTTCAGCAATACATTGGCAGTAAAAAGTAGATCAATTTCTTATTGAATAAGTTGGTGCAATTGTTTAAAAACAAAACAAAGTTTTAAAAACGAATCTCCCTTACAATCTCAATTAAAACAATCTATAAAAATGAAGATTACATAAATCCTTAATTAAATTAAACTTTTTGGCATTCAAAAAATTCACCGTGCGGGTGCCGTGTTCAACGGTAATATGATACAAAATTGAGTGGAGGATAAAGAACAAATAATTCAACGAATAACTTAAGTCTCAAAACCTCAATATCAAATATATGTCAATTGTCATAAGTTCTAGATAGTTCTTAAACAACTTGAGCAATGACCACATGAAAATAAATAATTATATTTTCAGGAAAACAGGACAATGTATTTGTCATTCTATTGATCAGATACCGCAAAAATTCAATAAAAGTTTTGGCTTACCTCAGTTCTGTCGGCATGCATTAAACAACTTAAGTAAATCGTAAAAAAAATTTATCCAAGACGTAACTATTAATTTGTATGAATACACTAATGTTACAATAAAACACTACTTTTAATTGATTCCAAAAAAACTACATTTTTATAATTAATTTGACATTAAGCCTGATTTATTAATGATGTTATTATTTTATAGTAATTTTTAAAACTGCTGAATAATAATTATCACAAAATATTTAATTCTATTTGATATCAATATTGCAGCATAGGATATACCTTATCTGTCATTTGTCAGCCAATGAAAGGAATTGCAAAATGCATATTATACTGTCCCTTCTCGCCGCACCACTCTACGCTTCAGCTACAATCAGCTGAGCGTTGTGGCATAAATAATTTTATTGCGTTGTGTTTATTGTGTGTATTTAGAACTTTTGGGTGAAAAACATCAAAAATGAATACAATAATCAGTGAATTTAGCATGAACGATTTGAATAGTAAGTTCTTCGAGATAATGCAAAATGAAAAGAGTGCGGAGGATGCAGCAAATTTTATATACGACAATGTTTACGACGATGTAGCGTTGGGCGTGCTTTTTGAGTTCCATCATGGCTTGAAAACAGGTCTCACGGAGCTTTTAGAAGGCGAAAAGGAGGAAGACGAAGGGTATAAGATAGTTAACTCCCCAGAATGTGATGTTTTCGGTTTCTCTATGTTAAAAAAGACCCCAGACTCAAATTGCTCATGCCCTAATTGTGATAGACCAGTTTCAGCGACAAGATTTGCTCCACATTTGGAAAAATGCATGGGTAAGTCAACTATCAAATTTGTATGTGGCACTAACAATCACTATGTTTAAGTATGATTTAAAACAAAAGTTATAGAATATTAACTTACCAAAATAAACAAACTCTTAACTTATTTATTTGATATATCACTGAACATATAATACTTATATACATATTTCTTTTGGATAAAGTTATTTATGCCAAAAAAATACATGTTTAAATACACATATTTCTAAATAATACATGCAAATGTTCTAACTGTACCAGAATAATCATGAATTAAAATTATAAACTATTATATAACATACCTTTAGCCAAAATATTACATCAAACACAGTGAAATATTTGATAATTTTTATTATAAAGACATATGAGAGTATATAAAACTTTAGTTCTAATTTATTCCTCAATGAATTTAATGTCTTCTTTCTCATATGTTGCCTCGAATGAAATTGCTAACAAGTCTTCTATATAGAAGCAAAAAGCTTCCTTTTACAAATTAAATTTACACAAAATCCAACTAGAGAAGATTTCTCATAGTTAGGTGTACAAATTTTTTTTTAATCATTAGTTTAATGATCTAATGTATGTGAGTTAGATGCTGACTGATTACAAATAGTAGTGATTTAATTTTCTTCATTCTTATATATCATATTTTTATTGTATATTTCAATTATCCTTTGATATTTATAGTTACCTGTACGTAAATAAAACATTTAACATAATAATTGTTAAATTTTTTATTGCAACTCTATAATCATTTATCTTGGAGGTGGATGTCTAAAATATTCAGATATTAGTTCCTTGACATCTTCTATTGTAGTATATATAGTTATGTATTTGACTATTCTCGAACACCAAAAGGTATTCGAGAATAGTAAATTGATAAATCTACATATTGAGTGCTTTGTGTTCCTTTTCTTCTTAACTTAAAAACTTTTTATGACTCTTAATCTTTTAATTGATATCAACATTTTTTCTTTACTCTCATAAGTGTCTGGCATTATGTATATGCCTATACTGGGTGTCCCAGAACTCAACGTCAAACCAAAATGAAGTCACAGGATTGATGGTAACCATCAAGGGAAAAGTCAGAAAGAAAATCCTCAGTCAGAAAGAAAAGGCCTAGAAAATCTGTCAAACTGTTACCATTTTTCAGTAATTGTAATAATTTTTTTTTTTTTTTTTTTCCTTTAAACTCTGGAATTGTAACTCTAAATAACATTTCTAAACCCATAGTCAAAAATAATGACACAATTGCCTGATTTTTCTAGAATTCAGACTATTTGTTAAACTAAGAATTTTAAAATTTTCTAAATTATTCGACTTTCAAAGGCTCTCCTTTAAAAAAAATGTACTAAATTACCAAGGCAAGTGCCATTAAAAGTTCTGGCATTGAATCAGGATTATAAAATGGTACAATACATGTTAGTTTCACATTTTCATGCTAAAAAAAAGAGTAAAAAAATTAAAATCTTCAAGTAACCCAATTTTTGCTAACTCATTTTACTCAGTGCAAATGCTTATTAATTGCACAAGCTCTAGGCAGGTACTTAGTTTTGCGGCAAAATGATGAGACAGATGGACAGATAGGACCGTCACCCCGTTTCGGTTTGACGTGGAGTTCTGGGACCCTCTGTATATTAATTTGATATAATCTGTTTCTATTATAAATTTTTCCACCATCGGAAAGAAGTAACATTTTAGGCAAATACTTATTGTTATAATAATTGGCCAAAAACTAATTTATATTCGGTATCTTTTTCTTACAAGTGTTTTAGTACAAAAGTTACGAAAATAGTTATTTCCTTGAAGCTTGCTGATTTTCAAAAGTAATCATTATATTTTAATGGAATCTACTTTTACAATTGTAGTAAAACTGTACATATATATTTTTTTATTTTCAGGTATGGGTCGCAACAGTTCCCGTATAGCATCACGTCGTATTGCATCCAATAGTAGAGAACCGACTTCTTATGCTGGCCTCTTGAGTGACGATGAGGACGACGCTGATTGGTCAACAATACACAGCGAGCGACGCAAACGAAGAATAAAGAACAATAATAGCAAAAAGCCCGCCAAAATTCACAAGTACGTATCCCTTATAGGTATATGATTTCGTTACCATTTCATTTCACACTTTCGTGTTAACTCACCCTCAGATATATGTTTTGTTCTAATCTTTCTGATTTTAAGTCATCATAATATTAATTTCAATATGTAATTTCTATGTCTTACAATGCTAAAAGAATTCGTATCACCCAAAGCATGCTATATTAACTTTCTTAACCTTTGTTTAATGTAATAGAGGTAACAATGGAAATCATAATTCTGATTCCAACGACGGTTGCGCCACCTACGAGACTATGTCCGCAAATGAAAAGAAGAATCTCCTTCTCCAAATATGCGGTGTTGTCTCTGAACACACCAAGAAATTGTGCACACGGTAAGTATTTTGTCAATAACTCATACATACGTCATCTTCTATATATATAAATATGGATTGCTGTTCCTTAGTCTCGCTAAAACTCGAGAACGGCTGAACCGATTTGGCTAATTTTAGTCTTGAAATACTCCTGGAAGTCCAGGGAAGGTTTAAAAGGTGAGAAAAATTGGAATGATTGCCGAAAAAACCCTAAAAACAGCCCTTCTCTATTTCCCATACAAACGATTTTTTGACATTAGACTTGACAACTAACTAATATATCAATCATTCTGTTCGATTGAAACAGTAGAAATTTAATAAATACCAATACCGGGTTATTGAAGACGGAATAGAGTTCGCCCGGTCAGCTATACCTATATTACTAATGACGAAATTAACGCGGACGAAGTCGCGGGCAAAAACTAGTAGTATATAAAATATTCCATTCATATTTTTGTATTAATTATCCAACTTTCAGAAATTAAATAGAATAAACTTTAAAATCATTTTGTATGACTAATTGTTTATCGTTGATTTAGATCCACCCGTTGTCCCCAACACACGGAAGAACAGCGCCGGGCTTTAAGGAACAGTGTTCTAGAACCTTCCACTCCGGAGTCACAGACAATGGGTTTGACTGCTGACGAAGCAGGCTCGCCTCCTGACTCGAGCCCTTCATCCTCTTGTTCGTCATCAAGCCGCAAACGTGACAGACATCGCGCTCAGCCCAGGAACAAGAAAAGAGATCGTAATATCTCACCCAATAGGGATTAAAATTTCAATGTACTATCGCCATATTGGCTGTTTATATTGAACCTTTATGCAATCTTTAACAAGTGACTCAATTCATTATAATAAACTGTCATATACATTCAAACAGCCAATATAGCAATAATGACTTGTGGTAATATTGAAAACTAGCTATTATAAATATAGCGTGGAATGGAAATATTATTTAAATTACCAGCTTTTCATCCCACGATTTAGTACTCGAACGAATTAGTTTTGCATTTATATTATTTTATTAAATATTAATGACGTACAATGTTTTAATTAATAAGACTTATTAATACTTAGATATCCCATATTCCATGTGTTCATATTGTAATCTTTACCTCTGATTGCATTTAAAATATTTCTAATATCATTTAGTAGTTTAAAAATGTAATTGGTATTCTAATTTGTATTTCAGCTCTTTTAAGACTTGTAATAAAAATTATTTTCATCATTTATTAAATATAAAATTTAATATGTATATAAATGTATTAAATGGCAAGAAATATATTTTAGTGATGCTTAAGTTACACCACCGAATTATAAGTATCTTTAGTTAGAATAAAATGAATTCATCGGTAAATCATCAAGAGCTTGTCCAATGTGAGATTTGCTATGTATTTAGCTATGAAATAATAAATATGAATGAAATATGTATACGTTTCATTTATTTTCATTTGAAGTAAATAAAACTCTCACATAAAAGAATAACTATAATTTATTGGCATAAAACCATTGACGTATTTACATTTAAAATATAGATATCACAAAACACACGTGAAATAAATGTAGATAGAAAGAAAAATTAGGAACAAGTATGTTAAGTACATACAATAAACAAAATTTAAAGAATAATCGCTTCATTAAATGATTTAAAACATGATTTTCATTTAATTAAAAATAATAGTAAAAAATTCGACAAATTGCGTGATTTTTATAAATTTCAATTAACTATAAGACAGTTGCAAATTCATGATTGTAAAAAATATATCAATACATGCATAAATTTTTCTATTCTTAAGACTTAAGCACAAACTACGGCTATGATCACAAAAAAATTTTTCATAATGTTTGTGCTGGTCGTAAATTTATCTTTAAAACGCTTAGTAGGAACGAGGCCAGTCTCTGTAGCCTACAGTATATGTATATATATATATAAATATATACAGGGTGACTGGTGAATTACTATCAATATTTAAGGAGTATACTCGGTACATGATTCTCATTCGAATTATGTAAAAAAAAAGGGGTACTTAATTTTTGACCAAATTTCCGTATAAATAAATAAAGTGTGTACACGTTCCAAGTGTTCCAAGTGTGGACGCGTGCGGCGGCGTGCTGATACAACACAACGCCGCCGCACTCGTATGTGTGAGTGTGGGTGTATACCTAATCTGTAGGGTGTTTACACGATGCATAATTAATTACATAACTTTTGGTTAACTTTACTTAGAAGTTTATTAATATTTATGTTATATTAATTTTTATTTTGTCATATATGATCGTCACAAATCACGTCCTCAAATATCGATAGTAATTCACCAGTCACCCTGTATACATATATATGTATGTGTATATATATATGTTTAAAGACCTCAAATATAGCAGATTCTAGAGCTATTGAGAGCACCAGTTTATGATTCTTGATGTGAATAGAGCTGAATTTTAGGCTTGATTAAAAACAATACATTCATTTTATGATTATTAAAAACTACAAAATACTTAAACAATTGCATAAAATTCTTAATTCATATGTAGATTATTGTAAAATGACTGAAAAAAAATGTTCAGTTAAGAATTACAATGTATGCAATTGATTAAATAATCTTTTTTTGAGGTCTGTTAAAACATTCCAATGTTACTAATTTACACAGTAATGGTGTTAAGTACTTGTAATTCACTTTTAAGTGGACTGGACAGGCTTTGAGAACATTCATCCATGTATATAAGTATATATATATACATTATGTTAATGTAGTGTAAGATCCTCCAATTGATTGTTAATAAAATTCATTTAATTATAAAACGACGGATCTTAGACTAACATTATGGAAATAAAAAATACTGTTCCTATATTAATTAAAACGGCGATTCATTAAAAATAACGATCTCTTCATAAGACTTGTCGAAGCGAATTAACTGATTGTAATGTTAATTTGTACTAAATTATCGCAGTTTCTTGTTTAATATCATTTAAAACTGTTTCCTTCGGTTCAATATACACTGGACTCCTGGTAATCAGACGAAAATTTTGCAGGGCAATGTCTAATAATAAAGTACTATCTAAGACCCCTCTCTTCCATGGTCGGGATTTGTTTTTAAGATGGTATGATAAGATTTTATATAAAATGTGTGTATTCTCAATCACAAATCACACCACTAACTTCATCAGATGTAGTCAAATTGAAACTAAGCAATGAGGCAATCAGAAATATGCCAATATCGTACGCAATAGTGGTTTTGCGTGCAAATTATAACTAGCACAAACATGCATTAACGAATATTGACTACAAAATATATTCAATAATAAGTAAAAATCGTCAGATTATAGAGAGACCCTGGCTAAATAGCTTCCGTTTCCTTTTACCATGAGTCCAGTGTATACGTAATTATATCCTTTTGTTAATGTAAGTAGCTAATACACTGGGTCTGTATTAAACAAAGACTTGCTAGTCTCCGTAGAGATCGTTTATGAAGTATTGCACGAGCGGCTGCCGTCGTTAATCAGCGTTGATGATGGACTCCCGGCCTTGACCCACGCCGATGTATTTCACTGAAACATTAGTCATATATTGAAATTTATATATACACTTCTATATAACAAAAATTATTAAAGTACCTCACACGGACAATAAGAGACTCAAAATATTGCCATCTAACATGCAAAATGTGGCTAGATAACTATAAAAAGATATGTCCATAAATAATTATATCTAAGATTTCCTATATTAAACATTTTAATAAAGTGATGGCTTTTGGTTTTACTATCCGATTTATTAAATTACATTTTACCCAAAGTTATTTTGATGAAAACATTTCATCTTGTCTGTTTGTGATCACAAGAACAGCAAAGTAACCACATACATATATATTAGCGTGAATAATCTATCTACTAACCAGGCACTTGCAGATAGTCCTCAATGGTCCTAACATAGTTTCTTGCTGCTTCAGGCAGTTTATCCATCTGCCTCACATTTTCTGTACTACAACACCAGCCAGGCAGTGTTATGTATTCCACCTGTCACATATTATATATTTAAAATATATATTAAGTTAAATATATCATCATAGTCAGACAATTATTTCAGTTTTTTGACCATTTTCTGAAAACACTAGAACTATCCACTATTTATGGTACGAGAGCTAGCAACGTCAAAAAAACAAGCATTTCAGGTAGGCTAGTTTTTAGATATGCTATGCATTTTAGATATGATATATATGTTTTTAGATATGCATTTTCAGAAAACACTAGAACTATCCACTATTTATGGTACGAGAGCTAGCAACGTCAAAAAAACAAGCATTTCAGGTAGGCTAGTTTTTAGATATGCTATGCATTTTAGATATGATATATATGTTTTTAGATATGCATTTTCAGAAAACACTAGAACTATCCACTATTTATGGTACGAGAGCTAGCAACGTCAAAAAAACAAGCATTTCAGGTAGGCTAGTTTTTAGATATGCTATGCATTTTAGATATGATATATATGTTTTTAGATATGCATTTTCAGAAAACACTAGAACTATCCACTATTTATGGTACGAGAGCTAGCAACGTCAAAAAAACAAGCATTTCAGGTAGGCTAGTTTTTAGATATGCTATGCATTTTAGATATGATATATATGTTTTTAGATATGCATTTTCAGAAAACACTAGAACTATCCACTATTTATGGTACGAGAGCTAGCAACGTCAAAAAAACAAGCATTTCAGGTAGGCTAGTTTTTAGATATGCTATCTCTCACACTCCCCTGGACGTCATACGGGCTATCTGGCTGCCGGTAGTGGTTGCGTTCATCAGTGCGCATCGTACTTGTGCAGGTAAAAAATTAATATATCAAATCATTTTAAGAAGGTTTTTATTATTATTATTATTATTATTGAACTATTCACAACATAAATTTATTATTGCCAGATATTTTGTAATGTTGAATTAAGAAAAAAAAAAATTTCAAAATATTTTAGTATAGCTGAAATTTTAATAGCATGTTATTTAACTATCGAAAAGCTCAGAATTAATTTGCCAGGAAAAAAGTCGGTTGTTAAACTTTTGCCAGATCGAAATAAAGTGTAAAGATATGTAGTATCATTTAGCTTGGTCTAGAAAATTAATCGTCTAATAAATGATGGAAGAAGGATTAACAACTATTGAATTTATTTATAGATGAATACGGTATAAAAATAATACTTTATTGTTGTACAAAATTGAGATAATGATCAATGTTAAGTTTGAAAACGATCATCATCTTCATCACTGCTGTCATTTCCATTGTCATCATCGTCCTTAAAATTATTATCATTTTGTAATAAGCTCTTATCAGTAATAGAATCAAAAATTTTAATATCTTTCGGGAAATATTTTTTTTTTGTATTTTAGTTCAAATTTTTACCTTTAATAATAATATCAGCAACTAATGTTGGTAATTGCTCCCCAACAAACCAGATAAAATCATATTTATCATCATTAATGGTCCAGCCAGAAGCTTGAGGTGATAGAGATGTTGGGTATTTTAAATAAGCATTTCTCCAAAACATAGTGACATAACGAACTCGTAGTAAGTGTTGATATAACTCAGCTTTACTCGGTGGTAGACTTGATGGATTAAAATTACGGAAATTTTTTTAGAAATCATACGTGAAGCGGTTAGTCTTTCGGTAGCCAGTATACCGTATTCATCTATAAATAAATTCAATAGTTGTTAATCCTTCTTCCATCATTTATTAGACGATTAATTTTCTAGACCAAGCTAAATGATACTACATCTCTTTACACTTTATTTCGATCTGGCAAAAGTTTAACAACCGATTTTTTTCCTGGCAAATTAATTCTGAGCTTTTAGATAGTTAAATAACATGCTATTAAAATTTCAGCTTTACTAAAATATTTTGAAAATTTTTTTTTTCTTAATTCAACATTGCCGTTTGGCACCGTTTAAACAACAATAAAAATATCTGGCAATAATAAATTTATGTTGTGAATAGTTCAATAATAATAATAATAATAATAAAAACCTTCTTAAAATGATTTGATATATTAATTTTTTACCTCCACAAGTACGATGCGCACTGATGAACGCAACCACTACCGGCAGCCAGATAGCCCGTATGACGTCCAGGGGAGTGTGAGAGATAGCATATCTAAAAACTAGCCTACCTGAAATGCTTGTTTTTTTGACGTTGCTAGCTCTTAGAATATTACAAACATACCAACAGATAAAATACATCTATTTATTTTTTACTTAAAAATAGTTTAAAATGATCTAAATAACAAAATTTAACTGTACAACATTTTAATATTTTTTCTATTATTTATTTATGCCTACTTCCATTTGTATGCATATTTCTATTACTAAATCCATAACAACAATAAAAACTTTTAACCCTTGAAATAATTAATTCTACGTTTTTGTAATACTAACTTTTAGCCAGTCTTTGATCATTACTAACAACGATACCTCCCACGCATGTTGTTTTATGCCACAAAAATGCTATTTTGCTTTTTTTATGAAAAATATCCTATTATGGATCATTACATCCATTTAAATTTAAAAAACAACAAAAACACAATTTTTAAGGGATTTGTCAGACGCATAATGTTGTAATTTTCAAACGCGAACGGATTACACTGATGTATGTACATATATTCCTATGCAACTGTATGAGATGAGTAAAATCACGCGCTCGCGCCGCGAATTGGTTACATACAACAGAGTAAGACTTATGCTTTTCAACGTATACAGTTGTAACCAGTGGCGGCGTAAGGCGTGGGCGACGTGGGCCACCGCCTACGGCCTCGCGATTCAAAAATTTTAGAGAATTAAAAAAAAATCTTCTTCTTCCTAGGAATTTCCCAGCTATAGCCAGGGTCTGCCTTACATGTTGTGATTAGTTTTGGCTATTAGCTTTTACTACCGGTCGGCTGCTTGATATCAACCCTCTTTGGGAATCAAAATTAATTAAACCTATTTTGATAAGAATAGTGTGTTCAATGTTTTAATAATATTTAGCGAATAAATAGATAGTGTTTAAGTATATTGGTTGCCCCCGAACAGTGACGTTTTTTAATTGTTTTTGTTTTCTTTGTGATTTGTAATACACCAGTACCTGTACTCGTCTATTTTACATAAAGTAACAAATATTTAATTGGTGACGCAGTAATTACTTGTCTATAAAATAGGCTTTATAATATCTTTTGAAGGAAACCAAAGCTTTAAGTGTAAAAAAAACATCGACGTTTAAGTTTTTAAAACTAGCTGGTAGTAAGAGCTTCAGGTTTCCATAGAATAGGGCCTCGCGAAATCTGTCTTGCCCACATCAAATTTAGGTCTTGCCCCGCCACTGGTTGTAACTATTATATACCACAAGTGATGCTACCTTGGCGCCGCGGTATAATGTTGTAAGTATCAGATACAACACCTTTTTTAGCTTCTACTACGGAGTAAAATGTCGTATGAACGATATAGGAACAATATCTCCGCAAATAGGCATATTACTTAAAATATCTTTTTAACCTAGTTAAGAAGACTATTATGTTAAATTTATATACGAAACTTTAAAAAGATGCATCAAAAAATGCAGATTTTAAGAAATTACAGTTTTGGAGACACAACAACTTACGTGGGATGTATCGATATATGTATTTGTTTACAATATAAGATTGATTATATCCAAAAAAATTGTAAATAATTTCTAATCACAATAATACTAGCAAAATAGTCTTGATTACCTCAACATTACTTAATTCAGGCATCGAAGAGGGGAAGTACTCGATTTTCTTCCCTTTTAGTTTGTAAGCGACACCAACTTTAATTTCTTTCAATGTATCCAGTATGTCTAATTTAGTTAGGCACAATCTGAAAAATATTAAAAATGATATTAATTTACAATATATGTATTTAAATAATAAACCATTGATAAGGAGCAAATATAAATGATGGGGAATTAATTGCTGATATCGTAGGACAAGAATATTACAAGTAGTATGTAATTAAAAATTAATTTAATACTCAATTTGTTAGACGTTTTTATCTAAAAGAATTTGTTATGTAATTAGTTGGCGAGGGGAGGACTTATTATTTAAAGAGCACATTTTGATGTCATTATTCATTGTGAGTGGAATAAACGAGCTAATTACAAATAAGTTATACCGTTTTAATTATCTTCAAACAATCTGGTCTGATTAACGTAACAGACTTATTATACAGGGTGACTGGTGAATTACTATCGATACTTGAGGACGTGATATTTGAGGATCATATATGACAAAATAAAAATTAATATAACATAAATATTAATAAACTTCTAAGTAAAGTTAACCAAAAGTTATGTAATTAATTACGCATCGTGTGAACACCCTACAGATTAGGTATACACACACACACACACGCGCGCGTGGCGTCGTGGTGTTGTATCAGCACGCCGCCGCACGCGTCCACACTTGGAACGTGACCTCACTTTATTTATTTATACGGAAATTTGGTCAAAAATTAAGTACCTATTTTTTTACATAATTCGAATGAGAATCATGTACCGAGTATTCTCCTTAAATATTGATAGTAATTCACCAGTCACCCTGTATATATTTTCTAACTAAACAAAAGTAAACACTAAGATGTATTGATACTAAAATCATTATTATAGTGCGTTTGATTTAAGCTGAGCTTTGCATTTGTCACATAGCGTCACGTCACGTCAAGTTATATCTCGTTCGATCAAGGTGTACCTACGATGAGTATCCGTTGACGGCTGCCGTATATTTCAACACGACCAGGTCCAACCAGCCACAGCGGCGGACGCGACGCGTGGTCACACCAACCTCGTGACCACGGGATTGCAGCAGATTGCCCGTCTCCTATATATGAATATATGACATTAGTTAAATGTGAACTAATTAGTTCTGAAAATATTAGGCAAACTAAAGTTAAGCTATATTGGTCTACAATCTACATACTTATGAAATATTGTATACATATTAATCTTTATTTGTATAATAGTGTATAATTGTCACAGAACTCCAATATTATTGGACCGATTTGAATGATTTTTTTTAAATACTCGAAGGTGGCGGCCCAGATGGTTTAAATTAAAAAATCAGCCCAGAATTCGGTATCTAGGTTATTTGAAAAGGCTGCAACTTAGCTTACTTTATGTATTATTTTAACACACTTTATATTATGTACATCGAATGGAGTCGAAGGCAAAAACTATGATAACAGTATACCTATATAAAATGAAGACAATAAGCTCTGCTGTATATTTCTGTTTAATTCAAACTTTATTCCAGTAATAATTTTTATATGAAGTAAATAAATTGTGTTTATAACAACTTACATCATGTAACTCAGTGGGGAAGGGTCCATCACCTACTCTAGTCGTGTAGGCCTTCACAACACCCAGTACCTCTCCGATCAGTGAGGGCGGGAGCCCTAGGCCCGTGCATACGCCACCTATACTGCAGTTTGATGACGTCACGTATGGATATGTCCCTGAAAACAGATGATAAATAAAATTAAACAACAGCAAACATAAATTTATACAGGGTGTATGAAAAACTGTGTCAACCCTATGTATACATATAAGTATAAGCTTATTATAAAAAATAGTATAACATTAAAAATATCAAGCAGAGGTCAGTTACAGTGCATAGGCTAAATAAGTTTTAAATCGACATTATTTGAAAAAATGTTTCAAACATCTGACGCAATACAAGGTCAAGGCCCCGTATAGTCGCGCCGGCGCATGCGCGGCCTTAGATCGCAGGTGCCGGCCGCCGGCGTGGCGCAGTCGTCTTTTGTTAGTGTTTCGAATAGAAATTTGCAAGTTTAAAAATTAGGTTTATCGATAAATATTCTATCGTCATTTTCAATATTGCTATAAGTAGTTGTACTTTTCACATTAAAATAATTTCATTTAAAATTACTTTTATTAATAATAAATATTATTAATCAATATTATAATTTGGAACTTCTTCAGGTAAATTAACTATGTTGTATTATTAGGATAAATCGTTAATCTATTTCTGTTAGAAATGGTGTTTTACAATAAAAAACAATACTAATGTGTGATATATCAAAATAAGTATCGAAATAATATGAATATTAAATATTTATTTATTGTTATGATTTTTTAAATATCGATATTTTCAATAATGTGGAAGTAACTTCGAGTTCGTCACTAGTAGCGCAGCAGCTGTGATGACGTCATTGCGTGTCATCGTGTTATACCAGGGCTTACAAACATTTTGTTACTCTACATATAATAATCATTTAATATTTAATTTTATTATTTTTATTGAAGAGTTTGTAAAAGTAAGTTGTTTGATTGTGTTCCACTTTCGATACTGATAACGTAGTTAAGAGGGTTGACACAGTTTTTCATACACCCTGTATATGTATTCAACAATGTATAAGTATTAAACTTCGAAAATCTTACAAACAATTGCATTTAATATTAGACACATCAAAAATTAAAACATATATTCACCTAATAAATAATATTTAAAGCTTAATATAATCAAATATTATTCTAGTATTTTTAGACATACCAAAATCAATGTCCAACATTGCAGCATTGGCTCCCTCAACCAGAACTTTCTTTCCGTTGGCGATCTCTTTATGTAAGTAGGAAACAGTGTCTTTAACTAGAGGTCTTATTTTCTCAGCGTACTCCTTGTATCTGACCAGCTCGTTTTCTATATCCAATTCCAATGAGGGGAACATTCTCTTATAGTTAGCAGCCAGAGTGCGGAATCTGAAATTATTAATAAGATCACTTTAGCAGCAGCATTTTCCTATATGGGCGAAAGTGCTCCCTTGTGAGTGTTGCAGGCCTAAGGCCTCGGCCTCGAATTTTGCGGGCAGCGGAGCGGCAGCGGGAGCGGCACGGAAACGCATACATTTCTCCAAAATAGCGGGCAGCGGGCACCGCTGTATTCGAGGGTCGGTCCATTTGATTATACGCGTAAGATCTTGCCGCTCCCGCTCCCGCTCCGCTGCCCGCAAAATTCGAGGTCGAGGCCTAAAGGAGTCGGAAAGAGGCCCAGAAAGAAATGGAGGGATGTTGTAGAGACCTGGGAGGTGATTTGTTATTTTTTTCAGCTAGAATAAGTTATATTAGTTTTTCAGTAGGTGAAACAATGGAAACATTAAAAAAAAATTATTCTCAAAGTGAGTATGGGAGCGTTCAAGTATTACGTAACGCAATTTTCGAAGATTTTTGACCCCCCCTTCGCCCCTCTTCTGAAGAAATTACAGTATGAACACTATGAACTCACGGATAAACACTAACGAATACTGACCACGGAAGCGACATTAAAAGACTTACAATGCAATCTAGGTATTCCCCTTAAAATATCAATTAAGAGGTTTGCAAACTTGGAATAACAAATAAAAATATCGACCAGACTAATACAATCTGGTCAACATAATGTAACATATATGAAAAGAGTTGCAAGTTTGGGGGTTTTTATGAATTTTTTTTTTTAGAAACAATGCTACGTAGAGACACCCCCTCCCGCCTCTGTAACGCATTGTAACGTTTTACGAGACCACCCCTCCCCCAAAATTGCGTTAGGTAATACTTGAACGCTCCCTATGTAGTAGACAATATAAATTTTGGTACCAATGGAATAAGGTTAAATTTTAGTTAAAAAAGTGAAAACGAGCTTTCATATTGTCTTATTTTGTCTTACATGATAGTAACTATAGGCCAGATATTAAAAATATTTAGTTATTAAAAATATACAGCATGATATAAATTTATTTGCTTATAAAATATTATTATCAAGAAATACATCTCACTTACTTCTCTTCAAATATCTCAAAGTCACCAAGAAGGTCACCAATCCTTATTCCATTTCTTGTGGCCTTTGCAGAGTAAGTTGGTCCGATACCCTTTTTGGTTGTCCCCAAAGAATTCTTTCCCTTTTCAGCCTCTTGCAAACCATCGACCTGAAAACATAAGGAGAACATATGAAATGTATTAAAATTCAAATAAAATCATAATGACATATAAGTACATTTAATGTTTCGAAAATAAGATGTATTCAATTAAGTATCTATAAATTTGTTATAATCAAAGAATAATATTTAACCTTATAAATAATTATGTATTTATTATTTAAAAAAATATATATAATTTAGGATCTATTGTCGATGTTTTGATGAATTTTAAACAAAAAAGTTTTATATACATTCAAATTAAAAAAATACTGTCTATTGTTTGAAAAACAAAAGAATTAATTTGTCAGTAGACAATTAAATCGTAAATCTCAATAAAAATATGTCTTGATTCATAGTAATTAATATAAACGGTAAAGCCATAGTTATCTTTTATCTCATATCCAATTATTCATCATACATTACAATTGAACAATCAGTGACTATTTTAAATAACAGAACGTATTAAAAAACTAATCTTATAAACATGTGCCAGAAAAACCATTTTGCTATAACAATGGAATTACATTTTTATTCTTCAACGGTTATTTTCATTACGGATTATGTACATCTATTAGAACTGCAGTTTTAAACATTCATAGAGAATTTCCTTGGTTGTATAGACAAACATTACACACACATATCCCTACTATAATATTATTAATGCGAAAGTAACTCTGTCTGTCTCTCTGTTACGCTTTCACGCCTAAACCACTGAACTGATTTTAATGATATTTGGTACAAAGATAGAGTTGACTTTGAGAAAGAACATAGTATAGTTTTTATCCCAGAATTTTGAAAGGTTCTTTTGGAAACGCGATATAACCGAACTCGACGCGGGCGAAGTCGCAGGAGGAATGCTAATATATACAGGGTGACTGGTGAATTACTATCAATATTTAAGGAGAATACTCGGTACATGATTCTCATTCGAATTATGTAAAAAAAATAGGCACTTAATTTTTGACAAAATTTCCGTATAAATAAATAAAGTGTTGACACGTTCCAAGTGTTCCAAGTGTGGACGCGTGCGGCGGCGTGGTGTTGTATCAGCCTGTATGTGTGTGTGAGTGTGTATACCTAATCTGTAGGGTGTTCACACGATGCGTAATTAATTACATAACTTTTGGTTAACTTTACTTAGAAGTTTATTAATATTTATGTTATATTAATTTTTATTTTGTCACATATGATCGTCAAATATCACGTCCTCAAGTATCGAAAGTAATTCACCAGTCACCCTGTATATGACGTAATATTACATAAAATAAATTAGTACAATAGACACCATAAACATGAACAAAATTAATAAACCATTATTACATACCTAAATATATATTTATAAGATATACATATATAGCCCCCACTATTACTAAGAGATTCTTAAATGATTATGTAAAATCATATAAGAAATCAAATTGGATTAAGGTGTTTTGATATTATACCAGTAAATAAATGTTCATGGGAGGGCAGTAAGTGAGTCAGTTTAAAGGATTTGAGTGATAACTCAATCAAGTTCTTACATCACGTACAAGCCAAGGTTAGCATTTAGTAATACTGATGTAGTACAAATAATTGTTTTGCATCATCTGATGTCTTGTCATTTAGAAAACTTTATATGATTAAGATCCTATTATTAATAACAAATGTATGGATAATAAACAAAAAATTAAGAAGAAATTCATTAATTTAAGAACTTTTTTCTTATATTCATATTTTATTGTCTTTATTGTCTTATTTATGTGCAGAGTGGTAAGGTGAAAATTGTTGTTTAATTTAAACTAAATTGTTGGTTATACTCACTTTAAATGCTTTTAAATGTACACAAAATAATTTATTTACTATAACTAGGTACATAACTGCTAAAATCTTAGTATTTTGCCGACATTTTTTTAAATATATTAATTTCTCATGTAATTGTGTAATTGTTATGTTTTTAATGAGAAATAAATTTTCTTTAAGGTGTTTCTATATACAGATAGCATTAACATATTGGTGATGGTTTTGAATGAGTGTTTATTACCTGTTGATGCATATCAAACACAAGATGGGCCCTGTCTGATATAATGAGCCTCTGTTGCCAGCCCTCCATACCCTTCAATTCATTCTTCTTCAATTCCTCAAACAGACCAGGCAGGTGGATCACTACACCATTTCCTGAATAGAATTTGACAACTTTAGAGTATTCAATTGTTTTAAACTAGAGATTGTAAGATAAATAATGTTTTTATAAGCAAAAGTCATTTATATTTCTGTACATAGTTCATCTTCTTGTGTGAATGTTCATGAAAGAGATGAATTTAAAAAATAAATTTAAACTAACTCCTGACAGAAAATTTGTTATGACTTTATGAGTAACATATCCACAAAATCTTGATGTTATCTAAAACATTTCTATTAAATAACAGAAACTTATTTGTAATGAGTAATTCTTATACATTCCAAAATAAATATACATTCGTCAATTACATACATTTAGGTACAAATAAAAATGCGTGCAATGAATCGTTTACTTGGGTAATTTTTTTAGTTTCCGCTAATTTAGCATACAAATCGTGGGCATCGTAAATCATGGCGACCTTTTACATTAATTTCGCTATTAGTATCTACCGGTACCTGCCGTGTCTTGGCATTCGGTGCAGAAAATTAATTTGGAACATCAAAGATATGATTTGATTGAACACGAATTCGTAACAGATACGTAAACATTTACTTGTTTATTAAAATAAAAGAAAATTCATGAACTCCGAAATAAATCAAGCCTTACATAATAGATACCTACAAAAAACAAAAACATTTATCAGCTATGACTTATGAGTGACATTTCATGTCATATTACTTTACGTCTTGAATTTTTTCATTTGTCACATATTTTTTTAAAACGACTGCGACGAAGATGACAAAGATTTTAATTTTTATGGTTTATTCTTAAACTGATAGGAAAATGGCCTGGCAAACACGTAATTAATCAACCTACATCCCTACTAATATTATAAATACGAAGGTAACTCTGTCTGTCTGTTACGCTTTCACGCCTAAACCACTGAACTGTTTTTAATGAAATTTGGTACAGAGATAGAGTTGATCTTGAGAAAGAACATAGGATAATTTTTATCCCAAACTTTTGAAAAGTTCTCTTGGTAAACGCCAAATAACCGAACTCCACGCGGGCGAAGCTGCGGGTTGAAAGCTAGTATACAATAAACTGTAATGATATTCACATGTGTACACTATATAGTTAAATTTTTGAGATGAAACCTCTTAACGTTCAATGGATTCACCGTACGTGTGCCGGATCCATGGTTATGGGGAGAGGAGCTTCAACAGTGCCTGGGACTTGCGACCCAGGTGTAAGTTTAAGGGGCCCTATCTATCACGTTAAACGCTTACCTCTACAGTAAAAGCTCCTCTCTCTACAAGAACCTGTATACTTGTGTATTATATATTTGTACTTACCTATAACTGAGACACATTTCTGATTGATGATACCGCTCGGCAGTAAATGGAAATCAAACTCCTTGCCATCCACGACAACAGTGTGACCGGCGTTGTTACCGCCCTGTAATAATATAAGTACATTACATATAATATGTTATGTTCACCAAATAAATTTTTACTCAGAATAAAATTGATAAAAACCTATAAGAATCTTAATAGAGTTATATTCTCATAATGACATCTCGTCTGCCCGTGATCACGGTTGCTGAAAAGTAACCGAAATGTCGGGAGTATGTAGTTTTTTACGTAGTATATAGAAAAAATATACGTTTCATTTAAGAGATATGTTCTTCATTGGATTTTGTTATTAGTTATCCTGATAAGTATTGAATAAGTTTCATGCATCAAAGCATGTTTTATGGATAACAAAAAAAGTATGAAATTGTAAGCTATATTGTATGATTTATTAAATTACGTAATATGATTTATTACGTAGTTATATCTGTGTATCAATGCATTATCAACTAAAATTTCTAATGTAATAGGGATAGCTATTGGAAACTTAATTACGAATTAGCATCGTCAAAAAATAATATTTTAGTTTAATTATTTTGGAAATAATATGAAAAGACCAAAAAATTATTTTACTAGTGTTATGTACTACTTATAGTTTGCTCGGTATTGTTAAAATAATATGATGTCAAGTGTAATGAAGGTAGATTACATTATTATATTAGTTGCTGTCATTCAGTTTGCTACTTAGCACAATACATACATAACAAAAATATAGTTTTATTAAATACTACGACTAGGATAGATTATATTTTTCTTCTTCTTCTTCCTGGCAATTTCCCAGCTTTAGCCAGGGTCTGCTCAACACCTTATATTATTAAACCAAGAATAAAAACTATTATAAAATTCTCTATTATGTATTGTTTTAACCACATCACCGGCTTTCAAATAACCCAGCGTTGGCAAGTTGCCAAATAGATTTTGTTCTACAAAAATATAACTAAATTTTGTATAAGAAACAATTTCGTAATTTGATCAACTTTCTAAGGACGTTACGGGTCAATTGGTATTATAGCTAAGAATAAGAAAGCCTTGGATTTGAACAATGATTTGATGTAGAACAAATTAGATATCTTAGAGCAAAAAATTATTATTAGAAATTCAACAATTACATTGTGAAACTGATAAAAGTAATTTTATATAAAGCATGAGATATTTTGATAATTAAAAAATATACATATATTAATACCAATTTATGAAATGAGGTTGGATATGAAAGAAAATTAAAAAAAAATTATAGAGAAAAGATGGAAGATAAAAGTATTTATTAAAGTCATTAAAATTTTAACATCATTATTTTCATTGTATCATGAAAAGTAATAAAAAAGTACAACAATTAAAAAATTTCTTCGATTTCATGTATTCTATATTTAATGATGATTCAGAGTAAAATAAAAATTAGCTATTAAAATGTAGGTTATTGAGATAAATTCTTATTTAAAGCAATATATACAAAATTAATGTACCCATTATAAATTGTTAGGTGTGTGCCAATCTTAATAGAACTAATTAACTAGACATATTTATTTGTTATCTTCATTTGAATATATATATATATATATTTTTAAATTAAACACAGGTCAATGACCGTTTTAAAGGAATATTTGGTTATTCATAGAAAAAATTGCCTAGATATTTCATGACCTACCATAGCTAAAAGTTATATATACATACACAATTTATAAATAATTTCTGTACCTGATTGTGTTGTATATAATAAAATGAAATATTTAAAACTATATTTTACACAATACTTTAAAACTTTAAGATTTCTTACATTATTCCTACTCATGAAGTATGTTATAAAATAATATAATTAGTTTCTTATTGGAATTATAACTACTATAGTTAATTTCTAATTGACATTGAAATGTTATCCAACAATTTAAATCTTGATGAGTATAAAGTTAGTGAACTATTAATATTATAATTGTTTCTGAGGATGTATGTATATTTGTTGCTCTTTCAAACAAAAACTACTCAAACAATTTATACAAAACTTTAAAATAGTGTAGATTAGACTTCCCATAAAGGTAGAGGGTATAATTAATTCCAGAATTTGATAGTTTTTATGGGATTATAAAAATTATACTTGGTATGAAGGCACATGACAAACTATAGATTTATGTGCTGGTTGATTAATTTATCTATAATTTCATGTAGCATTTTACACTTCTTTGGATTACATACTCCAAGAAACATCAAGACAAAGTCATAGGCGATAACTAGTTGATTATTAATTCGAATACCTCGCTCGTGTCATTCATAGTGACATCAAGATAGTTGTTATCTAAATGTACAGCGGTTCATGAGTGACTAATAAAATTTATCAAAACTAGTTACCGTTGGTAATATCAGGAAGTGATAATAATCGTTTAAAGTATCCATACAAAACAATGTTTGATAATATATATGCATCAAGATGTATAGAAATACTTATTTCCATTACATTTTAACACATAGTTACTAATAACTACATACGAAATAAGTTTTAATATTTAAAGCTGAGACTTCAAATATTTGTATTGAATTGAACCTTATAAAACAGCAACAATAGAAAATAAACGTAAGTATAAAATTATATTGAGCGTTAAAAGTAATTATATGAAAGCGAGCGTGACAAAACACGCCCCAGACCTTGGCAATGCTCCACAATTATGCACTGTGTCTATTTGCGTTTTTCAACCATTCAGCATCCATCACGGTCACATGATTGAATTGATAGAAAAACTCGTCAACTGCGCGGGAAATGAGCACGGATATTACGTAATATATTGTGTTATATTCAAGATTCAAGCGTGTTTGTAACAATAAACAGAAGCTATTCTCCTAAACGTACTTTCGTATAATTTGGCAAAACGCCAGCAAAATGCTATCATAACGAGTTCATTACAAAACTGATAATAAATCATTTCATAAATTTAAACATTCGTTACTTTGATAACATCCAGGTATATGCATATTTTTTTAACAGTTATAACCTTAATTTTAATTGTAAACATTGATTACTTATATTTTTAACAACGGTCTGATATTCGAAAATATTTTTTAGTTGAAATTCAATACTAAAAGATTGTAATTTAAGTTATTTCTTTCTATAAAAAATAAAATATAACCTGACAGCGGCACACGATGTCAGCGTTTACAGCCAGAAGATCCACAACTTTTCCTTTTCCTTCATCGCCCCATTGAGCGCCCAAAACTACAGTCACTTTATTAGTTTCCATTTTGTATCTTTTATTCGTGTATAAACAGTCGCCGTTTACTTCCAAATGCTTCGAATTTGTAGTCGAAGCCATTTTATCGCGAAGTGCAAACTTCGAAAATTTATGCGAGTAAACGAGACATGCGCGCGCAGAATCCAAATAGCAAAAAGGTTTTTTTGGTGTTTTCATAACTAATAACTGTTACATTTTCTTATCAATTTCTTTCTGACTAAATTACTGACGTTTAATATTTTTTGTATAAAATACAAAATGCTATTTAAATATTGCTCTATAATCTTTAAATTATGATAAAACTATGAACTAACTTTAATAATGACTGGGTTCCTACATATGAAAAGTTTTCTTAATAAGAATAAAATTGAAATTGTATGTTTTTTAATATTATCTAATTACGTTTAAAATAATATATCATTAGTATATACTAAACTTTTAATTATTAAATGGTGAACATTAAATAATATCTTAATAGTTTATGTAACATTATCTGTTATTAATAGTTTTCTGTGACATTTGAAAGTTTTTAAATTTGTCAGTTGACTTGTCACTTGATCAGTTTGACATGTGACAGTTGACAGTTGTCTGTTTCTGTTTTTCGAAACATCTCATAAATGGAGTGTATGATCGATATGAGTGTAGTGCCGTCCTGTAAATAAATAAAATAATAATCGTATGAAATTAAAAAAATAATAATAATTTAACTAACATTTTAATTTACGTATATAATGAGATTTATTTACATCCTACTTGTTATTTGTTATGTATCGTGTTACTATGATGAAGAAGCCGAAAAGGATGAGAGGAAAAACAAATTATTAGAACAACTCTCCAATACAAGACCAGTTCTTCGTGATGGATATCGAATAGCTACGAGGCATGTCGGTATAGATGTGTATATGTACCGGAGCTATAGAACTGTTTCGGTAGTGTTTTATCAAGTTAGCAGTGATATAAACGACGCTCAATTTACTTTTCAATCAGAGGAACTGCATCTTAATAACATAGGTATGATCCATTTTCAAATATTTTAGTCCTAAATCTATATTAAGCATTCTGAACAATACCCTGGCTATGAAAATATTAGCTATTAAAAGAAATCTTTTCTATACTTATCTAATCTTATCTAATGATTAATAAATTAATGTACAAATATAACCGCGTTAATTGTTTTCAAATTAAATTACTGAGTTATTCTATTAAAAAGAAATTTCAGTAAAAGATATCATTTGCTAGATAACTATTTAACCATATTTTTATGTGGTAAAATAATAATATTGGTCAATAATTTTTTTTATCATCACCTACTAAACCACATGATAACAACCAATATATATATAGCCTTATCATAGTGTAGAATTAATTTGTTTATAAATAAGGAATTTCCAATGTTATTTCCATAAATTCATTAAAGTATTGTATGAATCACTACTAACTTATAAATAAAAATATTTTTTATATTAAAAAATAGCTACTTAATATGATTTCCATGAATTAAACTATGGTTGTACTTAACTTGAGTTTCTGTTGTAGATATTATTTGAAAAAAGTTTTTATATATACAAGTAACAAAAAATAAATTTATTTTACTTTTTCATTGTACACTTGTTAATAATACATATGCTTTTATATTGCTTAAAAATTTCTTAGTTACCACCTCAATTTATCTATAATATATTCTATGTATATGAAAAAAAATAATCCAATAATTTAATTTGTAAGCAATTAACAGAGAGTATAATATATGTATATTCAAATTAATTTATTATTCATTAGATAAGATTAGATTAGTCCAACTAATCACATCTAGGGTGAGATTATATTTTTTAATAGAAAAGTATGTCATACCCAAGCCATTATATCTAATAGAATATTAAGCTGAACCTCATTTCATCTCATCTATATATTTTATTTTGTATTGAGATGAAACTACCTACTCTTACTCAGATATCCGGTATTCAAGGCTTAATGTCTTATAACCAACTTGTACCTTTAGCATATGGTTACATATGTTTGAATACAGACTTTAGAAAGCCCTTACTTTTTATAGCTTGTCGTAAAAAGTATTGCCACTTTATACATTTTCTTACATATTAAACATTGCTACGTTAAAAAAAGCTGTAATTAAATTCGTGCTAGCTCGTATAAATTATGAGATCTAAGACTTTTGCGAGTATTCAGTTAAATGAAACAATATTTTCTAATTATATTACACATATTTTATTATTTTAAAACTATGTACTCCCGAATTTTTGGCTGCTTTTCAGCTACCATGATCACGGACAGACGAAACATGAACGGCATTTTACAACAAATATTATCTTTAAAACACCCACCCTCGATAAAATATTTAGTTGGTAATTTCAAGTCCCAGAACAGTGTATATTTTCCATCCAACTTACCCACTTACAAAACGACATTCGAGATTGTCAGAAAAACCTGTTTTTTTATTTTATTTTTATACTGAAATTCGGAGTTAGTCAATGGTAGTCTTTTTTTCTTATTCTTATGAGTCTAAACCATAAAAAAATCGTATGATCATGGTTTTTCAACGGAAAGTCGATTTTAAACGAAGGAAAGAAAATTAAAATCTCGTTTTTAAGAGTTTTTGTAATATGTCAATTACCACAATTTGTCAGAATATGTATTTTACACCCCTCGACACTCAGGAATTTTTTCAGATTTTTTGAAGCGGTAGAACAATGTCAAAAAAATTAAAACCTCTTTTTTTTTCTAAAATTCGTCGTTTTAACGCACTTTTATTTATTTCACTTGGAAAAATACGTAGAAAATTTCTTTTTTACCAATATATATCTTTTCAAAAGATAAACATAATAAAGAAGATTTATGAATGAAAAACTATAAATGCCCCGTATGTAATGTGACGACGAATACTTGGTCTAAGCACACTATTGATTCAAATCACAAAACTAGGATACGCTTCCTGTATTGGAAGCAGTAATACACTTGCTATATGAATAAACAAGTGCCGAGTACATACATACATACATGTTTAAGTAGTTCTGTTCATTGAAAGAAAAACAGTTCCATATTAAAATTTATTCATATAGAAATAAAAGAAATTTTCGAACAAATTCACATGTAGTTCTCATCCCTACTATATATAATAATATTATAAATGCAAAAGTAACTCAGTTTGTCTGTCTGTCTGTTACGCTTTCACGCCTAAACCACTGAACTGATTTTAATGAAATTTGGTACAGATATAGAGTAGACCTTGAGAAAGAACATAGGATAGTTTTTAACCCAGACTTTTAAAAGGTTCTCTTGGAAACGCGATATAACCGAACTCCACGCGGGCGAAGCTGCGGCCAGAAAGCTAGTTAAATATAAAGGATTGTCCTTTAATAAAATATTGATGACTAGAAGACCTGGCGAACTTCGTAACGCCCTATAATCAAGAAATATCTATTACGTTTTTTTATTTATATTTTTGGAGTTTACCTTTAAGCCATAAATCTCCGCGTTTTTAAGTGCGACAAAATGATTGACATATTAGTTAGTTGTCAAATCTAATGTCAAAAAAAAAACGTTTGTATGGGAAATAGAAAAGGGCTGTTTTTATGGTTTTTCCAGTAATTAATCAATTTTATTCAGCTTTTATACCTTCCCTGAACCTCCACGAACATTTCAAGACTAAGATAAGATAAATCCGTTCAGCTGTTCTCGAGTTTTAGCGAGACTAAGGAACAGCAATCCATTTTTATATACAGGGTGACTGGTGAATTACTATCAATATTTAAGGAGCATACTCGGTACATGATTCTCGTTCGAATTATGTAAAAAAAATAGACACTTAATTTTTGACCAAATTTCCGTATAAATAAATAAAGTGTGTACACGTTCCAAGTGTTCCAAGTGTGAACGCGTGCGGCGGCGTGCTGATACAATAACACGCCGCCGCGCGCGTATGTGTGTGTGTGTGTATACCTAATCTGTAGGGTGTTCATACGATGCGTAATTAATTACATAACTTTTGGTTAACTTTACTTGGAAGTTCATTAATATTTATGTTATATTAATTTTTATTTTGTCATATATGATCGTCAAATATCACGTCCTCAAATATCGATAGTAATTCACCAGTCACCCTGTATATAGAAGATTATAACGTAAGTAGTAGTACATTAGAAACATCATAATATATTGTATTGTTTACAATACGAAGGAAAGGAATTTCGTAACGTACATAGGTGTGGCATATCCGAACAATGTTTTATTCTATTCACTAAACCAACATATTGTTGGTTTTATTTTTAATTTCAAAACGACCAGAAGGTCAGTGGTGGTATAGTGGTTAAAAGGCCCGCCTCTCGTGCATGCGGGCGCGGGTTCAAAACTAAAACGAGTTTTCAACTAAGCGAATCGAATAATAGAACAGACAAAAAACACTATACCTAAATATATTATTCATACACACATACTAAATTCTACCTGTATTTGACCTCCAACTATGATGAGGTTGTCAAGTTAATAAAAGCTCTATTAGAAACAAAAATTACAGTATTAGAAATCTACCAGCAAACAAACAAAAGGTTTATTCATATACTCAAAAGGCTATACAAGTATCACACAGAAACTAAACAAAATATGCCCATAAAAAGTATATTAAAATCGTCTCTATCTGGATTTAATAAAGTTTATAAATTATAACGTACACAATACAACAATTTGTGCAAATATTATCGTAGTTATGGGTTATAATATTCATTGGATACCAAAAATTTTTACTACACATAATTTTCGGTACAAATTATCACTGCCATATTTTTTTTGACGCGCAGATTCAAGGAAAATAAATACTGTATCAGAGGCTAAAACAACCCACGCACTTAGATAATTGCAAACAGGAAATACCCATTATTGAAGTCTTGTGCATGTTTACGAGATAAAATGGGAACGAACGTTGTAAATATATTAAAGTGTAGGTTTTACCTAACAGTGAAATGTAAGCAGACTTTATGGAGACTCGAAAAGTTGGCAAACACAAGGCTGACTTGCAAACAATGACGTCACATATCACCAAAATATATGAAAAGTGATAATTAGGTTTTATGGAGGCGTTTAATCTTGTTACTCTTTTAGCTTTTTTGGACTTACAAGATCGGGCAACCTTGGCTTTATTTTACGATGAAAAGAGATAATAGATTTAAAATTGCTATAACTTAATTTGTTTCTAACATAAATGAAATGTGGGCTTGCAAAATTCTTAATAAAAAAGATATTTAGCTGTCAAGTTTCTTAAATATTTTTTTTGGCTACATTCAGAAACATTATTTTATGGATTTTTTTCGTGAAACCTGGTGAGGTAAAGAGAAAATAACTTTTGATGTTTCATACTTATATTACAAATTTCTCAACGACATCGACGACACTAACATTATCTTATCGATTAAAAATCGTAACTGTGTCAGCTGTGAACTAAAATTAGAAAATTACATTATGACGTCACTAGCACTAGTGTGTGCTCCAGAACTCGTCATATTTTCGATACTAGCCTTAAAAATATTTATTATTAATCTTATATACTGATCTATTCATAAATCATTCAGGAAAGAAATCATTAAAACAAATGAACTGTTATAATTTCCAGGCTCCTGTAACCCTAAAGATGTGATAATCCAGATCAAATATGGATCCTATCCAGCGGTTAATCCAGATGGTTACCAGTTCCCAAAGAACTTCGTGGACCCAGCTAACAGGGAGAGCATCCAAACCTTGGAGATGATCTCCGATGGCAGCAATATCACCTATTCCATCAGCAATCCAAGGTCTGGTATTTACTATGCCATGGCGTACGTCAAGTGGGAAGATCCAAGGAATCAGAAAGTTGAACAAGAAGGTAAGGTTCCATAGCTGAAATTTGTGGCCACCAAAAACCAAAAAGCTTAAATTCATTCAAAAGAAAATATACAATAAGCATAATTTGAAATAAATTTATATTTTCAATCACAAAAACTTAGGTATAGTATTAGAAAAACTTGAAATATTTTCGGCAATCTTTAACTAAATTTCCCAAGCAACGAAAATCAGGTCCATAATACGATTTTTATTTATGTGATATTTAACATTACAATGAAGTTCAATCTAAGTTGAATATAAAAATCTGATAATAATCTCTACATTGATTGATTTCAAAATATAAACTGAGGCAAAAAGGCTGCGTATATAGGTATATGTTTCCTTTAAACATAATTCTCACCTTTCTTTAAATTATATATATATATATATATATATATATATATAATTTATATGTCGCTGTATCCGATGTTGTTATAAGCGGTTTGTATACTGAATAGTTTACTAGCAATTCGGCCGGGACCATACAATCGGGCTGTAATAACCGATAGGTCGTTGTAAACGATGTCGTTATAAACTGTTTTGACTATATATATATATATATATATATATATATATATATATATATATATATATATATATATATATATATATATATATATATATATATATATATATATATATGATTTAAATCCAGGTGACAACACCTAGTTTTGATTGTCACTTGATCACAGTCAAGTGCATAATGTGTACATTGCTCTGAACTGACCTCGTTCCAACACATTCATCTGATTGCTGCATCCGACCCACTAGTTGACTAGTCTTTTCAATTGGATACAATAGCTCTACAGATTTAAACATGTATTGAAATTTATACATATAGCTCTAAACTCAACTTTTAGGGGTTTATTTTTATTATTAAGAAAAATAAAATAGGTTTAAAATTAATATTTTATATGTATTTCAGGTTTGGTTGCAAATTGTCGTACAATTTTATACACGGATCTCCAAGTGAAGGCTGAACAAACGTCCTACATGAATTGTTATGAAAATTTAACGATAGATTATACTCAGTTGCCGTTACTATTCAAATGTCGCGCTATCGATAGTTTGGATACGATGAAATTGAACTTGCACATCACTAATTCTGAATTCAAATACAGCAATCTGACTGTGAAAATTCGTGCTGATGCAATACCTACTGAGAATGATTTTATACTGCACTGCGCTTTTCCCGCGTCTGCAAACGACCAGACCATTAATTTCCTACCACAGCCATCAACTACCCATTATATTTACATAGATATTATTGATGGCAACACTACTTATATCCGGGATTGTGAGTCATACGCGTCGAATGACGAAGAAGACATGACCATAGTTGATCTAATGAGAGATGACAAGGATAAATTCTTTGGCTTCGACTACGGACTGCCTACAACCGATTTAACTGACGTCACCAGTCTGGTCAATCTGACATCAAACGAAATAAAAACTCTTAGATTCAAGGTCAATCAATTTCTAGATATAGGTGGAAGTCTGACAATAGAGGCAAGTCTGTTGATGAGCATAAAATATTACATGGGTTACAAGAGAGAGATCAAAGATGATATGATGGCATTCACAGAAGATAATCAGTTCTTCAAAGTGGTGATATGCTTAGAGCTCAACCAAGCAGGAGTACCGCTTGAAAATGGTAAATGTAAATACAATGACGTCATCAAACCGGCATTACTAGTTCTGAACAGCACGGACTCGGATTCCATTTACGATAAAATTATAATCCCATTCCCAGAAGGTGGTTTGTGGTACATGACGTTGAAGCTGTTCTGTGATAGCGTTGTCTGTCCTTGTCGCACTTCAGACAACGCTACCAAGTATTACGTGAACACGACAGATATAGGACATAAGCAGACTTCTATGGATACCTTCTCAGATGTAGTAAGGCAAGGTGTAACCGAATGTAACACAACAGTAGTTCTATCGGTGTCGTCAAAGTCATGTGTCGGTGGTAAATGTACCAACAATGGAAATTGTGGTTACAATACCTTCAGCGGCATAGTTATGTCATATTGCGGCTGTACTTCGGGTTATGGTGGTAAGGAATTTTATATTTCATCACAATTTTATCCTACTAATATCATAATTGCGAAAGTTTCTGTGTGTGTATGTTTGTTACTTCTTCGGGCTCAAACGGCTGAACCGATTTTGATAAAATTTTGTATACAAGAAGCTGACGTCCAGGAATAACACATAGGCTACTTTACATCCCGGAAATATAATCCTTTATTCAAATTATATATTTTTTTTTCAGGTTGGGACTGTTCAGATGAATCAAGAATCGACAGCCAAGCTTATCTACTTCTATCAGTACTACTTCTGACTTTGAGTAATTTGCTGTTCATCTTATCAATATACGTCGCGTTTATCCGATTGTATATACTTGAAGGGGTCATGTATGGACTAACTATGGTATTTTCAACATTCTACCACGCGTGTGATGCGCCAGCTCAAGTCGCATATTGTATTATACGTGGTAATCTCCTTCAATTTGGTGATTTCTACTGTGGACTTATGTCTTTTTGGGTAACACTGTTAGCTATGAGTATCATAGGTATTAGGTTTAGGGCATTTTTCCAAGTCATAGGTGCTATATTGATTGCGTTGCTAACCACTTGGAATATGCATTCATTTGTTGCTTTTCTTTTGCCAGTCGCGATCGGTGCTCTTATATTATTTGTTAGTTGGTATATTGATTACAAGAAAAATCATTTCATGAGATATCCTACCTCATATTACACTAGATATATGCCGCTTGGTCTCATTTTAGTGTCAGTTGGCCTTATTTGCTACGCTTTCCTGCAGACGGAACAGAATTATAAAATTGTTCACTCTTTATGGCATATGATAATTGCCCTAAGCGTTGTATTTTTGTTACCAGATTCAAAACGTCGTAATTGCCATCCGTTTGTTCCCAGTAGGGAATATTTTAAATGGCCATTTTGTTCGTATCACAGGTCACAAAGCCCATAATATAGTTTCTTTAACTCAAATCATGTATATATTCTGGTAACGTCTAGTTAGTAAGCGACAAGTGACTTGAAAGACATTCCTGTTGATGAACAAATAACATTTTTTTAATATTAAGCTGTATACCAAAAATTATGTTAAAATTTATTTTTAATACTCATAAGTAAATAGTTGTTATATATAATTTATTTTCAAGTAAGAAACTATTTTAATAAAAAAAAAAAGAAATATTTCTTATAAGCTGAAAACTCAAAAGTACAAGTTAAATAATCCATTTTGTATACATTTACTTGAATCCTAGTCAAGTTCTCGTTACGCTATCCATTTTATAAGTTAAAATACCACTATCTTATATTAAATATAACATGTACATCGTTAACTCTATGGTGCATTTAAAAATATTTCATACTGCCTCACTTTATTGTTATAGAACAGATAATTCATATTAAGCTTTCTTAGTATTGAAATTAAAACAAAATACACTATATCCTTTATTATAATTTAATTACGGAAAACTTATATGGTTTTCAATTATGTATTTAGTGTTGAGAAATGTTTTCTGTCATACTGTCTTTTCAATGACATTTATTGACGATCGATGTTACAAATTGAACCTATCATCTCCAGTAAAAGATAAACATCGTATAAAACTGTTATCTACTATTAATAATGCTAATATTTACAAAATATACAATTATTACATGATAGTAAAACCGTTATTAATACTGCTAGTCCTTTTTTCACGAATTTTTTAGCGTTCTGTTTTGATTTTTTTTTAGTTAAACCTCCTTGTTGGTTAGTTGCGATAAATTTTAATTAAATTTACTACCAGTTATAAAAGTAAACTTACCATTATCAAATTTAAAAATTGTCAACGATAGAGTATTTACCTTACAGCCATAAGTTGAAAAAAGGTCTTAACTCTTAGTTGTATTTGGCATTTGGTACTCTGTGAGCAAAGTGATATGTTGGCGCCTTTTTTGAAGTGTCTATGAAAAGCATTAGAGATACATTAGACTGAAATTGGTAAGATATTTCAAGTTTTTAACGATATTATATTATTAAAAATGATTTTCAATTATAAAAGTATTTCAACAATCATGATGATTCAAATGTTTATTACTAAAGCCGGGGTTCATTATAAACCTTATCATTTTTCAATTTAAGTTGTTTATCAAGAGTATTATATGTATTTAGGAAATGTAGAAGTTTTATTTATCAAACTTAAAAATATTAAATCTTCTGGTGCCTTGTAAGCTAAGACATAGATAAAAGTATCATTAATTGAATCATACAAAAAAATAAATTGAAATTCTTCACCAAAATATAAGCAATTGTGATAAATTACTCAATTTTTTTTTACATTGAAACTATGATGAGGTGCAAACATAAATATAAGTTTGAAGAGCATATTTATAGTTTAATTAAATATTATAAATGTATTAAATATATTATAATTTCAGTTAGTAACATTATTACTGTTTAGATACTAAGTTATTAGTCAGGTAGTTTTATGTGAGTGTTAAATGTGTTGTAAAACATGTAAAAGTTGGCTAGAACAAATTAAGATTATATTTACAATACCTTTAAAATCAAAATTAAATGAATCAAATGAGAACAAATACATTAATATTTTAAGGAGGTATCAAAAAGCTGATCTGTGAAATTTCTGACTACATTTTTATACAAAATTATTATACATAAATCAGTCTGTCTTTGTATAGTTGCTGGAACATAACTTGGTAAGCGACAATAAATGAATATAATGTGATTTTTAGGTATAATAGATGATTATTGATTATATGTTTGCTCCCGAGTACACTTAGGAGCACCTAAATCGGACCCATGAATTATGGTACCTTTACAAGTTTTTGTCATTGATAAGCATCAAAAGTACCCACTTTTTGCTGTACTAACTTCATATGTACAAACATTATAGACAATATTTCAAAACCTTGCCAAGATATGTGCCAGCAATTACACATGTATATAAATTGTATTAAAAGATTAATAAGAAATGGATCAACTTTTTGATCAATGATACTAGCTTTCTCTGGATTAACAAGAGATTGATGCATCCATATAATATTAAGAAACAAATGACAAGTAGTTAGTATTTAATGATGAAAATGAATTATTTAGTGCCATTCATAGTTACCATTAAGATTGTTATAGAATATGATGTCGGGACCAATGGTTCAATAAACTTAAAGGTACATTTGAGATTTATTAATATAAATTTATATTTTATCCGTGCCTTTATTGTAAGTGAGCATTTTCAAACCAAACAAAAAATAGATAGTTGAGTTTTTTTTTCTTAAATATGCTCATACATATACAGAGATATTTCTCATATTGGTGTATGGATGAAAAATTTAAAATTTAGGTTTGACTAAGTGAACTTTTGGTGAAGTAATTGTTTCAGTGTATTTATATTAATAAGGCAAATGATGTATTTTGATAATGCTTTTAGTATAAATTATAGGATATTAGAGTTGCCATATGTTGTTTTTAGCCGTTGCCCATTGGTTATATCAAATATATATAAAAAATATCATCTTTATAAAAACTATTGTTTTTTTGTTGACATCATCATTTTTTTGTAATATTTAATTTTTGTATAATTCTTCAGCAATTGATCAATTACTATTTTTGTTATTTATTAATATATGAAGATGATATGTTATAAAAACCATGTAAAAAAATGATTAAACATCAATTTAAGTGTGATTTTGCATGCACAATTGTTTTATATGAAATAAAATATATAAATGTAATAATAAACCACTTCAATAAAATTAATTTAATTTATTAATAATTATATATGCGATTATAATATTTAATACATGTCTTTTAATATATGTAGCTATAAAAAGTTTCTACTGCAATCTTCAACAAGTTGTTTATATCAAAATTTAAATGATTCAATCTTTGCAGTATTCAATAGATTAATATAATTAATTATCACAATATTTTATGCCTAAAATAGAGTATATTTTATATACTATGTTGTTAAAAAGGTCTTACTGAGCCAGGACCGAATCTTATTTCGTTTTCAAATTGTTCGGCTTTCAAAGTACCATCTATGCTCTTACAGTTTTTGTTGAATACACTGTAGGCTGAAATCTCACCTTTCCGTCGAGGCCCAGTTCTTGTATTAAGACAAATTCCTATTAAGATTGTCACAACAAAATAAACAGCACCAAATTGTAGTTTGAGGAATATTATATAAAAAATTAACCATATCACAGCAATGATAGACCATTTTATAAGACAATGTTTCCACGACTCCTGGTCTTCAACAAGAGATTCGATTTCATTGACTTCTGATACATTTTTTTCCATAATGAGACAACTTTCATCATCCAATTCTTCTTCTTCCTCCATCTGAAATAATAATAATTCATACAGATTATAAACTTAAGATAAGATAAAAGAGTATTAAAAAAAATTAATTTACCAATAAAACCTCTTCCTCCTTCCTAGCCATGTCTCGAAAGATTTTAGGAATTATAAAGTCTATAAACTTGTCTTTAGACTTTACTATTTTATCTTTACCAGTATCCCACAGTTCTCTTCTTCGGCGGAGAGCGCGATATGCTTTTAGCTTAGCCTCCATATGGGCAGGTGATAAAATGTTGATAACGATCGAAAAACGAAGGACAAGCAATAATCACTATACAATTTGGTTAAAACAAAGTAAACAAATAGTTTTCGAATGTTCCAATCAATTATCATATGTCATATTCTGCTTTCAAATAAATATGTATTATTGGCAGAATAACCTTTCTTCTTATTCAAAAAATATATTATTTTTCACATTCTATTAGGTTCTATACATTGTAGTAACGTGTCCGGTGTCATTCATCCGATATAAAAGTGCACGTTTTTTTATGCATTATTATGTTCAGTCCATGTCAAATACTTCATAGATTACGCTGTAGAGATTTGTTTGTTTTACAACATAATTTTAACACCTTTGATTATAATTTATATTGTACAGCACATTCAACGTGTATCTTCATACTTGACGGCATAAACACTTTGTTTTTATTGTTTTTGACACACGAACAAAGAGACAATAGAATGTATTTGTCAACATCATCTTTTTTAATCGTTCCGTAACTCGACACCTCAATAAAAAAAGACTAAAAATAGACACTTATATATAAATTAATTTTATTACGAAATATGTATCATTGGTACCATATTTATCCATTTTGTATAATATATTTAGTTCATCAACTTTACATGTATTTTTTTATATAGCAACAAAATAACTCCAAGCAAAGACGGATCAATAATTTGAGATTTTCATTCAAAGAAACTCCATACGATGTTATTAAAGTAACATAGGTGAATTAAAAATTATATTAATGGATCATAAAACAGACATGGGTGCTTATGGAGAAAATTCTAGTGTCCAAAATAGCGGAAACTATATAACTATTATACCCGTGGAATATTCCCGACGAGGATATCCAATTCAAACGGAATATCAATATAAGTGAGATTTAAGAACATAAGTTAATATTTACTTAGTTAATTTTATGCATTATTTTTTCTAAAACGAAAGGTGTAACTAAGTTTTTTTATAAATACATTTATATACATATAAGGTGAAAGTACACACAACACATTTGTATGCAATTTATTACGAAAATTATTGTTAAGTAGAACATTAATTTAACTCCACTTAAATTTAATAATATTAATTTCAGTGAATTCAGATCGCGGGAGGAGTATTATAGTGTCCAAAGTCAGAAGTTACAAGCGGAGGTGAATGCTCATTTGTACTCCGTTTCTCAGCGTCTTCCTCACTTATCATACAGCCCGCTCGGAAGACATAATGACTGGGACAAACATGATTCCCACAAACCACTACCAGACTCCAAAGAGAGTAATTCCTCAGACTCTTTGGAGAAAAGTGTTATGGGTCTGTATAAACTGGCAATAAATATTATTTATATTGTAAATTAGTACCAACAATTGTCTTATTTATTTGATATATAGGGTCGAACCTCAGCAGCTGTTCCAATCAGACTGGGTCCAGTATAGCGGCAGGTTCTTTTAGCACCACCGAACCCATCACCAGCGGGGGTAGTTCAGCCAGTGCCATATCACCGCCCCTGCCTGGTTAGTAATAATCAATAAAAATATTTATTACATATTAAAAATCAAAATTATTATCGCTCAAAAGGAAATTCTTCCTAAGCCTCGCAATATGACGAAAAAGATTTTGAAAGCCAGACATCACAAAATATTTAATGCTCTATCTTATTTAATAAAGGATTAACTCTAATTTAAACTTTTTTTACATGAATATTTTATTTTATTCAACCACGTAAACATTAAATCAGAAGCAATGAATCAAACCATTATAGCATAACTTTCGACATGTTTATGGCATAAAAACTACGTTATAATATATTCTTATAGGTTCATCAGGTTCATCAACTAGTAGCGCTTCAAACCTGGTGACCTGCGTGTATCTGATGTCGAAGACCGCGGTCATGGTGGAGATGAGCTCGGAAGAAGTTCCATGGTGCGTGACCGCTGGAAGGTTGCTAGCAGCTGTTCTATCAGCTGAGGAGTTGGGCCTTGCTGCACCAGCTAGGAGCCTCGCTGCCAGTGTATTCTCTTTATGGATGTGCAGTCCGCTATTAGGTAATATAAGAATCGTATAAGTTTGGACAGAGGACACGTATGGAAAGCCCTAAAAATGTTTAATAGAGAACATATATGTAGATGTACCTAAAAATTTGTCGTATTTGCAAATTTTGATATCCTGATGTAATTTCAATGAAAGGGTCCTGTATTTTTGGTCTAATTTGTATTCAGAAGGGACTTTAGTAAGCAGATATAATTAAATATACATTCAGTAGTATTATGATACTAGATTTTGTGATTTTAGAGAAACTATATAATACGTACTTCTGGTAACTATTTCACTACTTGAGATATATTCATCGGATATTTTAAGAATATCGCTTCAATATAATTTTTAGTTTCGTTGTTCGACACACATTCTTAGCTTAGCTAAGTTTAACACTGTATGTTCCATAACCATACGTAAGAAGATCATTTTTATCATCGACCTTTGATTAATTGAGTCCAATCTATATAGAGATTCAACTCAAGCCACACCATTGTCCGTGGCGAGTGTGGGCGGCCTGGCAGCAGCTGTTAGTGCGTTATGGACACGGCTCTCCGTCAAGACGAGCCAAGGACCAACCCGTATTAAGGATGCAGAGAAATGTTTTCTTCCCCAAACATCTAGAAGAAGGAATAAAGTCAGTAGAAACCAACTATTTCGTGTTATTAAGACGTAATCTGTGTGCATATAATTTTAGTCCAGTATCCATGGCTCTTTTTTGAACTTGATTACTAACAAGCTAATTTTCCGTGAATATCTTCGTTTCATTGAGACGCCCAACTTTTTCTTTTGCGGTATTTCTTAATTTTCCAAAATTTATTATTAACTACATTTTTTATGTTAAATCTTATGATAATTATCTAAAATCGAAAAAAAATAATTCTAAAGACTATTTCGAGTTTTTTGGCAAAAGAATTTAATGCGATTTTTAAGAATTTTGTTGGCACTTTTTCTTTTACATGGGCATAACTTCAAGAATATGGGAGATTGCATTAATTTTTTAAAAATAAATTTCAGGGATTCAAAAATTCAAGAGTTATTATACGAAGAAGCGAGATACAACGTGGTTAATGGAAGGTATCCATTGGAAAGCGCTCAAGCCGTCATGTTAGGCGGACTGCAAGCTCGAATACAACTAGGTCCATATGATCCTCATAGACATACCGCTAAATTTTTCAGGTATTATATTTTATTAAGTATATTTTTCGAATCCAACTATCTCGTATAACACATATAAATCAACTTTTGGTTAAATTTCATCAGGAGTGATTTTTGGAGGAAAATATGGTATGTCATAGATGACAAAAACATGTCTAATGACCAGCAAATAGTTAAAAACTATATAAAACGTATACCGAAAAACATAGTCATATTTAGATATTAATTAGTGCAAATTCTAGACATTTAATAGTCAATATAACTATCCCGTTACGTGACAGTATTATAAAAGCCAAAACTTTGATTTGTATCTGTAGAGTGTAAATAATGGAAAATAACACTCGTGCTAAGGAATATTTGGTGAAATATTAATGAGGTCATACTTCCAAGATAACAAGTGATCTATTTAAGACCTGATAAGGATTAAGATCGAGAAGAAATGGCCTATCATGAACAATTTTTCCAATAGGGAGCATCAGCGCGAGTATCTACCAGCACACGTACGTCGTGGTGGCTGGGCGCGTTTAGTACCGGCAGGTCGCAAGGGCAGCCCTGAGGCACGACTCCTTGAACACGCCCAGCGACCTCCAGCCGCGCCGCCACGGAAACTGAGACACAAATACTTGACACACACACGGACACTACCTACTTACGGGTGAGAGTTTTTGCACACATATACTCCTAGCTTATGGTAATTTCATATATTTCTGCAGAAAATATTTGACGTTATTAATGTCCAAAAAGGCAAAAACTTTCAAAGCATGATTTAAGTCTCAACACTTTAACACACCAAAAATTTTTCATAGATTTTATCCAATATTCTATTAAGGATGTATACCTTCCAGAACCTTCTCGAACCTTCTAGAACCTTCGAGAAGAAATACTCCAAAGAGATCATACCTGTATATAATCCGTTTCATATCAGGGCAGCATTCTTCCAAGGTCAGATAGAGCAGCCTCTCCGCAGCCTGACCAGTCTGCTGACCCACGAGGACATCCCGGTGCTGGTCGCTATCAACGCGTATGGGGTCTACGTCATAGATGACACGGAGAGTGTAAGGAATTTACATTATCAGATATATGGTTAAAGATTTTTTATTTCTCAAAAAGAAATTACATTTCACTTACTTGAGAAAATTATGACTATAAACATAATATCTAAAATTAGAACTTCGACAATCATAATAAATGTATCACTAGGTAGTTACACATATTCTTACAACAATTTTTGCTTTAAACAAGAAATTTAAAACATACTATAGATACTATACATATACTATAGATACTAGTTTTTCATTGCGGATATACTCTCGTGTTTGCAGTTCATTGAGTTTATAGTATAATAAAGTTCTCTAATTTTGATATATATAGGTGTTATGTAGCCAATAAATTCGTCCTTAGTTTTGCTTACAAAGTATTAAATTACGCTTTTATTGATTACTACGTGGCAGATACTTAAGAAGCACAAAAACAAACTTTTACATTCATAATATCAGGGGTATTAATATATATAAGAACTAAACGTGTATAAAATCCTTATATTGTCCTATAAAACATATTTTTGTCTTCCAGACGGTACTACTTGGTCTACTATATGAAGAGCTCTCTTGGGATATCGGTCTACCGTCAGATGATAATGAGGACTGTCTGCCGTGCCTCTTCTTACAATTCATGGTCGTGGAGAATGGACTGCGAGTGTCTAAAATACTACAGGTATTACCAAAATAATAATATTTTTTACGTAGTTATTTTTCTCGTGATATCTAGAAGTATATATATATATTTGTAGAAGTATATATATAGTTGTAGTCAGTGGTGGCCTAGTGGTTAAAAGGCCCGCCTCTCATGAACGAGGACGCGGGTTCGATCCTGGCCCGGGAAAGTACCAATGTGATTTTTCCAAATCATATGTACTTTATAAGAGTATTTAAACATTGCTGATTAATGCATTCCCAAAGAGGGTTGATGCTGACATCAACTGAGCAGGCGGCCGGTCGTAAAAACAATTAGCCAAAACTATTCACAACATGTAAGGCAGACCCTGGTTATAGCTGGGAAATTGCCAGGAAGAAGATATATATATTTGTAGAAGTTTTCTGAGATACCCCTAGTTTGAAATACATTTTCTAGTTTTAATCCATTCTAAAGTTTTATCATATAATTTTTAATCTGCAAAATAGGTGAAAGATTCAGGAAAATAAAGACTATCCTCATTTCATTCCAGGTATTTTCAAAGCAGGCGATAATGATGGACACTTTAATAGAACACTTCGCTGGTGAATACAGAAGGAGAATCGGTCAAGACACTCCCAGCGAACACGCCAACTATGATTACCACTCAGGTATATTATTTTACTAGATCTGACAGGTGGTGCTAATGAATTTTACTTATAAACTAGCTATTTTCTGCAGTTTTACTCTCATATTAAACTGTTTTTGATATACGTGCTATTGGCACTATGAGATTTCAATTGATTTTCACTTCAGGACAATGGCATTTTGGTAATAAATGATAATTTTGGAAATAGGCATTAATTAAAATAGTAATAGTAATAATATAATAGTATAACAAATACTTAGTTGAATTGACAACTTTCTTCTTTTTAATGTCGATTAAAAACTATTTACTACTTATGGCATCTCTGCAGAAAAGGTAGCAAAAAATTCTACTACCTAGTAGAAAAATTTAATTAGTTATAAAAGAAAAAATTATACATTCAGATTCTGGAAGCATTTCTCTCCCCCCTCTCTCCCGGCCGGATTCCCCCCAGAGGCGTCTGGCTAACAAGCTCAGTCGGCTGGCGCTCGCCACACACGACGGACGTGGCAACCTGCTGGGGGGCGCTGGAGACTGGAACAGCGGGCTGCATCACCGACAACCTTCTTGGATACTACCCAAACATTAGACCAATAAAATAATTACACGTTCTTGTTGCTTCATTGACATATTTATGTAATAAAAATTACCTTTTTCTTCTCCTTTCATTTCCTCCTTATATTATATTTTTTCTTGCAAGAATCTTTAACCCTTCATAATATGAAAGTCGACAATGCAATGTATTAGGTACTAATAGGAATATAAATCCATGAATTGGTACAAAACCGTTTGAGAGAAGGTTCTTCACTTCCTACCTCTACTCTTATAGCGCTACTTCTCCATGTGCAACTAAATAAATTCTTAAATCCTCAAAAAATAATGGGCCTAAAAAGCGGTATCAAACAAACTTTAGTATAAGTAGTCAATCAAAATATAATATCAATCAATTTACATTGTAATAATTCAAATGGCCCTACAATTTGTGTTACATGTTTTTTTTATCGTTAATTCTTTGGAATTTTCTCATTGTATGATTGTAGTGAATATAATGAAATGAAATAAATAAGACAAAAAAGAATATTCTATAACAATTAAGGCCAAAAACTGGTTCAAAAATATTGGACCAGATCGATAATTTTAAGTTTATTTCATTGGTTTTGGAAACAGACCTTTAAATTAGTTCATTATAATTAAAATAAAGAAATGACTTCTCACGAAAATATTAATTGTCACTCATAAAAAAACTAAAGGGTTCCTATAATTAGAGAATATAAAATAAAACTGTGAAAACGTAAATTAAAAAATCATAAAAAATAAAACGATTTTAGATAGAAGTAGCATTACGAAGTACTGTTTCATACAGTGTACAATTATAATTTTTTTTTCTAGTTCTAATATATGGGGTGCAATTATAATAATTTTCTTTAAGATTCTAATCAAATTTTATTAAAAAATAAATGCAGTTTTAACATTATTTTTAGTAACAAACATGAAATTCAACAGCCAATAACGAAAATACAATATATCTAGGTATGTATAATATTCTAAAATTATTTAATTCTGTAATGATGCCGCATACGATTGTACTCCTTGAGCAAGGGATGCTTATCTAAATAATCTTCAAGAACTTTGAATCTCGGAGCCGATAGGTCCTTATGTCTTGTCAGACGCACTTCCAAAGTATGAACTTGGAATACCAGTTCCGCGCTGAAAATTAGAACAAAAACTATTGTGTGTTTGCCAACATCAGGGAAATAGATGTTAAAATGTAAATTAAATTAGAAAATTTATAGTATTTAGTAAATAAAATGAAAAATAATAGGAAGATTTGCAAATTACTGACCTAGCAGCGAAGTAAGCGCTCTCCTTTTCAGGTGTCAGAATAAACTGGTTCGCCAAATACCAGAGTCTCTTATTCTTATATTCGGCGTTCAACTGCAAAGTTATTAAAGGATTAGTTATAGTTAATTCATTACAATAGAAGAATCACGTATTAAATATTAGCTATTAATACGATATGGTTATAGTATATTTCAAGTTTCCCAAAGAGGGTTGATGTCAGGCAGGCGGCCGGTCGTAAAAACAATTAGCCAAAACTATTCACAACATGTAAGGCAGACCCTGGCTAAAGCTGGGAAATTGCCAGATAGAAGAAGAAGATAGTATAATTCAAGTGGTGGCGTAGTGGTTAAACGCCTCTCATGAATGAGGGCGCGGGCTCGAGACCTGGCAAGTACCAATGTGATTTTTCCGACTCATATGTACTTTATAAGACTATTAAGACACTACTGATAGGCAGACAGTGATTAATGCTCAAACCTTCTCAATGTGAGAAGAGGCCTTTGCCCAGCAGTGGGTTCTAATAGGTTGATGATAATGGTACGAGTGCTGTATAAAAACGTATATACCTTATCAAACCTCTCCTGTACGAGGTTCTGTCTCGCGAGTTGCTTGGCCCGGAAGTCATTGATGCACTGGTCTCTAACCAGAGCTGCCTCCTTGATGGACAACAGCCCTCGTCCTCGCCCTGACCCAAACATCCGAGCGAGGTATGGAGCTAGAGGATCTATCTCAGCTTCCTTCTCGCGTTCCGTCACTTCAGCTTTTTGCATTTCCTGTATTAATATATTCGATCAATTTAAATCCGATCGACATTCCACATGAGAATAGAAAAATCCATTCACATAATAGCATAAATTGGCTTTGCACTACATGTTTAAAAACTACTCGCAACTTTATTATGAAAATTCCTTTTTTTTCTCCATTGCCGTGATTTATTGTAATTTTATCAATAAGGATTATATATTACCTGTTCCCTCCAACCTTTTTTGGCGGCGTCATTCCTCTCTGTATCAAACAGGGACACAAACAGCACGGGTTCAGTGAGTTCTTTGAGTCTCTGTTTCAAGTATTCCGTGACATCAGATTCCCGATCTCTTATATGTTTACGGGACTGGTATTCTGACTCCATATTGTCGCACAGAGCGTAGTACACGTGGAGTGGTCGAGGTTGACTAGCGCATGCATCCGCCTGAATAACTCAATATTATTACTTAAATGAAACTAATAATTTTCGGATTATTGCGCGACTTTACTTTTGTATAAAACTACATACCCCCCCTGCTACTTCTTCACATCTCGTCTTCTTGATCACGGTTGCTGAAAAGTAGCCGAAACGTCGGGAGTATGTTGTTTTTTACATGAATAAAGTCGCGTAATAATCCGAAAAATATTAGTTTCATTTAAATGAATAAAACTCTTTTAAATCTTAGATTTCATTATGTGAACCAGTACGAATATTATTACCCAAATATTTAAATCCTACTATTATAATTACGAAAGTTTGTGAGTGTGTGTGTATGTTTGTTACTTCTTCACGCTCAAACGGCTAAACCGATTTTAATAAAATTGTGTATACAGGAAGCTGACGTCCAGGAATAACACATAGGCTACTTTACATCCCGGAAATCTCGGAAATCCGCTTGTAACACCGCGGGGCGCAGCTAGTAAAATATAACCATTAATTGACCTACAATGTAACCAGAGGTTTTGTCGGGATAGAACAGTATTTTCCCGCCGGTCTCAGCTAGATTCGGTTTGATGAAGCTTCGTGTGTTGTTCGTCACGAAATTATAAGCGTAGTGGTAAAGCAGTTCTATGGTGTTATTCTGTATGTGGAAGATCCTTTTCCAGATGTCGTCTTTGGCTGGTACATCGGGATTGCGGCTGTAGGTCTCAGTTATATCTTTGACCTGACGTTTTGGCTCTAATTTTGTGCCTTCCGTATATGTTATAAATCTTGTTTCAAGCCTGTAATATTTTTACATTGATAGTTAAGCCTTAATAGAAGCCTTTAACTTAATTACTTAATTAGCTTTCAAATGTTTTAACGTCCAAATAAAACTACAAAATTAAACTTTTGTTTTCATAGTTAATGAGTTTTGTTTTTGTTTAAGAGCACATTCGAAACCTTATGAATCTCTTAAAACTTTTCTAGTATAGTAGTACTGAAGTAGAATTATTGATTGGAAAATTGTATCGGAATTAAGAAATTCTATCTGAATTACACAAAAAGTATATCGACATTTAGGACTATTTTTCAATATAGCGAGAATATTAGCTACAAATTACTGTAATTTCTTCAGGAATATAAGTATAACCTGTCGCTTCGATCAGTGTAATATTCGTTAAAGTTTAAAGCATCGCACTCAAGACGTTCGAGGTGGTCAAGTCTTGCATAATAGTTGAACTGCATCATGCGAGTTCCTTCCACAGACGTGGCTGGAGCGTCGATAGAGTATACGTGCTCTATTGAGGAAAAAAGAAAAATAGCTGATATGGGAATTGGGATTTAACTTGGTGTTGGTGTTAGAATAAAATTCTGTTCACAAATAAACTGGCTAGTTCTAACACAAAGAAAATGGCTCTAGTTTACGTGTATACAAGAAAAAAAGCGAGTAAAATCCTTATAGATAGAAATGAATTAATTTAATCTAGACATAATGACTGATAAAAAGATATTGCTAATCCTAATTCGTTAATAATTCTCAATTTATATGACATTCAGTAAAATAGTAATTAATTATATTTGTGATAATAAACTGTTCTTGTATAATGTGTAAACAAAATGGTAAGTCCCTAGATAAATTTATCCACTTTAAGCTTTTAAACTAACATGTAACAAATACAGTATTGGACTGGTGCCCACAAACATATTTCTTGTGAGTGTCGACGAGATATTGGATGTAAACGCAATTGCACGAGAAAAACTGTGGTTTTAAGTGATACTTTTTTTATAACAAAAACATTAAAGTTTTATATATGATCTATTTATTAATATTTGTTTTTTTTAGTCGTGTAATGGAGAAGATTAAAAATTGTGGTGTAGGGGTTATTCTTTGTTACAACTTAAGAAAGGAGAAGACGTCAAAGGTACGGTCAAAGCTTTTAAGTTCCGGGGGTCTTGAAGAACATTGAAGAAAAATTTGATATAAGTGAGTGTGATAACGGTATAACAACGAAAATTTAAATCTAAAAAGCTTTTATCCTTTCTCTTATGGACAAATATTATGTAATACCAAAAAATAATCGTAGTGTAGATTCTTAATCAATTGGAAAAAATTCGTAGAATATCAAACATCAGTACATAATTTTTGGGATATATTTTATATATTCCTAATCCGTTCCAGCATAGTACTAATAGTTATGGAAGGTTTTTGAACTACAGAAAATCAAGTAACTTCCGAGTTACCCCTTCAACATGGATACATTAAAAATAGGTGTATACGAATAAAAAAAGTAAGTTACTGTTTTCTCTTTAAACTAAGAGATTAATAAAGCAACGTGAACTCTGTTCACAATTACCATTGATTTTTTTTATATAATGTGTTTTACAAGAAATAATATTAACAAAAAGATAATACTTAAAATAATTAATGTGTTCAGAGTAAAGAATTTAGATTAGTGCCAACTTAAAATGTATATTGAAAGTAACATACAGTTTACGTTTTTTTTTCAATTTGTGTCACGGCAATTTGTTCGATAAATATATACTCACTCAAAAGATGATCTTTTCTGCCAATCAAGAAAAGTTCACGAATCTCTTTCTTCACGTGATCTATTTTAACTGTGTCCATCTTATCCGCTCTGTTTTTGTACCATTCATATCTAAAAATAAGAAAAACATACATTTAGGCGAACAAAAAATCGTAATAATTATATTAAAAAAATATAGGTATATATACGTCAAAAGTGGTATAGTCAGAGCGTAATCTTCAAATATCTTTATTCTTTTGATGATGCCATCTTTCTGTGAATATGGAGAGAACTTTTCTAACAAAACTTTCTTATAATGTATCACTTTATGGCTCCCGGGATATCTCTGTTCGTACTCTGAAAATCATAGACATACCATGTGTTATTACTACATTATACGATATTAAAAATTACTAACTAACTAAAACTATTGTAACAGATACGACTTAGATGAACCTTTGGGGTTTTTTTCATTAAAAAGAATAGGTAAACTTGTCCATTGTTTTTCGCAAATTTTAAAAGGAAAATTCTTATAAATAAATAGGTCTAAATTTATCGTACGTACCATCAGCGGTAATGTCCAGCTTTTCAACCCAACTGGTGGGTACGTCGAGATGTTTCTCAGTATCAACAGCGGTTCTTTTATCAGAGCAGTCAATGCCGACCAGTTGCCGCCTGTAATAAGGCTCGCCAGCCAGCAGATGTTCCCAACACGTGAGATCGGATAGATCATAGTTTAGAGAACCCAGACCTTCATCACAGGATTGCAGATTGACCTTTATAGAGTAAAATTTAATATTAGGTTTCATCATTATCAGTCTGTAAGAGCCCACTGCTGATTAAAGGCCTCTTCTCACATGGATAAGGTTAGATCATTAATTATCACGCTTGCTCAAGACGGCTTGCCGATTTTGAACTTATAATTTGAATTATTCTATTATATAAGTCATGTTTCCTCACTATATTTTCCTTCACCGTCTGTCAGTGGTGTCAAAATACTCTTAGAAAGTACATATGACTCCGAAAAATCACTTTGGTATTCCGAAATCTTACGGAAAATCATATTGGTACTAATTGGTAGGCCATCTCGACTTTATATTATGTTAAAGCATGTGTAGGATACAGTCAAACTATGTCAAAGTTTTATTTTCACTATTCTAATATTATTTCTATCCAAATAGTCATACATACATTAAATTGTTTTATTCAAAGTATTAGGCCCTACCCGACACTAACATAATAATTCTCGTGATTATAAACGCTGTCAATGTATTGGTACTGTTCAGCGTCCAATGGGAAGCGGTTTCCATCACTGGGCTCGATGAAGAAGGGCTCTTCAATTCCTTTAAAGCCACCAAGCACGAGCACCCAGGCGTGAGTCCGCCAGGTATGAATATCATCTGGCGGAGGTTTCTCCAGCTCCTGAAATACTTGTAATACTTTTTTTTAATCAAGACTCGCAAATTTTAGTAACGAATATATTAGTTGTTTCAAGAGAATTTGCTTGTCTTTTTTGATACTGCTGTTTTTAAGTCTCAATGACCTTGTTGTAATTGTTATATAGTCACAAATATTATCCTCGAAAACGGTGAATACTTGTTCCTCTCAACCACAAAGCTTAATAAGTCTAAGGGGCCATCCATAAAATACGTCACACTTATTTCATGAGTTTTTGAGCCCTCCCCTGTCCTTGTCACAGGTGGTCCCATTTCTGAGACCCCCCCCCCTGCCTAGTGTGACGTCACATGTTTTGCAATTTAACATCGAAAAATTATTAAATTAAAATAGCAGTTCCGAAATTAGTTTTATTTCTATTTAAATTAAGTGCTTTTTTTAGTCATTAGCCAAAGGTCTCGTCGGCGATCGGCACGTGTCAGAAGCGGCTATGAACTTGTCAACAAAACAAACCGTATTGCCCTAAAGATAGAGTTGGACAAATTTTTTAGTTTAATTAATATTTCAAATTACGCGATTAGTACCTCTAGATTTTGAAATGTGATGTCACGAAACTTAGGAGCCCTCCCACCCCTTGTCACACCATGTCACACTTTGTCAACCCCCCCCCCCCTTTACTTGTGACGTACTTTATGGATGGCCCCTAAGCATCCTATCAGTCGTCCATATGTATCGTGTAACAATTATTTGTGGTAAGTAATTAGGCAGCAAATGTAATGTATATATGCATAAATCGTGACAGCTGTACCGCAATTTTTCTCAATCTTTCTCTTTCTATCTTGTCCTGTTCTCCCTGTAACCTCTCCTCTTCTTTTTTATCCATTTCCTTGCAATATTTGGAAGTGAGATCGGGCAGCGGCACCAAGCGGTAGCGAGGTTCTTCCTCTGGTGGAGGAGGTTCTTCGATAACCTTTATAAAAACATATGGAACAATAACTAATCATTTATATGATGAACAATAGTAATTGAGAGTTTGTTTCTAAAGAAAACAGTTTATCTAGGCCAAATATGAATAAAAATCAAATTGTTTTAGGCAATCATTAATTATTTACTGTTAAGCATCTTATAAAAAACTTGCCAAAAAAGGAAAAAAATCATAATACAGAAATATACGAACATCTTAAATAAATATTGTCATCCTAGCCGGTACTATCATTTGGGAACAAAAAAATTGGAAACGCTACGTAATGCATTTAACAATGCAAACATGTACAACGGGTAACAATCAATAAATTAACAAACCGTAGGTAGTATATTCATTTAAATGAAACTAATTTTTTTTTTCGGATATACTACATGACTTTATTTTAGATAAAAACTACATACTTCTTACGTTTCGGATACTTTTCAGCTACCGTAATCACGAGCAGACGAGATGTGAGTATATTAATTACCTCAGTCTCATCAGGCAGTTCCGGACAAACCGTGCGATATCGTATGGCCATACAGACATCACGTGAGGCGTTCCCAACCACCACATACGCGTCATACCCAGCTCCTATCAACCAGGAGACCAGAACGTGAGCCAGCTCGAAGGGATTACCGCTGCGTCTGATAATGGCCGTGTATGGAGACATCAGACGCTCGGGCTAAAAGAAATACAATATTGTAGCCTATCAGTAATTCTGATTTACTTTTTATTCACAGATTCTTCCTATACATTTTTTTTATTTAGTAGTAATATTTCATATTAAATTTATATAATCAGTGTTATTTAAATAATAATTAAGATGAACATTGATATGTACATCTGTCTACAGATAGTTAAAAAAAAATTAAGTACGAAATTAAACAGACCGCTTTATACTTATAACTTGTGTTCGTTAAAATATCAATATATTATTAAAGGATAACAGTATTTAACAGACTACTCTGTACCTTTTCACCTTCATAAAACGCGAAAAAGATAACAAACCCAACAAATTAATGGCTTTTTATACTTTTAATTTCAGTGGCATAAGTTTAACTTTTAGTTCATGTAATCTACAAGAGATGGCGCTACAAGTATTGTTGGCTATCACTAAAATAACAATATCAATTTTGTAATTCTAAAATAATATAAATTCTCAAAATATGTTTTAATTAATTTATTAGTATTCAAAACACAATAATATTTATTTTAATTATATTATGAAACGTAATATTAAAATATATAATAAAATCAAATCTATAAGTATATCAATGACTATTTAATATAAAAACTTTTTGGTTTCCATCGCATCATTTCAATATGGCGGAGTTTCTAAGTTCTGACCTTGTAATAATTATTATGAAATGAATATAAAGTTGCCTGAGAACAATGTCTGTTGGCACGAACTTTTCCGACTCTCACTTTTCGTTGAAAACTTTTACAACACTTTCTCTATTAATATATTTTTTTCTGACGTCTAGTTTTTCATTGAAGTGAAATATTGAATGAGTTTAAATTGCATGGAGATTCATTGAGTACGCTTTATTTATTATTTTATGTTAATATCGACTATATTTTTGACGACTTTTGTTTTGCTATAAGTAATGTTCTTGGGTTTTACTTGCATAATTATTATTGGGAGTACTTTTGTACCCTTTTTTTTATTAGCAATACTGATAACTTGTCAATTTAATTGTTAATGCTATGCTTTTCATCTTTTTCAGTGTTCTCGTTTCTAAGAACGTATGGAAAAGGTTTTATAATCGCAAAAAAGAGATTACAAGCAATCAATTAATTAATATCCATTCTGCTCAGTATGATTCCTATAAAGGGCCTGAAGACCTATTTATTTTTATTTTCCAATATTAATAAAGGAAAAAATCCGCTATTTAATTAAAAACTATTATCTGTTCTCACAATAACATTATAATCGTTTCGTTTTATTCTACATGATAATTAATTAATAATATTAGAGAATATTCCATATTTTTTTTATATATAAGATGGCAAACCAGCAGACGACCTACTCGATGGTCAGTAGTCACTGTAGCAATTAATTATTTGTTTATTACTTATCTGATATATTGAATGAAATTATTATTAAAGGAAAATTTTAATAATATGATCAATTTGTATTACTCATATTATACTTAATTAAAATATAATAAATGAGTAAATTACTATTGAGTTACCTCCCAGACTGAAAAGCATATTTTACATTTGGTACTTATCAAAAGTAATAAAAATATTTTAATCAAATAGTTCTTACTTAGTATATCAGTATGATTAGGTAGTTGTTATTTAAATTCATTTAAAATAAATGAACACAGCTCCTGACTGTCTACATAGTATAAGTAAGTAGAGCACCCCTTATATATAATATCTCCAGCTCAAAGGTAACTAAATACACAAGTCGTACGTCAGTAAGGTATACAATATTCCGTTGCAAGCTCAGACTACGGACACGGCATTGCAAGCACAAATTAGAGCGTGCCACGTTCCAAGCTTTGAGTTGCGCTTGACCAAGCGTTATTCGAATTTCGAACAAGACGCCGGGCTAGGGATGTGCCCGCATGTTATCGATAAGAGCCCGGCCATCGTATCGATTCGGTGGGTGGGGGCCGCGGGGCATGCTCGGATGCCACTCATGCGAGTCCGTGCTCAGCTTCTAATTGAATACGCTGCGACATTTTCGGTATCGACCCTCGATAGTTTCGGATTATACGTTACTGTTCTTTGTTTAATCATTTTATCGACTTATTTTACACTATAATTAGAATTTGCGATATATGTAAGTATTATTCCATATTGTAAAAGTATTAGATATTCAAAACATAAGTACATGTGCCAAAATATAAGGTATATTTTTATTAACAAAACACAAATTAATATAACAATAATTTTCGTAAACATTTCGGTATTATAACAAAAAAAGATACAAGGACTACATTAAAAGTAATTCGTTTACAATATATAGTGAATGTTAAAAATAATAAAACATAATATCATCGACATGTTCGTTCGTAAAGATAAAAAGTCTCTACTCGAAGCCCGAGAGGGAGTCTCTTCAAGAACGGCAGTCCGCGCGACTGATTTGCACCACCCGCCGCCGCGTGGTCGCGACGTTATAGTGATGGACCATATACTAATAAATATTTCGTCGACATCGATATTTTTTTTTGTTTTTTTTTTATAAACTAAGTTTGATGTTAAACCAAAGCTCGTAACTAAAGCCTATAATTAGTTCGTAGTGATCATATATATTAGTTTCTCTCGCCACCCCCGGCCGTCGCGATTGTCCGAGGAGTTTGTCGATCGATATCCAGATATCTCAGCCTACGCTCCCTGCTCGGCCATTTGCCTACCTCGACGCCTCAGGCTCGTGTGTACATAACCCGTCCCCCATCTCCCGATACACCCCCGCAGATTACCGCCTACAAAGCAAACTTCATTGGTACGTGCATGCAATATGCGCAAGGAGCCCGAATTGCGGCCCAAACCAGCCAGATTGCTTTGATATCCGAGCCAGCGGCGTATTTAGCACAGGTTATTTGAGACCACTGCACTACGAATCTTAGCTGAGAGCCTACAATTCTCTACCGTACACAGGCGGCTGCAATCACGTTAATTACAACGACGCCGGCTTCTAGCAACGAGGAACCAAATGACTGATATCAAATGTGATAACTTGACCCCTGGACGTTCAATTATAAAGATAATTATTAATTCATAGTTTCAAATTAGAAGATAAAACTATGTAAACATACAGAAAGAAATAAACTCTTTCTGAACTCGTATAATAGCAAAGTTAATAGATAATACAATTCACATATATTATATATTTACTAACTAACCCTGAAATTACTTGAAAACTGTATTACATTGACCTCAATCCACGTGCCTCTGTTTTCAACAAGGAGCTCTTGTTATTTTGGTATGTTTATTCACATTTTGACATACAAACATGTTTCAAAAGTCAAAACCTAAACTAGAACAAAGACAAATATGAAATATAAACATAGTAATATTACTATTACATAATATTTCCAATAATTATTACATACGCCATCCAAAACAAAATATAATATTATTCTTCTAGTATACATAATACAATTTTTCAAACTTAGAAATTATAGTGAAACTCGTAAAGTTAAAGTCTAGATATTAACAAGAAAAGAAATAAATTTCTCCTTCATTAAGTTGAGTAATCCGACGCGTATATGGTAAGGTTCTATTGAAAGCCCGGGGTGGGTCGTAAATCGGCCAAGTGCAGCACTCTGTCCTCTAAAAGAGGGAAAGTTCACATTTGCATATCGGCCTCCGAGTCGCGAACTTACTTCGCAAACTCAGAGCTAACTGCGGACTTTTAATTCGCTCTACAGCATTTGATGCGGAGATATAACATATAAAGTTTTAGCGTAGCATACATGATAAAAACATTGCTTAAATATATTATAAATTATTGTTTATATAGGATAATTCGTATATTTTAAAATAGATATGAATCTGTCTCTTTGAATGTGGATTTGCGTATTGAATAACTTGTCTTTTAACTTCTAAGAAACTTAGTACTCTGAAAAGTATTTAAGACTTCGAACAGGAGAAAGATATAATCAAATATTAGACAAGTAAAGTATGGAATCATACATTCTGTACATTAACATTCGAGATATGAACATCATTCATTTAACTTGTAGAATTTTCTTCAACATTCGTTTTCCAGCTAATTTGAATGTGAATTTCAAACTCCGACACTATCCGAGCACTCTCTCGACTGAAACATTTTTAATATCTCCAATAAAACTGTAAAGAACAAAACATTGAGGACGTACCTAGGAACATTTCACAATAAACAGACGGAAAAAAAAACAAACAATAAAGAACTGAATGAAATGAGTACGAGAGATGAATGTGAATGAATGGTCGGGCGCCGCGGCTGCGGAGCGCCTTCGGGAATATTTTAGCGTATTTCAATAAAGGCGCGACATCTTTAATCTAGGCGGGATCGGGTAGGGGCATAAATCTTGCAGGTCCGGGCGAGTTTTGAATCATTTAGCGCGGTGCGGCTCGAGCCCTGCGCGACTTCCGTCCGGCACGTGCGGCCCCCCGGGCCCCCGGACCTCGGGCCCCCGGACCCGGCGCCCGCGTGAGCGAGGCTGTCTTGCCGAGACAAAGGGGCTCTAGGGATAGACGCGGGTCGATGATAGGTATCGATTAATTCATTTATATTAATTGGTAAACAAGTAAAAGCATGTAATCGTAGAACATATATATAAAACAGCAAGATACTGAAGTTATAAAACATTACTTCGTTTTAATGTTATGTGTTTAATATGAATTTCTGTAAATCCAAGATATGATCATTTATTCATCGTATTACTTCTCGAGAGTTAAAGTTTTAATTTGACTTAAGTTATGACATTGATTTACATTAATAATAATAATTAATTCTGAACATATATTTAATATTTCAATCGATACATAAAGTTTCATCCAAGCTCTAGCACACGACGTCCGAGCTGCCTCTAATTTGAATTCACGGAGACTCCGCGACGCGTCCGCCGCGTCGGCCGCGCCCGACTTAATGAATCGCGAGTGGGGGTCAGGGCCCCCTGCCCGGGGGGTGTTGGGGGCCCCCGGGGGGTCTTGGGGGGTCGTGGGGGGCGATCGGACGGCCACCGCATCCTCCGCGCGGATAAGTGACGCCCGTGTTGCTTGTACATAGCTCCTTATGTACTACGGCACATAGCGACCGGCCGTATCTACGTAACGCTCGCCAAATTTATGTCCCGCACATGTCTAGAGACCGCGGCGTACCTTTAGAGGGATTTTGCGTGTATATACATACGAATAGGGAGCGGCCAAGATATTTGAGATGGAATTTGGTGTAGACCTTTATTGATGAGTTACCTTGTCCTCTCTTGTCTTTTGTATCGATCTATAATATATTTTGAGTTTATTTTTCAGACATATTAAAATTAAATTAAATTAATCATTTATCAATTAATGTTCACCTATATATGACTAACGAGATACAAAATCTAGTTTTAATAGTTATACTAAAAAAGGGGTTAATAAAACCTAACAGCATTATAATAGCTACGAATTAGTCGCAAACAAAAACTCCTTAACAGAGAATTATGTTAATTCCGTACCGCCGTGAACAATCAAAACGCGATAAATATTTTAAACGGTTTAAAAGTTTTCGACGCCCCCAATAGTTACCCTTAAAAGGTGAAATACCTTTACGACAAAAGGTTCAAATATACTTATACAAAATTACCCGGTTTTGTTGGATTAGTTAAACCATTATATAACTATAATGATTCTTATATATGACAAATATATCAAAGATATAAATCTATATATGTATTAATACATATATAGAATTCATTATATTAAAAACGAAAAGTATTTATATATTGAGTTAGCGAGTGAAATAGACATTTTATTCTCAGATAAAGTCCCGTTGGATCTACATATAAAGCATTAAATAACATTAAGCTGTCTGCACACGCGCGTTTTTTTTCCTCTCGAACGTCTAATCGCCGGTCCCCCAGTCCGCGCTGCCGGGGGGCCGCGGACTCCCACTACATATTATTCACGATGATCACGCGATATCGATTGACGTGCGTGCAGCCCTAATATAGTTTATACGGCATTACCGAACCAGAAAAATACAGTCAAACATATATATTATAGAATACTTATATCTATTCTACGTATTATAAAAGCCACAATCGGTTAATCAAGCCACAAAGCCACAATTATTATGTTAAAAACAAGACGATAACCACTAATCTTCACGAAATTATTTCATAATTCAACATCGTCATAATTCTGGTATAACTTTTACTAAAAGTCCAAATATTTATTAACCGAGTTGCGAGCAACAGGTTGCATCATTACACTATATTATAAGCACAGGATTTAACTTTGAAATTCAAAGTATTAACTTTCTTCGCTCTGTCAGTTTTTAACTTGACTTTTTATTAATATACAGTTATTTAGAGTGAAATAATCTTATTGTTTTTTTTGGATTACGTAATAGTTTTTATTACTGGATTTAATTTAGTATAAATTGACTTAAAGGAAGTAAATATTTTTAGTATAATTTTTAATGTTTTATTAAGTAGAATTTCTTTATCGTCAAATATTATTATAGGTAGTAGTTAAAGATATTGTTTAATTATATCTCATACTAATACGAAAGAAATTTTCCTATAATATATGTATTTAGGTTTTCAAAGTTAAATATAAATATATATACTGATGAGAACAGCGATCTCTACTAATGCACTTATTATTATAATTACGTATATTAGACAGTCTGTTTGTTCATTTGTTATCCCCACTGAGATGTTAACCATGAAAACTGACATAAAATTATTAGATAAAAGAACACGAGTAAAGTCACAGAATGCAACATGTCAAAACCTGTATCCATATATGCTTTCTTATATTATGTAAATATACAACTTCATGGAAAAGCGTAAGGGGTTTAAATAACAAATAATGAACATTTCTTAGGAATAATTTTATATACAATTTATTAAACAATACTTATTTTTTTGAACCATAGAAATAAATTGTTTGATGATCAGTAACGGCACTAAGAATTTTAATATCCGCAACTAATTTCTTAATTAATACAGCCAATAGACTATAGTACAGTAGACTATAGACTCTAGTATAGAAGAAAAATCGCATTTCTCCAAGCAGATGTGTAACGAATCTCAATGAGGGCGGTCTCAGCGGAGACGACGTGCGTCCCAGCTGCGCGCGCGCACCTCGCATCCGTAACATTTGTTATATAGGACGTAAGAATAAACAAAATCATTAATATAGAGATAATAATTAGTTGTGGTCTCCTAGACTATAGAGGTTAAAGATCCCTCGTGTATGAGGACGCGGGTTCGAAACCTGGCGAGTACCAATATGATTTTTCCGAATCATATGTACTTTCTAAGAGTATTTAGACATCGCTGACTGATGAATGAAAACATCGTCAAGAAACCTAGAGTTATAATTTCAAATTATAAGTTTGAAATCACCAACCCGTCTTGAGCAAGAGTGGTGATTATTGCTCTATTCTCCATGTGAGAAGAGGCCGTAGCTCAGCAGTGGGCTATAATAGACTCTTCTTCTTTCTGGCATGTTGTGAATGGACTCTAATAGGCTGATGACGAATTCTATCTGAAGCTGAATCATTACCTATCATCTTTTTTTCATTATCATAAATATTTATCATATTTTAAGTGTTCCAAATCACTAATACGTTTCTTCTTAATGTGATATTTGCAAGCGATACAATCTCGCGAACGTGCGTGTCCGCCTGTTCCCTGCCTCTCGGCCTTCGCCCCACGATGCGCGTGGGCACCGCGGGCTTCCGGTACTGTCACCGCCGACCGCAAGTATCTACCAGATATAGTTACTTGAGATACCCGGTCTCGAATCTCGTATACCCTTGAGAAAATATTCTATAACCTTCAAGTCCTTTAAGATTGATAAAAACTACTTTCAGTTTTTTTTGACGAATATAATTGTGTCATGATGTAGTCCAAATTCCTTTTACATGCTTTTGCCTTAATATTTTTTTATAAATAAGCTAAATACAGTGCAATATTATTATAATAAGTATACTCTAATCTCTATTAGTATGCATATGAAAGAGAATAAATAATATAGTGTTTCATATTTAATCAATTTTAATAGGTCCTTAACTAGGTATAAATCGAACTAGATTTGTTTATTATATTAATAATATGATTAATTGAGAAATAATAAAGGTTAGGACAATATGAACACGAGCTTAAATATGAAGTGAAAAAAATATATCAGTTCAAAGATATTAGGTTCAACATTTTCTATTAAGCATTAACTTGTTGATCAATCTACATCATTGGTTCAATAAAATTTAACCGTCTGGTTTAAAATAAATATGTATGCTAGTAAATTTATATATCTGGTACGATTTTATTAGAAAAAAATTAAGAATAATCTAGATCTATCTAGATAAAGTAAATATTTAAAACTCATATTAAAAATCGACTAAAATAATTAAATTGTATGACTACACTAAGTTTTCGATATATTAATTGTAATACTCTTTATGTATCTACCTTTAATTTTATATACAACACATGAAAATAATTAAAAAAATATGTCAGGTAGCTCGCAATATTGTATTTGTAATTACTTAATTTATTAAAACAATACATATTATAAGTAAATGAGCTTGAAAAATAAAAGCAGTTATAATATTTGTTTCGAAAACACACACAGTTAAGTGTTACAATTCAAATTAATTTTTAATTTAGGTTAGAAATCAAAATTAAAATCTGTCAATAAGAAAAAAGATGCACCTACTTATTAAATTATTAAAATAGGTCTTCTTTCGTTACATAAAAAGAAACATGAACAAAACAATCAAATAATAAAAATCTTGTAATCCTCTCGAATATTGTTGAAAACATTATTCGTTTAAAATTTTTATTAATACACCCGCCGCGCTGGTTTTTGTTTTCCCCCAAAAATGTTCAAATGAGATAAGATTCCCCTCATCATTAGCGCGCTGCAGCTGCGGGTACAGTGGATCCCATTTAGACGGCGTCAGGTAATCTTTTAAAAGGAAAAGCATTTTATTTAGAGCTGGCTACGCTCAGTATGTTATACAGTCTCTATCTCCCAACCTAATATAGATACAAATGCTAGTTATTGGCCAAAGAAGTTATTAAACCATTGTACGGACCCACTAAAAGAACCAAGCGTAGTTAGGCATTTAATTTTCAATATAAATGTTATCAAAATATATATAAATCGAAGACCTAAGACAATTTAAAACCTCGTATAGAAGTTTATTAGGAAAATTATGTCTTAACATACGATTATCATCAATCTCAAAGCACAAATATATTTGACAATATACGATAATTTGATGTCAATAAAATATCCATAGAAAATTATACACACGATCTGTACATTCATAGCGAGAACAAAGCGACCGGGACGAGGCTGAAACAACGGATAATAAAATCCCAGTCATCGGAGAAAAATTCTTCACATGCTTTGAAAACGAAAAAAAAAAACTCGAAGAAAAATGAATACGATCCACATGTGCGAGGCGTACGAAAATATACGCGATAGATAATAGCGCTCTCGGCATGCGAAATTCTTAAAAGCTGTCGTATCGTGTCATTGGAGGCGATTTTTTTACATCGGGTCAACCCCCAACCCCCACCCGGCGGGGGTCGAGGCGACCCCGGTCGGGTTAATTAGTCGCGAGCTCCGTCCGCCTCGAACCAACTTACTTTCTTCTTTATTTGGCCACTCGATACAAATGTGGGGATTTTCGCGAACGATAGAAAAATACGATTTTTGGATTCTCGTATTCACGAATAAATAAACATCCGAATACATCGGATGTATGATAATTGCTGTATTTCATCTGAAAACATCGTTGATTATTGCTCTTGGTGAAGTTTCAATGGGTATACATATATAGTTATAAAAACTGCCTATACAGGCGGTCCTCGACTTACGTCGTTTCGATTTACGTCGTTTCAAGTTACGTCGAACAATGTTTTGACACTATTCCTCAAGCATACGTCATTTGTTTCGATTTCCGGCATATCGGAGAATTCACTTGTCGCAAGGTCAATGTCCGTGAGGGGCGCTAACCGTTTGCCTGACATTGCAGTTACTACTGATGATATTGATGATCTG